TCACTTGTTTTCTTTCATTCAATACTGTTTCATCCACATTTTAACTCATTCCAAATTTCTCGCGTTTTTCTTGCGAAAGCGGACGTTTTACACCCCACGGGCTTAGTCCGGCGCTTTGCCCGGCACCTGTTACCGAGATCGAACCCAAGTGTGCGGCGAAACGTGTTCGGGTTCCCTTCTTTCAGCTAGATTAATAAACAAGGCCGACAACTAGTTATTAACACACGTTAATGCAATCCGAAGGGAGCTTTTTTTTTACTCGATGCCGTAGAGACGTTAAATAAACCCGTGCGCACGGACCGTCGGCGGCCGGTCGCATTCGTCGCCATCCGCAACCGATTACACGCTCGAAATCGCGTCGGTGGTTACCAGAAGTACCGAATGAAAACGGAACGTCAAAGTGATGAACGCGCTAATTCAGGTTTAATTAACCGATATCGATTTCCCAAACCGACAAGCCGCTTAACCGTACACGAATTAATTTGCTCTACATATAGGTACAGCGCGTCCCCGTAACACAAACACGTATCTTCGCCACTACGTTGGCCCTTTTAAAGCGATCACATACATATTCAATGACATTTTGCCGATTGATTCTCTTTAAGAAGAAGAATTGCCTTCCGCAGCACGCTATGATTTTCTTGCATCGATTAACCGAACCTTATTATCGTTGCCGTACGAAATGATAAACAAACACACACTCACACACGGTGGGCCGAACCGAAAACGAAATAATTAACGAAAACAAAGACGTCTAACCTTGAACACAATCGATTTGGTTAATGTGTTGCGCGCATTCCGACAGCTGGTCTGGCGTCCTGATCGACGAGTGTTTGGGACGCCGCGCCCGTGGGATAATCGACAAGACGGACCTTAAAATTACAATTACACCCGTTTGGAAAGCCGCAGTGTAGGTTTCGCGGAAGGGACTGGTCGATAACATTTGTTCTGCGGGGGATCGCTGGTACAAAAAGTATAGCCGTCACGGGAAAACTACAACGGGACAGCGGGCTTGACTTTAGACCGTTAAAATAAAAATTAAAAGCTATCTCTAACATTAATCATTAACCGTTAACTCTTAAATATATTGAATCAGGTAAACAAAGCAATGGGAAACGATAATCTCAGCTAGGGATTTGCCTACTTAAATCTCATTCGATTTCTACTTTCGCAGTAATTTACAACAATGGTGAGAAAACGCTAACCCTAACGCAGTCGCGAGCAAAAATAGCGTAGAAAGTAAGGGGCGAGCATATTACCCATCGCACGAATCCCGAAAGTCGTCAGCGAAATTATCCAAAAAGTTCACAGTCCACTAAAATGAGTCACAATAAAACGTATCCGACCGTAATATTCAACAATAGCGAGGCACTCTGCACAATATTCACGTTAGCATTGCTTAGGTTCGTTCTGGTGCTCAGGTAAAAGGAAAGTCTTCTATGAACACCGCACGACGGTCGGTGAAACTCGCGTCGAATGTCCGGGAACGTTTCCGCGACGACGAGAGCGACTCGGCGCCCTGACAAAATCCCGTTTCGACGAAATATTCGATGGGATCTACGCCCCGAAAATTAACCAAATTACTGTAATCCTATCACTTCAAAGAGAACATCGCGAATGGATCTGGTTTGTTGGTTGCGACGCTAGCGCCGCGCGAGGAGAATGCGCAAGTTAAAGTCCCGAAAACATGAAGCTTCGTGACATATCGGTCGCCGCCGACATTCCTTCAGCACTGTTGTCGGATGGTCACGAAACGTACGAATTTTTACACTTTTTATTGCAATTGGAGTGCGTAAAACGATGTACGTATTTATTATTACGACGTTCCGAATCACTTTGGCATTTCGTTGAAAATGGGCCGCCCGATTGCGAATTTCTTCGCGCGAAATAGGACGCCGCGGCAATACCGCGGGACGGCGTTCCCAGCTACAAGTCAAAGGTTTTTTTTTTAAACGCATATTATTAATAACAAAAAGAGTCGGGTTGAATGAATAACGAGTGCGATTTAATCGACCCGAGAGCCATAGCGAATGCCTCGTAACGAGTTTTTTTATTCGCCTCGTATGAAATTAATCAAGAGCGCCTTAACAACAAAGTTATATACTAGCGTGTCGGCAACAGGAAAATAAAAACATGTTGGAAAAAAAATATTAGTTTTGGTTAAATTCTGAATTCCTGGGTTGTGGCGGATGCGCCGGGTAACTCGGCCTTAATAACGTCATCTCAAAACTCTGCGCTGGGATAAAAAGGTTTGCGCGACAAACTTTTTGGACTTCGTGAGATTCGCCGCGCCCACGAACCTGTTAAAATTGGTTGGCGTAGGTTAAACGATGCCCAAATACGCTAGAGTAGGTACGAGTGACGATTTTATTAGGTCGAGACGTAAAATAAAATGATTCATGCTCGTCTGACTAAATTGGTATGGAGTACTAACCGGTACTTAATGCCGAGAGATGACCAAACTTAAGGTTCATGGTACGGAGGTACGAATTCATTAATCAGTAGCTAATAAGGACTTATACATCGATAATATAATGCCATAAATTTCCTACATTTACACTTCACGGTTTTCAATGTAGAGAGAACATCAGTTTTTGTCTTGGTGATTCAAGTTTGACAAGTCACATGCAAATCTGACAAGTTGCACTAAAGATGAATGCGTTTAGTTAATATAGAAGTGTTTCTAGAAAGAGTTTGCTTGTTTTTGGAGTGTTATCGAAAAAATAGAAGGCTCAAGAAACAGCAGGAAGAAGAATACATATCCAAATAATTCGGAGAGTGTTTTTGGGTACTTACACTCAAAATGGCGGAGATATTAATCAACTAACCAAAACAAAAGTTCTTAACGAATTATTTATTTGAGCATTTATACATAATACACACATAAGACGAACGAAGGACCGCGTAACCTTAAAATTTCGTCTTTCGATGGAACCATGGCGGACGTTGCTCTGGCCCGCTTCCAAAAAATTTATAGAAGTCGGTCGAAATTACGTGTATTCGTTATCTGAAGTGATAGAGACGTAGTGCCTATAACTTTGGAAAATAGTGCGCGTCTTACGTGGATGTACACGGATTTGTGATGTGTAATTCCATGAGGTGTATTTAAATACGGTTTCCGAATGTCCTATATTCACGCTGGTAACCAGACCGGATGGGATCCGTATCCGATAATTGCTGGAGCCGTTTGACGAATCGGTCGTCATTTTATGACAATTTATTTAGAAGTTTCCGTTTTTGTATACGCAAAAAACAAAAACCTGGAGGATTATGGATTAGTCCAGACCCTTCTCTTAAGAAGGCATTCTTTAGGATATCTGAATAATGTGAAAAATTGTGTAAGCTGGCCGAATGACCTTATGCAGTCGTGGCCATTAGAAGTAAAGAAGAAAGAAGAAGAGGTGGCTGATCATCATGTCTACCTTCACTTTTGACGATAGATCAAACCATTCTCGAAGATTGGGCAAGCGCAGAGATTCTTCGGCGCCCTACACTTCGTCTACCAACAATTTTGCCCTCCATAACGAGTTTCAGCAGCTCATATCTTGTACCGCGTGATACATGTCCCAGGAACTCAAGTTTGCGTTTTTTAATGGTAGAGGGTATTTCGAGTTCTTTGCAGATTCTTCCTAACACTTCCTCGTGTGTAGATCTACTCATCCACGATAAAGACTTTTCTCGCCTGTTCAATACGAGTCAGGATTTCCTGTTTATATTGAACGTCTTCATTAATTATGGTGCCAAGGTATTCGTAGTGTCTTGTCGAAATGTTTTCCCGTCTACGATGGGCTTCCTTTTTGTTATCGCCCTCATTTTAATCTTGTTGATGTTCATGTTGAGACCGTAATCTTTGCTAGCTTTCACTACTTTGTTAAATAGTCTCTGTAAGAGAGAGAGCCCGCACACAAAACCGTGTCGTCAGCGTACCTAATATTATTAAGGATTCTCCCATTTATTACTATCCCAGCGGATTCGCCTTCCAATGCTTCCCTACCCCGAGTATATGTTGAATAGCATTGGAGATAAGATACACCCCTGACCTTAGCGGCTTGACCTCAATACAGCTTTGATACAATCTGCATGTAATGATAGTCGATGTTCAATGTTTGTAGGATTTCCAGTAGTTTTTCATGCCTGACATTATCAAGCGCTTTTCTATAATCGACAAAGCACACATAGAGATCCTAATTGACGTCTAGGCATCTCCTGGGCAAGAACGTCAAAAGTGAAAATGGCTTCCCGAGTTCCAAGCCCATTCTGACGTCGTTGAACAGGTCTAAGAGTACCAGAGTTGAATGTTTGTCAAAGAATTTCAAAAGCTCACAATACATATCGTCTAGCTCCATTGCTTTGCCAAATTTTGCTATCCTACCGTGGTCAATTTCATCTCTTGGGTTCTCGGTTGTTGTTAGCTCGTAGTCAGTTGCTCGTTGCTCATTGAAAAGTTCAAAATTCAATAGTTTTGAGTCTGAGTCTCTTTTCGATTCAATACCAGCTATCTTCCTCTATTTCTCTGCATCTTTCCTTCATCCAGGTCTTCGCTTCGCGGATTTTGTTGCGAATAGTGTTTTTAATGGACTTGTATTCTGCTTCATTATTGTTTTTATATTATGGATTATTACGGAAAAGCTATTTCAGTCTAGCATGACCGGGTTCTTTATCGTGGTCCTGTTCTGAATTTTGTCTTGGTACTTACCACCAAAAAGGCATTGATGTAACTGGAATCACAAGTAGCCGGCACGCTCTGTAGCAAGTCTAGTGTCCGTACATCGTCGTCTCCGCTCACACATCACTCACGACAAAAAGATTCGTAAGGAAAGTTATTCGAAGGAAACGCAGGAAATGCAGAATTCGTGGGATTTACCACGACATTATACGTAAAAGGATGATGATTGAAGTTAAATTAGACTTGCTAAGGCAATAGATAATAAAATAAATATATAACGAAAAATTATGCAACTAAACTAAAACTAACTTTATAATTTAACTAAAACTCCTACCTGGAGCGAGGAAGGAACATGGACCCATCAATGAAAACTGATCCAGAAAGTAAGATGTACCAGCACGTCGACAGCTCTCCAGTGCTGAAATAAATACAGGTCGGTTAATTAGGTAAAGTCTGTTCATAGATATAAAAAAGTGACTACCTGTTACGAATTAAGGAAAGACCCGGGCAAGCTGCAAGAACGAAATATGGACGAACAGGTCCGCACTTTGCTTAGAATTTAATTATTTGGGGTTTTGTTAGGAAAGAAACTAAAAAATATTTATTTATTTATGTATGTATTTATGTTTAAATCTAAAATAAAATTACGAATTATTTTTATTACCTACTTAAATTACTCAAAATATGGATGTACGATTGTTCTGCGTTTTCTATATGTTTAACAGAATTTACCCAACTTTGTGGAGTTATGTTAAAAACTTCGGTTTCTATAAGTTTGAGGGCATTCTAGTTAACACGGGGAAAAACATTGTTACGACGAATGCCAGATTTCTTCTTGAAATTTATATTTCTTTAATTTTCTTAAAAATACTGCACGGCACTGGTGTGTGAGTCTTATAACCGCGATAAAAAACCAAATTTTGCCAAATAACCAGGACACATTTGCCATCTAACATTTCATGTTGATTTAGGTAAATGGATTGCAACACCTACTTCATTACTATTTGGTATATTTATCTGCTACGCAATTAGAACTCTGCAGACTTCAACCAGTTTCAATTAATCTGTAACAAGGACGAAAAATGTTACAGTTATTAAGTTGGACGATAATTTATTTTATTTGTAGCGAAAACCGAATTTGCTAAAACCAAAAACTAATGTCTAAATTAGCTGTATAATACTTGAATAGACAATTGTTTGAAGTTTGAATTTATTTAATCTTGTTAAATCTAATAATGGACCAACAGATGAAAATAAAACTAGCAATATTCTTTAGTAATAATATTAATTACATTTACACATATTAAATAATTTTTTTAATTTAAATTTTAGCTTTTGGAAATTTCATTTTTCAATTTTCAATTCGGCAGAATAACCACAGTGATCGACTTATTACTGTCATTATTTAGTCTACACTAGAATGCAACAATTACAACGAGAACTTTTTCCCATTTGTCCATCGACCTTGAGATTAAATTCAAGAACGCCCTGTATACTGATTAAATCACCTTTTCCCGCGTTTTTTCTACTTACTGGTACAGTACGTCGTTGGCCATGCGCCGCTCGTACCGCACTACTTTGCATAGGGCGCGCAGGCTCGAGTCTCGCAGCGTTTGGAGCGCCTCCAGCCCGCTCAGGCCGTAATAAATCACCTGGAGGTCCTGCAACGACCTGCAGTGCGGCGGGCGGGCCAGCGCCCTCAGCCACATGCCTTCCCAATCGGTCATCGTAGCTCTAGATGGCGCGTCATTCGCGATCGCCGCACGCGACCGACAAGTAGGTGGTTCGTGTTCGCGCATTGCATTCGGTAATCGAGGAGGCGACGACGCATCGTCGTCATTTTGTCGTTCCTTGCGGTTCCGCTGACGGGGTCGTCGCTTGCCGCGTGTCCATGGCCGACTAGACCTCCGGGGTTCTGTAAGAATAAAAGAAAATTTAGTTATTTCGCAATTTTGTGAATGAATATCGGGGACTTATTGAACCAGTGCAGATAATATGTATTTTGAGGGGCAGATTTTATTGCTTCATGTGCTTTGCGAAATCGTTTTCGCAAAGCACTTTCGCAAGTTTTTTATTTTTTGGGCACTCATGTAAAACTTCGACATTTTTATTCGGACAAACGTTATGAAAGCAGATTTTGTGTACTTAGTATACTTGGTATACTTTTTAACCAAACTGAGATGTTCATGAACCCTGACGAGATCTTCTGGTCCGATATAAAATTGCTTAAAAGTGGGTTTTTAAGTTTGGGCAGGAAAACATAAAATTTTACATTAATTTTATTAGATTGCGTCAGCCTAGAGTAACCAGGTGTGATCATATCAACTTGCCTGGCATTTTAGTCGTGCCTATTAGTGGTCACTCGATAGACAGCAGCGTTTTCTCGTATACGTAAAACAGAACTTTGCCATTATGGCCTGTCTAGAATAGAGTTCTATCGATAACAAATCCCAAGAGATTAATGTTATTTGCATTTAGAAAATCCACTTTACTACAGGAGAAAATAAGTTTTTGGGTTTTCAGTTCATTAAGTAGTAAGTTGTTTTCATAAAACCATTGTTGCAGAATATTTGTATATATTTATATAAAGGAGCCCATTACTAGCCGTCTTCCTATTCTAAAGTTTCACCCGCCACATTTCTATCAATCCCTTGCCATTTCAATTTAGATCGAGTTTACTTGCGCTACCTCAGAGCTACCACGTGCTGCTATAGTCATAGCATTAATAACATTCTGCCATAGCCTTTTAAAGCAGTTATATTTTTATTTCATCAAACTAACATATTTCTTGGAACCGCAGTATTTAAAGTAACGTAATGTCAGCGTCGAGTATGTATATATCAATAAAAAATATTTAAATGGTGAATTTATATATTTTTTTCTACTCCCTGCTCACGACGTACTGACCGCAGAAAGACGTCGGTTTTGTTGTTGAAGTGTATTTTGACATTTGTCAATTCTGACGGTGACGTCACCCGTCACTCATTGAATGAACCTTTACAAAAATGTACCCAAAAACTAATGGTCGTAGAAAAAATATATATAGTACGTAACACGTTGTTAAAATCCTCGCAAACTTGTTGCATAATACAGCATTTCAGAAAGCATTGTATTCGCTGGATAACAACCAAAAAGAGGACATAACCTAATTTCTCGAAGGTGCTTCGATAACGAACGCCAAGTTTTAAATACACTATTTGCTTCCTAATGCACAATGTATATACTTCTTTAATCCGCCTAAAGGGCGTCCGATGATAAAATAAACGAGATTTTGTGCACCTGGAGGCAGCGAAGTCCGAATTGTGTCACTCAGAGAGAACCGGTCATTCGGATAAACTCCCCCCACCCGACGCTTTCTTCAGCGACCTTAGGAGGCCGCATCAGCATCAGGTGCGCGCATAGGCCACCCATAGACTCGAATGTGGGTAAGTCTGTGCGGCAATAAAAGTACGGTAATCCGTAGCCAAGTGTAATAAACGATAATAAAGGTCAACAGAACAGCGATTTCAAGACGTTACGTCGCATTCCAGTTGTTCGGGATATACAGGGCACCCAATTGAGCGGCAGTAAAACTTCCGAAAACAATTAAAAAATATAAAAGCGTATTGTAAAAAGAAAAAATATTATTTCTTCTAAAATGTGTTAAAGTATGATTGGAAACGATTAGAACAACTGGCCGCCCTGTAAAATGGTAGTTCTTCGGGTTTCAACAGTATATGCACAAACTAATCGGCGTGTTATAATTCAATCGTAAGCAAAGCAAGCAAAGTTCCTTTAATTTTGCCCGCATCATCTAGGTAGATTTAAACTAACCATAAATCGGCAGTACCACGGAATGAATTCTATTTGGATGTCGGTAAAGTCTGTTCATAGATATAAGAAAGTGACTAACTGACCCGGGCAAGCTGTAAGAATGAAATATGGCCGAACAGGTCCGTACTTTGCTTAGAATTTAATTATTTGGGGTTTTGTTAGAAAAGATACTAAACAAAATTTATTTATTTATGTTTAAATCTAAAATAAAATTACAAATTATTTTTATTACCTACTTAAATTACTTAAAATTATTCACATAATATATCATTCACGTTTTGTTCCTCGTATAACTGGTAAATTTTACGCCGTATTATATCTTGATCACTTTCATCTACACTCAGCACCGCTTCATTTCAATGGCATTAACGTATTCTAAATCATGTTTGTCTTTGTTTGGTTCAGTAGAGTAGCCGAAGGCTAGACTTGCTCCAAATTGAAAGCTTCATTTTTACAGTAATTATTGTTTCAAGTGCGCAATTAATTTAATGTTAAATAAAGTCATTCTTATTATTAGTATTACGTACCAGATTATGCTTCTGCAACTTGTCATATTATATATACGGGATATTAAGTTTCAAAAATATATCTTCCCCCATTAATCTCAATATAACACCCTGTATAAACGTCGCATCAGCTGGATCCGCATTTTCAGCATCCAGGTCCCGACAATTTTTTATCACGCGTCACACACACGAGAAGCCCAATAATAATAAGGTATTCGAGTCGCCGCTCGTCATAGCAATAATATATACCGCCGCTTCGTGTTATTATCGGTAAAAATGCGATAGGTGTCAACGAACTATTATTGCCCTTTCCGCAATAAATAAACGACGAAGGCGAAACCCCACGACATCGTCGTGAAACCGTCAATCAGCGGGTTTTGTTTGTGGCAACCGCGTGTTCATTGAAATAACGTCACCAGACGTTTTCGAATGTTTGCGCAGACCTCAATCATCCCAAACGTTTAATTTCCACTAGTCTAGTTAAGTGCGAACATATCGGCCATATGCATGTAGTAATAAGAAAATATAGTGGCCCTACTACGGTAAAAATTGATGCGCCGCAGGTGGCTATGATATTTTCGTAGAGCGTCACTCCTCAACTGACAAGTTGCTACGTTGCCGTAATTTTTCTGAAAAAATTGATTAACGCAACATCACTCTCTGAAATCCAATCATACTTGGCAACGCAATTATTATTAAAATAAATAAGAACTAAAAGTTCAGATTTTCAGGAAATTATATATTTTTACATGACAATTGTTTGGACAACACCGTGTCTTTATCAATTACTATTGTCAACAAAAAAGATGATGGCCACGATCTTTTGGGATTGTGAAGGAATTTTTTTGATAATATGGTTCCAATTATTTAAGTCTAATTCTCATCCACACTTTTGAACCGCTCGTCTCAACTGCCATTTTCCTTTTCTGTTATTTAATTTACGGACAGACATAATACCTAACACAACATAACATTCTTCATCTCGTCTGCCGGGGATCATTTTCTGAATGGAAGCCCGGCAACCACTGCATAATCGGAACTTCCTAAGCACAGAATAGAAACTTTCAACACTGTGTCAGTGCTTCCAACATTACATTTTTAAATTTAACAAATTACGCATTATTTATGGCTCTGTTAACGACCTCAACTTCGTTATTTTAAATGGAACACTATAAAATAATATAATGACATTTTTGGAATCCTTGATTAAAATAAAGGTCACTTTCTTAAGAAATTCCTATCCAAATTTTGCCCAGTTTAGGCAAACATTGAGATTGTTTTTTTCATATTTTAATTGTGCCATGTAAAATTGCGTTGTGGCTGTACTAATCCAGCTATTGCAACTAAAATTTAACCACAGACTAAGGAGATGATGCCCTACTCAGTTTGACAGATACGTCTAAGCTTATACAGGGTGTCCCGTTTTGGCGAATTCAATTAACAAAATCTCAAGATTTTCACACGGAACTTTCAGATATCAATTCTAGGATCAAAAATAAGTTAAGTTTGTAATTTATCTTATATTCAAATTTTACTTACTTTTTGAGCTATTCGAGGTTTAAGATAACACGCGTATAAATTCTTGTTGAATTTAAAGCCGCCCACGTTAGGTCACTTGTTGACAATATTGGGTATTTTTGAAATAGCAAAGACATTACTATTTCTTTTAATGATATAATACCCCTAGAATAAAACCAATTGCTAACAATATAGGGTGTCCATTAATACGTCGAAATTTTGAAAAAAATCGACTATACTACACTACTACACACTTTAACCAATGTTACCTCGGAAGCAGTTTAATATTTTCTTCACCAGAGGTCTCGTTGAAATGTAAAATCAATTCTAAATTATGATGACGATACACGGGCAATAACCCAGCTGCGCGGTCGCCGGAAGTTCCATCTTCGCGGCATTTCCTTTCGTTAATTATCACGATACGGCGACCACCGTCATTATAATCCTAAAGGAACCGCCTAAGAAGGGGGTGTCGTCCGCCCTAGGTACGTGCCGCTCTATAGTTTCGAAACGTCGGGGGAAATTTGAACGAACGGAAAGTAACGACGCATTGTTCGCGTTCAAACGCATTGCCAAACATCCTGTGAAGCGAGTCGCCAGAAGAGGAATGCGACGCTAACGGAAGACTCGACCCAGAAGGCCGTAGGCAAAATCTTTCGATCTCGCTCGTAGCGCGTTAGACGTCGGAGGCGGCTAAAACAGGATTTAAACCAGTAGAAAAAAAAAGAAAATGCGTTTATTAATTATAGTCGTAATTAATTCAGCATAAAATAGTTTTACCGTCCCAAGATCGGTTAGAGAGGCACGACAGACGTTGTATACTATACAAGAGGGCAGCTCCAAAATTTCCCAGCCTGAATATGAAAGAAACAAACAAAATTCAAAAGGTATTCAATGCAAAAATGTCCACATCTAGGAAATTACTTTGTCGTCTAGTATTTGCCCTATGTTACATTGGTGTTAGTGAATAGCAAAAAGGTCTTTATCTCTTGCGATTTGCCTTGGTATTAGTAAGTAAATTTTTGATCAATGATAAGAGGAGCCGACCCGACAGTCTAGAGTCAGTAATAAAAAAATTAGGGTTTCTAAAATCTGTTGAGTTTTATGCAGCCAGTCAGTCTATTTCATTCGCTAATGATTGCTAGGTTTAGCAATCAGACTCAAGCAAGCATAACATAACATAACTTAGTTATTTATTTTGCTCTCCTCAGCTTTAGAGATTGTAGCCTTGTAGTTTTATGTAGAAATGGAGTCTGTTCGTAAAATTAATAATAAATAAATAAATGAATAAGTATTCTTCTGAAAATTATTGTATTGTGACTATGTATGATTTAAGCGTGTCGAGACTGATGTTAAAAAAAGGCTCAAAGTGTAGGTTAGACCTGTTACTCTTGTCGCTGTAATGGAAAGATAAGACCAAGTGTAACTACATGGTAACGGCAAGAAAACTTTTTGCGTTCGCATTGCATGCCCGAAGAAAGAAAAAGAAACTCGCATTCTGCGATTGTTAAATGTTACGGTTTATCCGGTTGATTGCCGATAAATTGTAGTCGGACCTACCCCGCATATATACTGCCCGACGCAGTTAAAATTAGCGCATCGGGTCGGGATCCCCGCCGCGGAGTCGCAGCTGCCGTTGAAATCGAACACCTGACTCCGTCCGTGGTCGTCAGTTTTCTTTACCACATGCACGCACACCTTTCGCGTGGAGCCCCAACAAAAATAACGTCACCGCTTAACCCGACGCGACGCTGTTTACACAGTCGTCGGGTGACATTCGAATTAAGAGCGCAAAAACAAGGTGAACGCGGGCAATGAAGCTTTGCACGTACCGACATCGAAATAATCCGCAAATCCGTTACGCTATTATGTCACAAAAATGGCCGTAAAAAGCGGCGCGACCTACATCTTAATGTTGCTACGTGGGGCCATGCAGTTGCGATGGCGTCTAGAAAATATCGGTTTTCGAGAAAAAATTGATGAACTCGCACCGTATTCGTTTATCAAAAAGCTTATTAATCCTGACCAAGCATTTCGCTCGCATGCACACGTACGTTTTTCTAGACTGTTTACTATTGCGAAACCTCAAACAAGTCGGATAACAGAATCGTTATTAACTTTTTTTTCTTTCCGTGGTTAATATCTGTGACCAGCTGAAGGCTTCGATGAAACCCATATAGCTCGCAGACATGTAGAGGCCCTTCCTATGCAGGAGGAACGCGTGAAGCAACTATGTAACAAAATTTTGAGAAGGTCTGTTCACTAAGCGCATGCGCGCGATTTGAAATTTCGTTTTTAACCAATGGCAACTCTAATTGCAAATTCTGACGTTCGACCCATGCTGCATTATATGTCGAAAGCACTGCCATAAAAATGCCGCAACCAAACATGGCCGATCTGTCAGCCGCCATGTTGTTTGTTGTCGCAAGGTCTTATGGATCGAACGTCAGAATTTGCAATTAGAGATGCCAGAATTTGTCATTAGAGGCACCATTGGTTAAGTTCCCGTACTGTCGGCATAGACAGGGCCTCTATATGGGTGAAACTAACCAAAATTAAACCGAAACGAACCATGGCGTTATATATTCCCTATTTGTTAAATACACATTGTTTTCCTCTATAACCTACACGTGTATGAGTTATTTTGGGCTGTTCAGTAAGTTGAACATTTTTCAAAGATAAATTAATTAGCCATTTTTATCAAAAATATATTTCTGCTTGCATTTTCATAAAAATTAACTAACTTTGATCTTAAACTTAGATAAAAAAATGCGGCCAACACAGAAGTCCATATGTCGTTTGGTTGTCAACAGATTCGCACACTAAACTTTAGTAGATACATAACATTGTGCTTGATGGACATTACAATTAATTTTACAACAATAGATTATACTGAAGAAGAGCAAATTTACTTTTTTTATTTTCTGTTTACTAAAATAAGAATAATGTGTTTCCCAGATCAAGAAAAAAACATGCATTAACTTAAAATTCACCTTTTTCAGAAACGGGATATTAAAGTTAATCGATACGCTTGTCGCGTTAAAATCGCTATACAGTGACGTCATAAAACGATCGCAATTTATTGTTAACCTATTTCATATTCTTCTCCTTTGATATACCATAGATCGGAAGCAGTGACACATCAAGACAACCCCCGTAAGATAACCTCGCGTGATTCGTGGCGTTGTCAGTGCTTTCAGCGATTTGATTTGTGCAATTTGGCGATTATGATCTGCAATATATTTGCCTATAAATATTATGCGCTCGGAGTGTTAATTAAACACATTCGCAGGCGATAAGAACGACGTTATCGGTGAATCATCGGCCGAAAATTCGCAATAGGACGTTTTTGGAATGTCACAGGTACGTGGTTGAGCGCTGAAATTTTCCCGTGGTATCGGATATTATATTTTATTAAGTTTTTCGCTCAGTTGCATTTTAAAATGAAGGGCTTCGGCCCGAGGGTCGATGCTACCGACGTAATGAAAAGGAAAATTGAAATAAGATCGTGCCCAACGAAATTGATTTCTTAAATTGCGTTATTCCGTTTCCATTTTTCAAAATTAAAAATATGTTTAGTGTTAATTCATTTCGATGAGGAGCCACTGCTAATTAACAACGCATTACATGCAGACTGTAATTGTACGAGAAAGTCGAGAACTTTAATACAAATTGATGTTAGATGACACATTCCGACGATAATACTGGACCGACACTACAAAATTAACATACATATAACAATAACACGTGTTTCTTGCAACATCTGAGTGTAACGACAAGCTTTGAGAGGTTGAAAATTGCCAGGGATCTAAATACTGTGTCCGCATCTTTTTTCTAGTTTGCTAGTCTAGTAGGCATATAGGCAGTACGTTACTTTAAAACCTCAGTCTCATTAAAAACTATCGCAAGCCAATTCCGCTTCGTTACACTCGTACCTAAACAAATTCGTAACTAAACTGTCGATTATGAAACAGTTAAGCTTTAACATAACTTAAAAATGAAATAACATTTTAATTTTAAGTTGTGCGATACATATGGACTGATATGGAATGATGAAAGTGAAAACCTACTCTATATAGAACGTTTAACTTGAAGAAATTATCGGTTGTCTTTTCCAAAACACAAATTTATCAACCGCGTACAATTACAAAATAAAACGATATACATTGGCGTGCGGGAAGCGTCAGTTTACCACGTCAGTTTCGTTTCCCACGGATCCGAGCCACTTGGGACATTTTCGGGATTTTACGGCACGGGTTTGGGAACAATCGGATGTTTTCGGCGAAATTTCCCACGGTTTGAATTTTGACGTGTCAATTTTTACGATCATATCATGTATTCGTGTTGTTTGCGTTCGGTAAACTTTTAAGTCACTCGTTTATTAACCGCTCGCTCCGCTCGCGTCAAATAAACTCGTGAGTTAAATACCGTTTACCGCACTTGTTACATAATATACTAATTATAAACCTCCAATGATATTTGCGTAGATACAACTTTTTTAAAGCTTCCGTAAGGCGGTTTATACCACACAAGGCCAAAAATAAATAGCACACAGCTAATATAAAGCGATTAAAATTAATATTTGGGAAAATAAGCAATTGGCCTGTCCGCCACGGCGATCCATCTATTGTGGCTCTCTCCATAGCTATAGACCTTTTTCTAGATTCGTCTCTTCGATTAGCCTTCTTCAACGAATCTGCATGATAGAACGCAACTCTATTGTTACGAATCTTTTTCATTTCAAGTTTTGAGCAGTCTGAGCATAACCCTTATCGGTGAACAAGTTTTCCAGTCTAGTCCAAAGTATATATATTTTTTTAAAAAGCGACCTCAAAATGAAAATGGTAATTTCGTTCGAGATAAAAGGATCTGGCGCGGTTTTCAAACAGGTTCTTAAATCCGACTTACGTAAGCGCCGAATCCTTATTCGCAAATCTTATTACCATTCTTGCAAAGGAAAAGGTCGTTAAAAAAAAATAAACGAAAGTAAAAGCTAATAATCGCTTCTTCAAACGGTCGTTGCGAAATTTCTTTGTTGTTTACTCGTCGACCGACTCGCTTGAGTTACGATCCGACGAAAACGGGGTCCGCGAAGGCACATCCGTCGCCCGCAGGGCTCGCACAAGAACGCGTCCGGTAAACCTTCTTACCTTTTACATCGTAGGATTAATCCGAAATAAAGCTCGCGGTAAACGCGACACCAACACCACCATTAACCGAGAAAAAAAGAAGCGACGCGATATATAAACAAAACCGAAGCGGCAGAACGCGGGTAAAAGAACAAACGGCTGCCGCCGCGTCGCGATTCGTTAAGTCACGTGGGTTCGTGTCGGGCAGTCGCGCCGCTCAAGGTAAACTGACGAGCGGTTTCGGGAGAACTAGTTTGCGGGGCCGTCGAGCGGTTACGAGGGCGCGCGCGCGCCGCGAACGCTCTGTATGTGTGTGCGTGACGTGGCGTTGGGGCTAAACATATAGCTATTAGATAATTTAATGGCCGGAAGTGCACCAAAATTGGGAATGATCTTCCGCGCATGCACATAAATTTCACACACTAACCTGCATTTTGCGCTGGTCCACGGACTTGACTAGTTTTCCAGAAAATTTAGGCGAATTTCCAAGAAAATACCGTTTTATTTTATGTTTGAACATTCATACTCCAACGCGTAGACTCCGGAAGTGCTTAGTTTCAATACAATATTTTTTAGAAAGAACGGCTTTTTTTCATTGTGTTATAGTTTATTTGACACGAGCGGAGCGAGCCACCTTATTTGCCCTTTTGATTTTAAGTAGCAAATTTAATTTTTTAAATGAAATATTATAGGAATCGTCTATACGCAACTTTGGCCAAAGTTGGGCTACGCTTTGTCTTTTACTGTTTCCGAAATCTAAATGGCAAGGGCCGAATTTGAAACACCCACTACACAGTTTCATTAATACACGCAGTCGCCCATATTGCAATACACTTTTTTGTACTCCCTACTCTAAAGTACCTTATTATACACGGATCAACCATGAGAAGGGTGTCGCTCGAAATCCAAGAACCACTTCCAACATTTTCAGTGGTTTAGTCGCTGATTTGGGAGCGATCGGATGTTTTCGTCACTTATGGTATTTTGACGTGCGTCATTTCCTATGGCCACGTCATACGTCACAATGCATTCGCGCTGTTTTACATCAAATATCCAACAACTAATGGTCGTAGAAAGGGCATAGTTTCGACGTATTATTATATCAGTACATATGCGTCCTGTAGCAAAAGTAGTTCAAATGAACCATGCGCCTCGCACTTGTCTAATATATATGTTTGCTGAGAAGAAAGCTTCAGAATTTTTTTTTTTTTGCGAAATTGGAATTACTGTAATTATGATAATCACGCTTGAGTAGTTCAAACGGACCGATCATCCGCATCATGCGGACTAAGAAAAAACACGTGGACAAAATGATTTTTTATTAGCAAAATAAATTACGCTATGTACAAAAAAATCGGCGGTGTCCCTAAAAAATAACTTAACAATAAAATCTCGAGTAAACGAACCAACAATTGCATATATGTAATATAAATATCCTCCGGTCACGATAACACAGCCTGTCACTGGAGCCGTGCGGAAAACGGCCTGGCTTTCTCAGGGATGGTTAAGGCACGAATGTGTTTTTTTTTTTTTAAATAATAGCCGCACGCCCGACGACTACAGTTATCCCAACCCCAACACGTACTTGGGCACCTGCATGGTCAGCCTCGGTATCGACATTATTACTGAGACCCTAAAAATCGATAACGTTTCAAAAACCGGATTCGTATTTGCTACGGGGGACAAGAGTAGCGTTAGTTTCGGAAGTGTGAAGTTGTTCGGAACCATTGTTACCCACCTAAATGATCCGCGTTCACCTGTCCACAGAACCTACACCAAGCTATAAGAAAAAAGTGGATTAGCGGGTGGGAAATTCAAAGTTAGGGCGTAGAATACCGAAGAACCCGAAGGGAACGGGATACGGAGGGGGTGACACTTACGAAACCGATATCGTGTTGAAAAACCAATCCTTCCACGAAGCGTTAGAGGTCGAGTCTATTCTGGACTCGAGGGTTTGACACAGGCTCTTCCTGTCGTGAGATCGACCCGAACGTAAATCACACAGGATCTTTTTCCTGCACTCCATATCGCAGGCGGGTCGTACCGGGCTCGCCTTGTAGTAGTACCTGCAACACGGTCGATGCAACACACCGCGAGCTGTTTTACGTAGGTCGACTACTTGTAAAAGAGATCGAATAGCTTAGGATCGTTGGTCATGCGCTCGACCAGATCGTCCCAGTCCCTCGGCCTCAGGGCTTCCATTCCGAACGACTGTTTGGCGCTATACAGCTGGAACCATATCGGGTAACCATAAAGGTTTGCTTCGCGAAGGTTCATCGTCCACGATTCGTGGTCGACCACGGCCTGAAAGGATGTAATTTTAGCCGCGCCTCTATGGTCGGTGTATTTGAAAGAAGAAAGGCGATTGACCAAAAAGACCTAAAGGGATGGAAAGAGAATTCGACAATGGTGGGAAAACACTCCGGGGAATTCTTCAAGTCCATCGGTCTAGTTTACAGCAGATCTGTTAAAACAGAAAACAAATGCCGAAAGCATAGTGATAAGTCTACTGAAAGACCACGACCAGCTTAAGAGGCATGTAAGATTAATGGGAGTAGAAGGAAAGACTGAATGCAGATTCCGCCAAGAGGGGGAAACAGTCACACACGTGCTGTGAAAGACAACGAGCTACACCAAGGAGTCACTTTCGAAGCCTTGGAGTCTAATCAAAGGACCTAGCTAAAGCTCTATCTCTATGGAGAGAGTCATTCTTTGAATCTTAGAATCTTAAACATTGTCAATGACCTAGTGATCGTAGTGGAAGTGGCGATACAAAACCCTGAAACTTGACATAAGCGAAAAAGGAGCTTATGGCTCGTAATTGTGTTCTCGTGTCTTAATTCATGGTGATCCTAATTGTAACGAAATTAATTTTCATTATTTCCTAAAAACTGCTTTCTGAGGGCGATGTATCTAGGTGGTCGTCAAGGATACTTTGATGCTGAAGCAATTGCCTAAAGCACCATCATGTCTTTCACCGACATTTTTTTTATTTTTCTTAAAAACATTCTTTCAGGTAGAAATAATAAAAAAGAGGACCTCATATGCTGTAAAGTCTGTTCATAGATATAAGAAAGTGACTAACTGATACTAATTAAGGTAGGACCCGGGCAAGCTGTAAGAATGAAATATGGCCGAACAGGTCCGTACTATGCTTAGAATTTAATTATTTGGAGTTTTGTTAGGAAAGATACTGAACAATATTTGTTCATTTATGTATGTATTTATGTTTAAATCTAAAATAAAATTACAAATTATTTTTATTACCTACTTAAATTACTTAAAATTATTCACATAATATACCAGTATCACTATCGCTATCATCGCCTGTTCTAATTATTATTTGTTCTATATTATTTGCAATATGGATTATGATTGTTCTATTTTTTCTATATGTTTAACAGAACTTGCCCAACTTTGTGGAGGGATGTTAAAAACTTCGGTTTCTATAAGTTTGAGGACATTGGAACTAACACGGGGAAAAACATTGTTACGACGAATGGCAGATTTCAGTTGGTGCCAAACATGTTTAATGGGATTAAATATACAGTGGTAAGGTGGAAGCCTTAAAACTGAATGCCCTAGATTTTTTGCATAATTATCACACGTATTCCTTTTGTAGGTTCAAGCTTTGTAGAACCTCAGTTAATTGCTTTTTGGTATAATCTTCGTGAAAATAAATGTCGTGATTATACATGTAGTTTTGTTTTTGTGTCACATGAGGAAGGGGTTTTAGTAAACTGTCTACTGTGATAACTTGCATTGCCCATTACAATGACGCTATTAGAAGGAATGTTTGGAACTAGTTTGTTTTTAAACCAACTTTCAAATAAATCAGCGGTGGTGTCTTCATGGTAATCCAGAGTAGAATCTTAAATATTTTTCGCAGACAGAGAAAGTTCATTTGGAATCCAACCATCTTTAGAGCCAGCATGCAAAATAATTATTCTTTCATCTCTTTTTGATGGCGCGTTTGTTTTTCACTTATCAGTTGAGTCAACCCAACCCATTTCCGGGGTATCTTAAGTGTCGAACCATGTTTCATCCAAGTAAATAATTGGCCTTTGTTGTTCTTCACTTTCTTCACTTTCTTATATCTATGAACAGACCATACCCCTTAAGAAAACTCATTGAAAGATCTGAAATGTGGCTAACATAACCAAGACATGCGCGCAAAGCGTCAAAACGCCAGCTTCAGAGACGTAGCAGTGGTTAAGATGGTTAAAATTAAAGATGTGGAGCTGATCTCATGGAGCCATTGGTGTCAGATTTAAACTTACCCTGGTAGTTTTATCGTGATCCCCATCCACGTAGTAAATCCGATATCCCGGATTTAGGTCGTAATAAGGCGACACCGACGGTCCTACGTACGCTACGTTTATCGCCCTAGCGAGATCCTTGCTGTCGTAGAATATCTCGAACTCGTCGTAGTGGGTGTGGCCGAAAAACTGCGAAATGATCGTCGACTCGTACCTGTTAACGATGGCGTGGTAGTTCCTCGACCACACCTTCAGGCAGTCCGAGTGTCCTGGAGGTATGTGCCCTATGACGTGAACCTTTTCGCCGTTGAATTCGGCAGATTGCAGCTCGTATATGAACCACTGTAGTTCCGTGGCGGGATCGGTACTGTTCAACAGAAGCCACCTGGAGACAAATCGCACTGTGGTTGAATCTGAAGTGGTGGAGGTGCTGCATTTTCCGACGTACCAGTTTTTGTTGTTGCAATAGTTCATGTTGAGGGAGATGAGTCGGAACCCGGGCCGCACCAAGACCGAATAGAACGCTCCTCTTCTCACGGTGTTGCTCACGCTACTCGGCAACCATTTTCTCCACTGCTTGTCGATTTCGTCGTACAGCCAAGCGATGCTGCTGTCGGGATTGTCGACGAACGGAGGTGGAAAACTGAAATGGATATGGAGTTTGTTTGTTGGAGAGTCTTTTAAAAACCACACCAACTGCGTCGATGGAGGCCTCCCTACGACTCGAGCCCTTACACCTTAGCGTGCCGCTCGAGGTCCGCAAAACGGCCCCAAGATTGCAGGAAATTAGATGTCGGCGACAGAGGGGCTCGGGTGATTCCTTTCTATGAAGAGGAACAAGATTGAGGCTGTGCACCTTGCAAAGCGAGGATCCTTACAAAGGATTACTGGCTCTGTACGAGAGAAAATATTCTTGTGAACCACAGTCTGACACGCAGACCGATCCAAAAAAGACACATATACAGGAGCTGTTATATATGGTAGCTACCCTAGTGTCATCCAAGAAATATGCCGTATATGATACTGATGTGGTGTGCTCACGAGAACCTGAACAGAGGGTTTTTGGAAATTTTGTCAATTCTGTATTGTGGGCAACAACACGGATGGTAGACGGGCAAAGGATGTTGAAGAGTGCTGAAGAGCAACTTGAATAAAATCCTCAGGGGGCAGTTCTTTCTGTATTGAAAGATTTTAACTTTACTAAGGCAGTCGAGAGTTCTAACACCTCAGTTTCAATGATCCAAACTTCCCAAAAACACGTCAGCTTCGTTAATCACTGCTGCCGGCCGCATCGGGCGTTTCCGGAACATGAGTCACGGGTAAATAAACTTTTGAGTAAAGTGGCGTTTATCAAACGCTGCGCTCGCTAGTCAGTCAGTTGAAAAGAAACGCCGGAACGCACAAATATAAATAATCGACGGATATAAATTATTAGTGGGGGGGTGGAATGAGTAATAGTGTGTAAATAAATAAATAAATCAATCAATCAATTTCATATAATATCATAGATAATATCTCGTAATAATAAAAATTTACCTGTTTACCGGAGCAGATTCGTGGTTTCCGAGGGCGGGGAATATAGGGATCCCGGGAAACATGTCCGACATTTGCTTAACGGTCTCCTTAAGGATTTTCAAATTTTCGTCGCGGGTTTGGTTCCAAATGTCGTGCGGCGGCAAGTCCCCGGTCCATATTATGTAGTCGATGTCCTGAAAATATAGCGCTCTAGCTGAATGTATTTTTTATGTATCGCTTTACCGGGTGCGTCGTCTGAATGTGCTGCAGCATGTTGTCCACCGTGATTTTAGGCGTGTCACATTTCCGATAGTCGCCCCACCTGAAATGACGTAATCACGGAAAATTTGCGAAATTTATTTTAAAGTTTACAGTGACATATTAAAAAATGTATTGATTTTTCTTGTGATGATTATTTCACATGAAGAAATAACATTTGATTATATAATCATTTTTCAGTACTTTGTGTACATTGTCCCGCAGGACGTGGTCTTAAATTATATCTTTTGTGACAGGTTTAGCAGGAGTTAAAACCATAAAATGTAGCTGCCGATACTGTCAATTGATTTCTTATAATTTTTGTTTTTTCAGTTTGTGAGACTAGAATTTTTTAACGTGGAACTATGCTTTAGTAAAACGTCACTATTTAGAGAAATACATACAGGATGTTAAAGTATAGTTCCCGAAATTGTTAGTTCTTTATAACTCAAGTTTTTGAGATATCGACATGAAAACTTGGATTGAACTGAGGTGGTTTTTACTTGTTGAAAATCCATTTATCAAAATAGATAAGAACTAAAAGGTCAGATTTTCACGAAATTATATATTATGACATGACAATTGTTCCGACAACACCGTGTCTTTATCGAATGTGACATTTTGATTTTTTGATTTTGATTTTTTTTTATAAAACACTAAGGACAAATATGAAGTTATTAGTAACTGGTAATAAAAACGGATGATTAAAATATCGGGAAGTACAAAAACAATAACAAACCAAAACAGCTGTTTGACGTTCTGCTCCAAGAAACCAGGGCCATTCGGGTATACAGTTTACACTAAACTCGTGTCACAAAAAGCAACCCCTACTCCGCTCCAGCACTGTTTCGATAAGCCGAACTTACCTTTCAAAATACTGTTTTCGTTTTTTTAAATCAGAGAATATAAAATTGTCAAGAGTAAAACTGATGTGGCGGAACACGCTGGGGGATGGTAACGGGGCTAGGGGTGGTCGTACTCACTTTCCTGCCGCAGATTCTTTTGCGGTGGCGGGTCCATTGGTCAGCCTGCAACACAGGGGCTCGGCACAATCCGCGTTAGCCCCCTCCATGTAGTAAGGGTCGTAGTGGGTGTCAGACAAATGAAGAACCTTGAAGGTAGGCGCGTTGTTCTAGAAACGGGCAGTGATTAATCTCAGAAGCCTTAGATCTGCCAATTTCTTCATTCGGAAACATTTATTGATTCACTTGAGTAACTTTTGTTGAAGACGAGACTCGAATAACGGATTTTATAATAAATTTCTATACATATTAACACAAGGTATGCGAAAAATAAGATTAACAATGAAATTTTAAAAAATTCCAAAACACTTTTTTTTTTAATATTTCCTTTTAAACGTCTATCACAAATAATATCCTGTTGCCATATAAGTTCAGTTAGTGTAAGGTGGCTATGGCGGTGTTTGAAAACAAGCGCTAGAACGCTGTCTCCTTGGACGCGTGTTTTGTTGCTGATTATAGATTTAATTTATTTACTTGCTTGCGTATCAAGTTTACTACAAAAAAGATTGCATAACAAAATTTCCAAAAATTCAGAAGGCGCCCAGGGAGAAAGATTTTCGACATGGAACCTTTAAGATAGAAAAAAATAGAAGTCGTCATATTTTGAGTGAACAGGTTAATATTTTGTTGCATTTTGCAGATACCCCTGAAGATTCAACACGAAATGCGTCTTTAGTTGAACTTATTTGGCAAGATGATCTTTCAAATATTTAAAAGGAAATCTTTTAAAAAGTAAAAATATTAGACATATACAACTTCATATTAAGTCCACTTTCATCTTTTATCAAGTTGGCACTTGTGACATTTTTAATTTATGCTGAACTGTCAAAAAAATAAATCGGTATTGAAATATACTTAGTACATTTTTAAAATTTTATATCATTTTATAAAAAAATCCTAATTTTGAAAGTGACCCAAGTCCATTAATTGAGAATGAGAATTTACAAAACAGCACCCTCAAAGAAGGATTCAGAGAACACAGAAGTGGTACTTATAAATTCGAGGAAAAATTATTTCTGCCAAGGTTTTTCAAAATGAAGATTGCCAATGCCGAAAAGACTGCTTTAAAAAGTTTAAATGAAACACAAAGGAAACGTATTTTGGAAATATTTTGGAGACTTTTATAAGTAAAATATATTGATGTACAAGGCGACCTGAGTCTTGTAAAAAGAAGAAGAAGAAGACGGAGAGAAACGGAAAAGGTTGCAACATTGCAAGTCGACCATATATCTTACGTATATTTTTAATTTTGTAAAAACGCAAAACCTTAAGTAATTCAAATTAAAGATAAATGGACTTAAGTTACATTTAAAATGAACGGTTAATATTTATTAATATATTAATATGTCTCGAAATTTCTTATGAAATTCCCTTATACCGTTTGTCTACAACAAAACTTGCTTGCTTACATATTCTTTCCATTGCGAAATGGTAAATCATGGTGGCAGCACTTTAGCACTTGTTTTGTGGCGTTTTTTTAGACTTAGACTTAGGTGTAGGACATTATACACAAAGTATGTCTATAATTTTGTACAGAATTCAAAAATAAAATAATATACAGGTGTTCCAACTCAATCTATCAACTTTACATATGAAAGAAACAAAAAGGTTTCGGGCCCGTTCCTCGCGGATCGCCATATTAAATTGCTCACCTCCGGAATTTTCAAATCGACGACGTTGGGCTTCGGTACCGGTGGGAACATGACCTCCCATTCGTGGTACGGATTATAGACGTCGCCACAAGCGTCGCCGATGACGAAACTACATATTTCGTCCGGTCCTGGGCGACGAAAAAAAAAAATCAGAAATCTGTTGCGCCGATATAGCGGGCCCTTTGACTTACCGATGTTGACCTTGCTCAACACGTAGATGACTTCGCCGGCGAAGAGTTCCGTGATACCCTCGCAGACCCGCGGCGATTGAATCTTGAGGTTGACGCAGAACTGGTAGATCGTTTTTTTGATTTCCTTTTCGGATTTGCCGGTTTTGGTGTAGTGCTGCAGGAGGCCGGCGCCCGCCCTGCACGCCGTGCAGGACACCTTCGACATGACGGAGTTTTCGATCTCGAACGCGACTTGCTTCAGGTTTAACAGTTTCAGTGCCTTGTCGACGATCTGGGGCAGGTTGCTGGTCTTCTCCTGGTCCAGTACCCAGAACCTGGCCTTGATTCGAAATTTGGCGAATTTTAGTAACTTATCCTTATTTAAATTCAAATTTCGGCAATAACGTTAAAGTAAAAATGAAAATTATCTCAAATCCCGAAACATTTCCGACAGAATTTGCAGGCTTTCCATTACATTCCATTACACTGCAACGTTACCGTTGAGAGCAAAAGTAGAGGAATGAATCGGTATCCAACATTTGGTTTTCTTTATTAGCAATTAAAATGTGCAAAATGGGTGCTTTTGTACATGTAGTTTGAAATAAAACATTTATAGAAAAATTGTGCGCCTTGAAAACACCTACAAAATGAGCGTGGTCAGCCAGAATCCGCTAATAAACACAAAAGTTACGACAAGAAACATTATTGTCAAAAAAATGCTGCGAGGTAACACAAATATAAACAAGATAGTGTTTCATAACGATGTCCAAAAAACTGTGGAAAATCGCGAAAAAAAATGGACGCCGGCGTCGAATCACGGTCATTTTTATTATTCTTATGTACTTCGTGGAGGAGACAAATCTCAATTTCGTAGGTCGAACGGTTCTAAAGTTATTTCGTAAAAACCAAAAGACGAGAACGGAGAACAGACAAAAAAAAATATTTTTACGCTGATTCGATCTGTACCAATGGCGGTCCCGTAGGACCTATCGTTACCGAGATCTTGAGTTTAGTGCGGAAGGCAAAGAATCAATTTCACCGATTTTGCGAAAGCAACAAGAGTGCTTTCGCAATTTCGTCGCTGTGCGAGGCGACTGCTATGAAACTTTCGCAAAATCGATGTAATTTTATCGTGCATGCACCCTGTATAAAGTGACTTTCACGTCTCGTTGAACTTCAGAGTTGCGGCAAACTTCGGTAAATATAAAAATTTGTACTAGTAATAGCGATTTAAAATTATTTATTTTTTAATATCTCGCGAACCCTGTATAATGGATGAAAATCGCAATTAGAACATTGTAGCCCTCGACACAGTTTATGATACCGTTTGTCGTTTTTTATTTACGAACCATAATTTACAACAAAAAATGGACATTTTCATTTTTTAGATTTTTGCCCCTAAACGACAATATTCCGTTCTAGTTATGGTTTCCTTTATAAGGAAACCCCAATTTTCAGTTTTTTTGCAAATACCGGGCACCCCCTGCACATTTTTGAAAATTATAAAGAATAAGGATATATAGTCCCGATCTTGTGGATCTTTTCCTTGTACCCTTATAAACGCCATTTTTAATGTTTAGAAAATACTTCCCCACCCCTCAGCCACTTTCAATAGGTTCCGTCACGAGACTAAACTGCATACATGTGCCAAATTTGAAGTCGATTGCGTCAAAGTTCGTTCATAGCGAAGTCAAAAAAAAATTTTTGTTTCGACGCTGATCACTTCATTTTCGCTAAAATAACGTAGATTTAGACAATAATTTAATGTTGATAAACAAAGGTCTAGTTTTTTTTTTAAATGATCACAAAAAGCATCACATAACACAAAAATGAACTCTAACTTTGAAATATGATTTAAATATCATAAAACAGATTTTTCATAGTTTCCGTTTTTGGTTTAAACTTTTTCTTTGCCGTAACTTGTTGTTTATTCACCGATTCACCCCAAAACACATCTCATTTTGTAGATATTTTCAACGCGCACAGCTTTTGTCTGAAACTTTTTTTTCGAAAAAACCATAAACATTAAAAAATAAAACGGGTTTTTCACATTCTAACTGTCAATAAACATATTGCTGCCCAATTTTCGCAAAGAAACGTTGGATGTCAATTGATTCCTACCAGTTTCCTCAAATCTTATGTCGAAGTCTGATACCAGGCGACAGTTTCTTTGAAAATCACCTCGCTGGGTTATATTACTCTATGGCGATTCAGTTATGGGACACCGTGTACACAAAATACCTACGTACAGTGCTGCGCAGTGGTGGCGGAAGCGTGTGATTTCTGACCAGGTCGGACAGGACCGGCACCCTGCTCTGTTCGACCCGGTAGTTCCACTCATCTCTGAATTCATCTTCCCGTGGGGGCGTAGTCTGCTCGATTTGGTCCACCATGTTGTTCAGGGGGTGACCCAGGACGCCCCACATGAGTGCCGTGACCGCTATCAGTGCGCGCGACATTGTCTGTAAACGACTGACGATGAAACGATGTATTTCGCAAAATGTGCGAGCACGTCGCTTGTGTGCCGTTGGGAAATCGCGCACGTATCGAAAGCAACAACAAAGTGGATGGATTTCGGAACGTATACGAGGGATAGTCGCAAAATAACCGCTCTTTCAACGATATTTTGCGACCAGCCAAAGTTATAATTTTTCTAATCTGGGGCAAATTCGATCTATTTCATACACTGCCCATAATACGGTTAATTTTTCCGAAACTTAAATTATCGACTCGAAATATTTGAAAAATAGCAAAAGTGGCCAAGAAAGATATGTTGGACGATGGTGGAAAATGCACCACAACCGAATTGGGCCAAAAGGTCAGAAAAGTGGAAAATAATTTGCGAATTGTTGATAACATACGTATGGTCTACCCTACTACTGCACTATATCCATATACTCGGTGCTGTACCAATTACGGCACCGAACATAAACAATACGAAGTGGTTCTTCTTCTTCCTTACTTCTGATGGCCGCGACTACATAAGGTCATTCGGCCAGCTTACGACAATTGCGAACATTATTCAAAAATCTCCAAAGATGCCTCATAAAAGAAGGGTCTGGACCTCCAGGGGGCATTCTCCAGGTTTGTTAAAAAAGGTACTTTGACCGACAGCAAAACACTGCCTCCCCAGCAAACCATCCGAGCCTATCCGGCCTCCAACACATACTACACGCGTAAAAACATCCACCAAACACTAAGAACACTAAATCCACGCAGTGGAAACCGATTTCAAGTTTTGTGGGCACGATTACAAGAGATTCTGTCGGGAGCGAGCGGAGGTAAACCCATTGTTCAATCAATTCAATTCAAATCACGAAATCTTCAACAAGACGTGAACCTTGATTATCGCTGTTGGGTTTGGCCAACTTTTTAATGTCGCCGATTAAGTAAACGATGCATCTCAAACAACTTCTTTAAAACGTTGTCCAGAATTTCCGATGCCACAAAATGACTCCAAAAATTGCCGGGTAAACCCTTGAAATATTAGTGGATGAAATAACAAAAACGTCGACGTTGTGAAAAACAACAGAGTTGTGGGTTTTTATGCATTATTGTAAAAAGTAATAAGCCAATTAATATTTCATACTGCACGAGTGAAAAAGTCATTATGACGTCAGTCACGTGATGGCGGCAAATTTGAAAATTTCGACAGGGAAATGCGGGGTCAAAGTGAAAAAGTGCCGAAAACGGTGTTTAAAATGACATTTTAGAGCTTTATGTAAACTTTGGCCTTCGCACGATCAGTATTAGTGATCGTGCTGAAAAGAAACGTACCGAAATTTGCCAGAGACTCGAGTCACTATTTACTAACGGCGCGAGAACATTATGTAGTTAACTTTTATGACCCCACCGGTATCACTGTGGATCACGTGTTTTGTTATGGCGGAAAAATAAGCGTCATTAAGACGTAGTCATTACTTAAAGTGATCAAGAAAATAAGGAAATTATCTGTTAACATTGGCTAACGATAGGAGTTAGTTACAATATATATTTTATGCCTAGAAAATGTTTGTCGCATATGTGAACAGATTACTCAGACGAAGTTGACCAATTTGCGCATTAACGATAAGACCAAATCGACGCTGATAAATGGTCAATTACGCAGATAATTTTCCTTTTAGCGTGACTTTTTTCATTTCGTAGTCGAAGCAATTTCTTCCTGGTTTCGCGGTCAAGAGCGTCTTATTTTCTCGGAACCGTCGCGGTTCCGTAACGAGTACCACGCGTTCCGACTTTCACCCGTTGGTTTGGCCCCTCCAATCCGCGACGCCACTTGATTATATATTGTTCACGAAGAATTTCAAAGAAACCGCATTCTTTCACACATCGCGTACGGAGAGACGGGCCGGATCTGCGAATCATAAGCTGGTCCATTTTATTTTATTAAAAATATGTAATCATACCCTGCCGACGAGATCCAGAGGGATCAATTAAGATCAGAATAAAAATATTCACACACCTGCGCATTACAGTGAGATACAAACCATCAAAAAGCTTGAATCATTCCGAGATTCGGTATATTAAAAGGTCACAGACTTACCAATGAAGTTTTGTGACTCGTTGAACACCAAATTAACCCAAATTAGTTGCCACTAGAGTGGTGGAATTGACCCTTCAATTTTTTTTTGTGTCAATTATTTTTCGAATAAATAAACAAGCTACCAATCAAAAGCATCACGTACTTTATTCTATATAAAACCGAACGTCATTTTTTGACGTATCTTCCATGACCAATAACCTCGTTGACATCCGGTATAAAAAGGTCAAGGAAGTATACAAGAAGAATTGGCGGTTTTAATAGAAATGACGGGATTAAAATATGCACTTTTTCTGTATATTATGCAACAAGTTTTATAAACAACACTTTAGTCACGAGATTGTTTGGGTTGATGAAAATATTTATAAATATGTCGCATACATGCGACATATTTATAAATTTCTTCTACGATTTAATGAGCGACAAAATACGATCAGTATCTCCACATCCCATTGCCCGTAACTCGTGACTAAAGTGCTGGAAACGCACGAATTGGTTCGCATAATATATATGGAGTAAATTACGACTCAGAAAAGCACTCGGCGTAAATCACAACCTTATAAGCCATAATTTAGTCCTATATAGTCCTTTATAAATCAAGTTAGTTGTTTTGGTTTGTTTTTAATTTGCAGATAATTTAACAGCATTGTATTACCACTTTATTTGATGCTCAACGATTTATATGCGTAGGTAAATATTTAGCTAATATTCACTTTCTCAGTACGAAAATTTGACCTGAAAATTTTATGGCGGCAACTTTCTTCTGGTTTAAAGTCGACCGTTAAAATAAATATATTCAATGAGCGCGTTTGTTTTTTTTTTTTCTGTCGCACTTTTGACCCGGAAATCGATACTTATGGAAGGTCCGAAGATGGGACATTTTTTGGCAAGTATTTTGACAAAATATGCCCAGAACTCAGCAAATTTTGAGCTGTAAGACATGTTAACTGTGCGCCCGGGACATTTGTTTAGAAAGAAAATCAAAAGTCAAAAATAGGTGGTTTCGCATGGGGATTCTTGTTTTTGTTTTGCACATTTCTATAAGGTTTAATTAATGTATGTACCGATATTATTCTGACTGCAATCGTTTACAATTATTAACAATATTTTCTTTAATTGTTTGTAAAAAATAAAATTCTTAGTATATCTTTAAAAAAAGCTTCAAAAAGCATAAAAATTTATATACACACTTATACATAGAAATTTTTGAAAGTCTTCGTTTAGAAAAAAAATTTTTTGTAACGAATTGGTAATAATAATCATAAATTTCTAGATTTTCTTTAAAAAAAATTATTTTGTGTCTGCTATATGAATAATACAATACAAATTTTATTTATTTTATTTATCTATAATCACGTTTATATAAGTTATAAGTTTATATAGTGGCTTGTTGAATAATTATTTATTTATAAAACAAAATCCTCATCGTGTAATATGCAACGCGCAAACTTACCAAAAAAAGTAAATTTCTTTTGTCGGATATATAAATCACTGCAACTATATGCAACACATTTTAACGTATATTTATTAACACCAGCACGGAATTATTAGTAGGTATCCTACAAACAGAAGATTGTCACCGTCCAAAAAAAATTATCACAACCACTTCAATTATTAGCAGACGATTTACCTTCGAAAACCCTAACCAGGCAGAAAAGGTCAGAAATAATACAAAAAACACTCTAAGTACACGTATCTCACATTAGCATGAACAAATTTTACAAATTAACAAATTTTTACGATTTCACCGTGAAATACCGAGGCGACGCTCCATCTATATCGAAAACTCGAACTAGTCTAACAGTAGGTTCAGAAATTTTGAAAAGTATTTCAAAACTGAGGATCGGTCGAAGAAACTCAGCTACGAGATTTTGGCTGAGGTACCGTTGCAGATTAGATACCGTTAATTCTGGCGCATTTACTGTTATTTTATTCGGATTTGGTTTCGTTTCGACGTTGTCTTGCTTGCCAACGGATAGAGGCCGGGAAAGTGCCGTCGCGTTTTCGACCCTCGGGAGGGCACGTTCGCCACCTACCGAAAAAAATCGACGCGTTTTCGTCACTTTTGTTCATGAAAATCGCACGGGCGTTGATGTCGAGGCAGAGGTCGGACACTATTCAGTCTAGCTAACTCTTTTTGGTGCGGATCGTGCGCGGAAGTGACCGACGCGTTGCGCGACACCGACCGATCGCCAAATGCGGCCTTCGAAGACTGGAAATTGTGCGCGCACAAAGGACGAAGAGTTGGCAGACACCGCCGTTCGCGTCGCGTAGAAAACCTCGCGAGGTTGCCGCTTATCGTAGGAACTCGAACTGTCTGCGTTTTGCAAAATCCCACGTGTGATAGAATTTAAAGCGCATCGCAACAAATGGCAAAATACAACTAACTTTTCAATTATTCGTTGAAATAAAACGTTAAAATAATGAAAATCAGGATCTACTGGTATTGGAACCGGAGGTAGAGTCTGTCTCAATCCTCATCGTGTTGGCTTTGGACGGACCCGCCCCCAGTAAAATTTTAACGATGTTATTACCTATTGTTATTGGGGAAGGTCGGTAGCAAAAAAAGTAGCGGTGGGACCCTGAGATATTTCTTCAGTGTTGACCATTTGTGGTAGGGTTGAAAGATGCTGCGCGTTTGGAAATAGTATAAGGTTGTTCGGAAATCATTTCGTTTTTTCCCGTCAGAGGACTTAATTACGTTTTTTCGAAACCAACTTCACACTTAAGCCGCATAACCATTATATGTCTTGAGAGCTGATATTGCAAGGCTTGTGTGTGAAAAAGTTCTATTAATTCTACGCAGTAGTTTTTGGTTGGTGCCCTTTTAAATATGGAGAGCAATAAGCAGCATTTTCGTCATATTTTACTTTTTTACTTCAGAAAAGGTAAAAATGCTGTCCAAGCGAGAAAAAAATTGACGGATGTGTATGGAGAAGGCGTGTTAACAGTACGCCAGTGCCAGAACTGGTTTGCAAAATTTCGATCCGGCAATTTTGATGTCGAAGATGCACCACGGTCTGGAAGGCCGGTCGAAGCTGACAAAGATGCGATAAAGGCATTAGTTGACGCAAATCGGCGAATAACCACACGAGAGATCGGTGAGAGATTAAATTTGTCGAATTCGACTGTTTATGGCCATTTGAAAGGCATGGGCTTAACCTCGAAGCTCGATGTGTGGGTGCCCCATGTCCTTACGGAGCGAAATTTGTGTCGTCGCGTTGACGTGTGTGATTCGCTCCTCAAGCGTCAAGAAAATGATCCATTTTTGAAGCGGATTATTACTGGGGACGAAAAATGGGTTGTATACAACAATGTTAAACGCAAGAGGTCATGGAGCAGAAAAGATGAACCGGCTCAAAGCGTGTCAAAAGCCAACATTCACCAAAAAAAGGTGATGCTCTCCGTTTGGTGGGATGTCAAAGGAATCGTTTTTTTTTGAGCTTTTGCCGGACAATACAACGATTAATTCAGAAGTCTATTGTCATCAACCGGACAAATTGAATGATTCACTTAAAGAGAAGAGGCCCGGATTAATCAACAGGAAGGGTGTAGTGTTCCACCAGGATAATGCGAGACCTCACACAAGTTTGGTCACTCGCCAAAAACTTTTACAGCTTGAATGGGACGTACTGCAACATCCACCATATTCTCCAGATCTGGCGCCTTCCGACTACTATTTGTTCCGGTCCCTGCAAAATTTTTTGGATGGCAAAACCTTTACCTCAAATGAAGATGTCAAAAACCACCTGAACCAGTTTTTTGCCAGCAAGGACCAAAACTTTTATGAGAGGGGAATTATGTTACTGCCAGAAAGATGGCAAAAGGTGTTGGACCAGAATGGCCAGTATATAATTTAATAAAATATTTATTAATTATACGAAAACTGTCTTTCATGTTCCCCAAAAAAAACGAAATGACTTTCCGAACAAACCAATATATTATGCAACAAGTGCGGCCAAATGGCATTTGACTCACGAGTTTACTTGACACGAGCGAAGCGCGTGTTTAATAAACGAGTGAGTTAAAAAGTTTACCGAACGTGTTCCATACTATACTTTTTCTACGACCGTTAGTTTTTGGGTACACAAACGGCAAAATTCAAAGCGTCGGAAATATCTCCGAAAACGTCCGATTGCTTCAAAATCCGTCCGGTAATATCCCGGAAATGCCCGAAGTGGCTCGGATTCGTGGGAAACGAAACTGACGTGGTGGTGGAAGTGACCCTTCCCGCACGCTTGTTCGGTGTGTAATTAAGTAATTTACAGACGGGAGTACACAATTAGCGAAAAAAAATGGAATATTATATAACAGTGAACTAATTGAAAAGTTTTATTATCGGCACCCAATATACTCGAATGCCGTTTTCCATCACTAAATAAAAAAAAGACCCTGTATTTTGCAAAAGAAGCAATCTGAATTTCCAAACAAATATTATACCACATATTTTTCTAGTTAGGTGAGAATTCTCCGCCCTCCTTTTTTCGGAGATGTTTAGAAAGCGCACTGTACAATATTATCGATTCGCTTGACAAAATTTAATTTCTATTAAAAGCTTCCCTGTCTTCAGCAATTATTCAATTGTTAATTGACTTTTATACACAAGTGCTGAGATGTATTTTATTTTTTTATTTATACGGTTTTTTATGAACCCATCATAAAGGCCCGTTACGAATCTACCTCTGGTGTTGAGGTAAGAAATTCGCTAATATAAATTGGAATATCAGTGCCTATGTAAAAGACGGTCTTTCGTGCTATTATAAGTGTTTTTTCGTAGTAGGAATACGACTCTACTCAATTCGCTGACTGAAACCATTCAAATTTTCTGTGTCACCTAGTATTGTCAGACACCAGAATATTCCCGAAATCCTTCTTTGATGATGATGCTGCCGACAAACAAACGTGGACGTTTGGAATTATTTATCTGACATCCAATAGCGGGACCTTTTGAGCCACGTATGAGAGGTAAATTTTGCATGTATATGAATATCGATAGTAACCACAGCAAAAATTAATTTCAAGTATTCTAAGAAAATGTTTTGTTGGATCATTTGTAATGCCAGTTGAAGACTATCCTCGAGTCAAAATTATATTGTATATAATTATTTTTGAATGCGTGGATAGAATAAAACGAATCATTACTAACCAAACACTATTGCTTAGGTTTAACCTTGTCGCCAATTGCAGCGTGCAAATTATTATTTATTAAACCTAATAAATAATGATTACTCTGCATTAAACATGTGGATCTATCGGCAAGCATTATTGTTTCTGTGCTCCTTGGAAGGTTTGTGGTTAATGATGCAAGAACATCTTAGGACGAAATCCATTTTTATCGTATTTAAAGTGTACTCCGTAAATTTAACGGTCTATTAAATAAGGCCAAGTATCCACAAATCGCGTTTCTAAAGCTGGTAGCCTAGCTGGCTATTTTTCAAATCCCCAATATCGAATCATTTTCGAACAGCCCTCCCTCTAGGTGAATACAAAATAGTCACCGTGGCAACACCGCGAGTGAAACTGGGTCGCGGAAAGCCCTCTTCTGCAACGGGAGGGAGATGCGAAAGTGGGTACCGCCGGGTACCGCGCGTGTAAACAAACCGCTGCGAGGAAGAACGTGGCTCGATCGAAACGCCAGAGAGTCAAATCAATAATTTATTTATTAGCCAATAAAAATACAAAGACGAAAAGCTCTAATAAAAAAAATCTTAAATAATATTATTCATTGGCAATGTCGTAATACGTACTACATATACAAAAATAATTCGAAGTGACAACAAAAGGGAGACAGAGTAGAAACAAAAAACGGGGGACACTGGCCGGACTTTACGGTATTCATGATTTAGGCGGACCAGAAAAAAATATCACAGAAATATTAGCTACGACTATCGCCGAAGAGCCGCTGCAGTGGCGGCGATTGCGACAAAAACCAAGAATTAACTTTGCACGAAATGAAACAATGTTGCTTTGGAGATAAATGATCATCTATCATTCTTAAGGATAAAACAATACCTTCAGATGATACAATGGTGTGGTACTTTTAAAACCCTGTTAATTGCCCGCAAGAAAAAAATGCATTTAAAATAAACATAATGCACGTACGAACCAACGCTGCAAAAAAAAGCAGCCCATTTCCGTGAGCGGGAAAAAGAACCACTTTCTAGAACGTAAAAGATACATTTCATAATCTTTTTCTTCATCGTCGAAAAATCAACGGACATAATACCAGCAACATGAAAAAAAAAAAAGAAAACAATTATCGCGGCATACTTGTTCCCCGTTTTTGTTTCACTACTCCGCGCCTGTAATAACAGCGAAAATATTTAAAAACAAGTGATATGACAGCTCGATCGATTGCATTGTATGGTGGGATCAAAACTACAACTAAACACCTTAAACCTAAAACGCGACGCCGCAAAAAAAATTACACCTTTTCGTTTTTTTTTACAGATTTTCTTGGACTCGGACGACAATCACGGCGTGTCTTTCGATAGGCAACGATACTCCAATAGTCTCTGGGAACCAACTACCGTGCTTCGCTCGTCATAAAAAAAACCTGGCTCGATACATATTGATAGTAAAAGTAGCGGTGGGTTGAGTTGCGGCGGCAACATGTGGCAAAGATTTTTTTTTTTTTAGTCCAATTCCATCAAGAAAGCTGAAATTTGGTGAAGTCGTTAAATGACGAAAATAGCCCCCTGGGTTTGTAGTGGTAGAAAAGCGATCAACTGATGAATGAAATAATATGTAATGTGTTAATATGTACAAAGGGTATCAGCGTTCTTGATTTTTTATTTTAATAATTATGGTACGTATATAAGGAAAAAATTAGCTTTCTTACTGATTGTTATCACATGTCAGTTGGTTTCCAGACTATAACGGATTTAACTCCGTAACTCAATAGTGTTAATCTGTGTATAAAGAAAGTAGATGGCGATAAACCACGCAATATCGTCACAAAAATAAGACTGTTCCGAGACGTGCCGTGTGTACACGGTCGGTCGCGTTACACACGTAAAAATAGTCGAGTAGTTCAAATGTACTCGCGTTAAAAAGTTAAACGTTAATCGAACAGTTCCTTCACAGACCCACGAAAATAGAAAAGAAATATATTTTGTACTTCTATCGAACGGCACCCCCCGTGGCTCTTGCATTTTTACCGCTACCGCCCCGCTTACTCGGCCGTACCGAAAATTCGAGAGAGATCATATAATTTCGGACGTTTTTGCAGCCCGGGGGGGGGGGCAACTTAATTCAAATACATTTTTTACGCGCAGTGAACTCTACTAAACTAACTTATGGTGAAATATATTTTGGCGATACACTTAATATAGCTGTCGGACTCCGTTTTAACGGCGCAACTCACTCCCCACACTACACCCCCCCCATAATGCGGCTCAAAAACGATAACAGAAATAAAAAAAAAATAGCCAGCGTGTTTCACAATAAGCCTGATCCTTAAGGGTGTGATCTTGAAATTGATGTTCACATCGTTTAACGCTAGTTTCTCATATTCAACAGTAATGGCAATTTCATTTTTGATAAAAGCAGTGACATACATTTTTTTTTCGATACAAAAATTAGGTATAATGCTTATTCTGATGTCACTGCATATCAAAATAAAACCAATCATACCGTTTCCTTCTTAAAATGATCGATCCAAGGAATCACAGCCTTAAAGATGAGCATATTATTATGAAAACACCCTGTATTTTCGCGCACGCGTGTATGGAACGCATTGGCGCGACCGAAAAAAATTATTGTCTAGACGCGAATAAAATACTTTCAATTTGCTACGAGATATGAATATAATGTTATGATGATGTGTTTGTCCATTTCCCGCCAGCTCCCCACCCGCCCCTTTTTGTACGACTAGTTAAGTTTCTACTCCGAGCACCAGCGATTTAAAATAATTAATTCAATCCCCCCCGCCCCTCCGGTTCCGGAAGTAAAATAACTCCTCGCTCGTCCCCTTTCAAATGTCGACAATCTACATGGTGTCCCATAACCAGAGCAGCAACAAAATAAGATTTGCTATTAAAAAGGTGTTGAAACGAAAATAGTATCAAAATTATTGTACCAGCGTAGGCAAGAAATCCGAATCTCGATTGGTTCGAGACTAATTTTGAAAATAATTTTTTAGATGACTTCATGGTGTGTAAAAAAAAAACTGCTCTCGGATACACCTTAAGCTACGGGCCATCCTGTATAATCCTTTCGACCATTTCTCAAATATTAATAAAAAAGACATCCCAAAATTGTACAAAGTGCCAGCTCGCTGATAAGACCAATATTGCCGACGAAGCCGACAATTATTTCATAACTTAACTAACAACCGTTGGCCGCGAGTTTAACGGTCGACGAATTGACAAATATTTGACACGCTACCGAAACAAAAAAAAATATATATATATATATATATGTATATTATAAATATATACCCAACTCGTTAAAGCTTGATTATACGACATGGAATAAGACGAAGGATGTCAGGATAAGCGCGAGCAGAACGTTTAAAGATGGCCCCCCGCGCGCACCTAAAATAATAAACAAAAAAGCCCCCGCCCGCACCGCCCACTAATTGCGCATAATTAGGTCCGTTCCGACCGCCCGTAATTAGTAATTTTAACGGATTTCAATGTCAATTGAAAATACCCGAGGTTTAATCGTAAACTATAAATAAATATTTGTCATTTTAACTTAAAACATTTGAAAGGTTTGCGTAAAATTGGCTCCCTTCCAACCGCCTGTTATTTCTAACTTCAAAGGACCTCAATGTCAGTATAAAATCGACAAAGTGTAAATAAATACGTTTCGTTTTAACCTAAAGACCTTAAACACCGCCATCGACTGGTTCCAAAAAAGTGCCAAGTCCTAAGTCATCTCAACAAACTTTTTAGTATATATTTCATGCGTTATGAAGAAGGCAATCGACATATAACCTTTCCACAACGGACTACATCTGAAAAATCTGATCAAAATGTGTAAATCAATGGGTGGTGTACGCCTGCCTGTGAAAACATTGCTTTTCTCGAAATTCTCAAACGTTAATAAAAATCGAGATACAAAATCTAACTTGCTTCGCGCATTTCGATTCGATCAGAAGCCGAGTGACGCGGGGTCGAGTTTTTTTTGTAACGACGTAACGACTGTCAAGCGGCGGCGCGGTCAAGTGGAAGGATGGGGGACGGGAACGCCTTAACCTAACACCTAGGCGTCGAGAACGTTTGACGGTGTTCCGGTGACGCGCGATCGGAACCGCGGCCGGACTCTCCTCCCGTCCTCGTCGGTCCAGATTGAAAGAGAAATTGGAAAAGAAAAACGTCACGACCGCCGCCCTAAGCGAAGTACATGACCTTCTTGGTGTCGGCGTGGACGGTGATCGCCCGCGCCATCGCCCCCGGTGTCCGATCTTCGGACGAGCCAGATTGGTGGGAACCCTCTCCGCTGCAAGGAATACAATTTTATAGTCTGTGCGATAGCAACGGAGGGTAATACAAGGATCCGTGAATCCCAATCAAGAAACTTTGTTTAAACTTGTTCACTGCTTTGTCATATTACAATATTAATTCTTGCGATACCTTTTAATATGTATTCGTTGTTTGTTATTGTTTATATATTTGTTATTTATATAACATTATTACTTATTATTATTATTAATTAATTATACTAAGATAACTTTATATTTTTACATTCATATTATACTGACAACATCCGACACTTGTAAATCAAGTCTTATGGATATAAGGCTATCTTTATCTTTATCTAAACTTTGCGTGTACAGAGACGCCAGTGAAGTTTATAGCAAAAAATATTACAATAAACCAATCTCAAAATGACCACGAGAACAAGGCCGAATTAGCAGTCAAAAATGAGCATGAAATTTTTTATAAACAAATATAAAACACAGGTTATTTCGGCTCCTCATTGTTGTAGACAATTTTTTTTATTTGTAAGGCCATAAATAAAATTCACTTTAGAACCATGCTTTCTTATTAACATTTTAGAAAATTAGCTACTTGTGTATTTGCAAAAGACAATATTTGTCCAGTTTATAATTACGAATTTGATTTGTACTAATCAAACAGCGTTGGATCGATCATTATTTTTTGAACTTTTAAAGAATCGTGCCTTCCGATTTGCTCGTTTCAAACCGATGTATTACATTTCAAATGGGCAGTTTTGAAGCCTTAGAGGACAAAACATTTGTTGGGGAGGGCGGAACGATGAAGAAGCAACACTAATGCGAGCAGTGTATAGTTTTATAACTGGTCGCCTGAAATAATTATATCATCAGTGTTCCCAATTAAAGGTTTCGATATATTTTGGTTTGTATGTTATTAAAAAAATAGATTTCCTTTCCTTTATTTCCGTTACGTAATTCACCAAACTTAATTTACACACAATGTTGAAGCACATGACACTCTGAGACTATTCAATAGAAGCAACAGAAGTTTATAACAACATGCTCTACACAAAAAATTAAACAGAAATCCATAGAAAACAAACGCACAATAATGGATATGGAGAATACAACAGTTTCCTTATAAAAATTAACAAAAAAATATTTGTTTTTCCAGTGAGTTTTTGCACACGGGCAATACATGCTCATCGCCTCATTTGCACCTGAGTATGTGACCATGAGTTACACGGTAACTATATTTATGTGTCTTAAAAAAAAAAAAAAAAAAAGCCTTCTAGCGAGGTGCAGGTTCGTATAATTTTTATTAAAATCGTGAAATTAACATATCTTGTGATACCTTGAACAGGATTCTCAGCAACTTGTAATATTAGACATTGCCGACGTTTAACGTGAAAACGAAAAATCTAGACTATTTAGCTGACTTTTTCACAGCCCCAAGAACTCCGTTAGAACAATATGCATACAACATAACATTAGAAAAAAAACAAATGCATGCAAAAAAAAAAACAAGCGCCTATTATTAAAAAACCACCACCGAAAACGAAGCAAACGACACATGTCCCACGTCCGACCCGTACCTGTCGTGTTCCTTTTCGACGAGGTGATACCTGGCCCGGAACGCCACCAAATGGGCGTAATACGCAGGGGCGGGAATCGATACGGACCGAGTACACCGAACGTAGGTGTGGCATAGTTGATAAGTTAAGCATTGCAGCTCGTCCGAGTCTAGGTGCGAGTCGTCCCATAATACGTGATAATGGGACGGTCTAGACGTGCCCTGAGGATCGGAAAACAACACGTTTGCCTTCCAGTAATTTTTAAATTGCTAATAAATCTGTCCGACATTGTCTATATATTAAAGAATATATATAAAATATATTTACTATGTATATTTTATTTAAGTTGTTGTATTTTATCTATTTCTTTACTGCATTTTATCATTCAATTAACAATTATAATACTATGAAAGGATGCTCATGGTGTGAAAACGCAAAATACAGAATGCATATATTATCAATATTGCCGTTTTAGTCGTAAAACAAGGGAGAAACGGTCAAATTAAACATCTGACACGTGTCAATAAACAAAGTTACTTGCGTTTCTTTCAAAACAGAAATACAGATCTTCGCGCGGCGGGCGTTTAGACAACAAAAAAATGTGCTCTTTAATAAAGGAACTATTTCACACTCTTCTGATAGCGAGTTAACAAAATGTCTTGTTGATATTTTCACTAAAAATTATCAAAGCAAAAGTATTTTGTTTTGTTAGTTTTGTACAGTTTTAAAGAATGCTCAAAGGCATCGGTATGTGGCTTGCATCATTAGGATTTAGAAAAATAAAGTCCTGGTACCAAAAAGATGCATTTTCTAGCAGTCATTTTGAAGATTCTACAGCTAATATCGAAGTTAATGAAAGGCAACCACGTGAAACCTTAACATTTTTATATATTATATACTACAAAGGGCAGAAACATAGCAACATGGACGCTCGAAACGTATAACTAGATTGAGGAATGACGTAAGGTTTAATAATTATGCAAATTGTAACTTCGCTCACTAGTAGTATTCTTTGTTAAAAATCTGGCATCAGATATAAGAAACAAAAATTTCCAAAAACCAATTAGCAAATTTAAAACTATTTTGATTTAGTTTCATGTGTCCAAGCGTCTTATTCCTTTTTTCAAGCCGCGAAACACGTTTTGGCCAATATTGATTATTAATTTTTATTGTTAAGTTAAACAAATGATCCGTCCACAGTTCACAGGAATTATTTTCTCCTACCTTATGTAGTGGTTCCCTTAAAAACCATCCATATTTAGGCGTCAATTTCATTAATTACTTATGCGGTCTTTTATAGTTATAGTATATAGTATAGTTACAGTATATAGTATACTTTTAGTATATAGCATAGTTATAGTATGTAGTAAAGTTATAATATGTAGTGTAGTTATAGTATAGTATATAGTATAGTTATAGTATAGTCATAGTATATAATATGAACTCGGCATATTTTTTTTCACCTGTATACCCTGATGGCTGCACAGGTAAAAGTCAAACTCGGTCGGGTGCGTGATGCCGACGTCCACCGTGGTCCCGGCCGGTATGTTGCCGCTCTTCCCGCTCTGCTCCTTCTTATCCGCACAAAACAGTCGCGTGTGGTGGCGCTTCTGCACCACGATAAAAGTAATGCCCGGCTTGTAGTCGGCCTCCAGTTTGATGCAGGCCTCGCGTATGGCGGTCAACTCGTGCTGCAGCAGCTGCAGGAACTGCCCTTCGGACACGCCGTCGCGATACAAAATGATGCGGTGCGGTTTGTAACCGCCGGTCGACTTGTAGAACATGATGAGCAACTCGCGCACCATCGAACTGAGCTCTTGTATAATCTCCTGACGGTGCTGTTGCACGCGGACGGTGGCGGCGTAACGCGACGGATGCGCGTCCATCGAGCCGACGACCGCCGCTATCGAAGGTTTCTTGTTGTCGCCGGCCGGCGGATGGGTAACGTCCGCCCCCAAGAATATCACCGGCTCGTTGAATATCTTTGGTCTGATCGATGGCACTAGAATACTGTTGATGCCGCCCAGCTTGACGTTTATTTTCAGGCACAAGTTGGACAACGTCTGCGGCGACGTCTTGTTAACGTTCTTCGCTTGAACACATTGGGTGGCCATCCCTAATACGGTGTCGCCCACTCGTTTCACTTCGGCTGCGAGAAGACGAGAGAAACCAACGTAATGTACGCAATATACAGAATTTTATTTATAGTCACTTCACTCGGGTAATGAATAAAATACAACTTGGCGGTAAAAAATATAAAAATTGATATAAAATATTTAGCAAATGCAATTTGACGGTCAAAAAATATGAAAATTTATATAAAATAATTCGCTCAGGTAATGAACAAGAAAATGCAGTTTAGCAGTAAATACAGACATTCAAGTTATATGAAAATATTTTAATTATAATTAGCACTCCCATTATTAAAGCACAAATTTTTAGGGTGTTCAACACTTCTACTGCAAAAAATTCATTTCAACGTACAGTGAGTAAAAATATTTCATTTCACACCACGTGTTTATCTCCTATTATTGTTTCGCAAGTTATACCGAAATATTAGCTTTTTAAATTATATCACTTTCTTAATCTTTCAAAAACAATTACTTGCTCACTCAGAAATTACGTCTTTATCTCTATCAATGTTTCGTTATGATTCAATTTTAAAATGCACGTTTTTTGTATATTGTGAAAATATCACTCATGTGGCTTTAAAGAAAATAGTTAAAACAAATCTTTTTTTAAAATAGTCACATAGTGACAAATTATTTTATTTTGAATCCAACAAGATGTTGCGAGGCCTGTTTATACGGATGAATCCGAACTCGTAGTACCAAAGTAACGTGTACTGAAAAGTTATAAAATATTTTTTTATTATTTATTGTTTGTCAGAAATTACATTTCAACGAGAAGAAATCCGCATCAGGCATTATATTGGCCGAAAAAAAAAAATAGTAAGGGACCTATCAACATTTTTTTTTTCCGTAGCGTCACAACCCTTCGTGGGTCTTAGCTGCATCTACGACTCGTCTCCATCTGTCCCTGTCCAACACAACCTCCTTCCAGTTCCGTACTCCCAAGATTTTTACATCCTCTTCGATATTGTCCCTCCATCTGAGCCTTGGTCTTCCTAAGGGTCTCTTTCCTGCTGGGTTTTCTTCCCATATCCTCTTTACAAGACGTTCATTCGGCGATCTCTGCACGTGTCCAGCCCACCTGAGCCTTTGTGCTTTTATTTCGTTTACTAAACTCGGTCTTTTGTACATGTCGTTAAGCTCCGCATTCGTTCTTATTCGATATTGACCCGTTCTCTCATCTATTGTTGGTCCAAAGATTTTCCGCAACATCCTTCGTTCAAAGCGTCTTAACACTAGTTCGTTCTGCTTTGTCATTGTCCATGTTTCCGAGCCATACATTACGATTGGCTTGATTACTGCCGAATATATCCGTAGTTTTGAGTTCCTAGATATCAGTCGGGACTTAAACAGGTTCTGCAAGGCGAAAAAACATTTATTGCCCTTTTGTATTCTTGCTTTTATTTCGCTGGTGATATCGTTATCCGAAGTTATAACTGCTCCTAGGTACTGAAATTGGTTTACGCATTCAAAATTGTGGGTGTCCATGGTTATGTTCTGTCCTATTCTGCCCCTTCCTGCTCTCCGTCCGGCCCACATATATTTGGTCTTGTCCTCGTTGATCATGAGTCCTACCTTCTTGGTCTCCTTCTCTATGTTCATGAACATTTCTTTTGTTTTAATCGTACTGCTTCCTACCGTATCAATGTCATCGGCAAATGCCAAAATCATTTCTGGGCCCTTATTTGTAAATATTTCCAAGCCAATATTCGCTTCTTTGATGGCCATGTCCAGCACTATGTTGAAAAGCAATGGTGAAAGTCGATCGCCCTGTTTTAGGCCATTGTTAATGGAGAAAGCCTCGGTGTTGTTCTTTCCTACCCTAACTTTGGCTTTAGAGTTTTCTATGCATATCTTGGTTAGCCTTATGATCTTTTTTGGTACCCCTATGCCTTCCAACGCTTGCCAGACACTTTCCCTGGTGATGCTATCATATGCTTGGCGGAAATCTACGAACAGTTGGTGAACCTCTCTGTTAAACTCCCAGCTTTTCTCTAGGAGCTGTCTTATGGTGAATATTTGATCTGTTGTTGATCTCTTGGGTCGAAACCCCCCTAAGTTGTCTTCTGCGTATGGGGATATGCGTCCTCTTAGTACATTTGACAGAACCTTGTATGTTATATTTAGCAGGGTTATTCCTCTATAGTTTTTACAGGCCATCCGGTCTCCTTTCTTATGAATGGGGACGATGGTACCCTCATTCCACTCCTTTGGTAGGGCTTCTGTTTTCCATATGTTTTTCAACAGCTCTAGTATGGCAGTATCTAGATGTTCCCCTCCATATTTTATGCATTCCGCCGTAATGCAACATGCGAATTCAAATAAAATACACATGCACAAATTACAGTTTTATTTTTAATCATTTCTTAGAAAGGCGCGGGTCTTTAATATGATTATAATCAGATAGGCAAGACTTTTTTTTAACCCACGTGAGTCGAATTTTTTAAAGTCGTAATAAAACCCACGGCATTATACATCGGATAAGTGAATAAAAGGTTGTAAATTGTTTCAAATTGATAACTGTTACATATGGAGCAAATTTGATCGGGTTTAACGAAGCGGCTTCTTAAGGGGCGGGGCTTACCGTAAACCGGCGTTTTGCCGGGCAACACGACAACAACTAACTGCAAGGACTGGAATGTGGTCTTCAGGTAACGAAACATAGGCTCGACCTGGTCTGGTCCGGTGGCGTACTTGCAGAAGCACGGCTGCCCGATGATGGGCATGCCCGCGTCGTTCGAGATCTTTTGCAGCTGCTGAGTGAAGTTGCGGAGCGCGTCCTCGCGGACCGTCCGCTGAGGCGCGAAACATGCGATCGCCCACACGCGGATCTCGACGCCCGTGAAGAACTGCTTGCCGCGCATGTCCCACACGCCCTGGTTCGGGCACGCCTGCTGCTTGTTCTGCGACATGATGAGAGAGACCGGCACGGTACAACCTGATTTAACACGTTCGAAATGCGCGGCCCATGCGCGCAAACAAACAACCGAACAAACACTGCGCAACATTACACGGTCCAAAAGGTCGTAAATCTAAATGCTGTTTGGCATTGGAAGCAAATTAAAGTTTAGTATTTGGCCAATTTCATCTTCTTAATGCATAATTGTATACAAATGGCATCGATAAAACAATTTCTCAATCCGTAAACGTATTGTTAATTTTTAAAATTTGACTTGTAGGACTGGATATACAATTTTTTTAAAATAAATCTAAAAGGCTCTTTGACATTGAAAGTAAATAAAAGTTTAGTATTTTGCTAATTCGGAAATGTTTTCACATAAGGCTGTGATTGGCCAAGTTCGTGTTCTTAATGTTTTAACATGTTTTAAACTTGCGAGTACTTTTCCGATTGTGAATTACGAAATAGAAATTTGAAGTTGGCTAATCCCGGCCTAAACCAAGCAACGTAATATCTTAACCCATTTTGTCCCAGTGGTGCGTTGCATATTCTACGACTTTTTTTGTCACATCCAGGAAATATTTTTGCACATCCATTTAGAAATTTTATTATTAACACTACTAAAGGACCTGAAATCGTAGAAATCGCTAATTTATGTGTAAAGGAATGATCTTATATATGACTTCAAAAGTTAAAAAAAGCGGTACAAAATAGTAAATATATAGATGTAGATTACATCGCGGAAAACATACATTGGAAATACTATATTGATTATGCTTTATTTTTTGAAAGTGGAACAGTTACAGCACGTAAAATATGACATTTCCGAGGTATTTGACTCAAAAGGTATTAGAGGCGGCTATGGAGGAGATCGTGATGGATCACGACAATAACAATGAAAGTCCGTAAGTATTATTTGGATTTACGTATTCTCATGTATTGTAGCATTCCTTCCTTGTAAATTTATGCTAAAAATAACGTGAGAAAAAATATTTACTGAAGATATACGCGGTCTATATTCCACCCGACGTGGATACCTTGACTGACGAAGAACGTTGGAACGTTCGAGTTACGTACAACGAATGATACAGCTGTCCTTCAACAGTCCTGTAAATCATCAACTTATGAACCTGAATGGGCCTCATCAGGTGATGAAACACTAGAATTCAAAAGAAGACGTATGCTTTCTGCAAACGAAAAGCTTGCTTCTACTGTCAAATGGAAGAACGGTCAGATTGAGTACACTCACACACCTATATTCGACGAATTTAAATCATGTGAAGCACTAAAAAATAGGCTTTCTGGAAAAACTCCGCTTGAAATATCTTTTATGTTTTTTGATGAGGAAGTGATTGGGTTGATTTTAAATCTTACATTGCTTTGCGACTTTTAAAAACTGATAAATCAATTACTCAAAGAAATCTTGCACCTGCGATAGATGGAGATGTAGAATCTGCCACAGCCACAGTTTACGTTTGTAATTTGTGTAATGTGTGCATTTACATACGCTTTGTAAAATATCACCAAAAATGAAACTGGGTGTTACCAGTAGTGCGCTCACGCACCATAAAATATTATGCGTTTTTTTGTATCAAATCAGGTTGTTGTATTTGGAAAACAATCTACTTTTAGTTGTTTTCTGTCGAATTTGAACTTTATTTTGTATATTTATGTATCTTATGTTTACGCACCAGTATTTTTTTTTGTATGTTTCGAGTTTTTTTTTTTTGATACATTTATAATGTAATCTGAAGTGCAACAAAATAAAAAAAATTTTGTTTGGGATAATATGGGTTAAGACGGTACAAAAACCTCAAGAATTTCGACTAAATATTTAACATCATCCCGTAAATTATAAAATTAATTTCGTTAGTGTTGAGAAAAATACAGTGACGTGCAAAAAGTTTGTTTTCTCATTAGATACAAACAGATTCAAACAACTTTTGGGCATATAAATGTGTTCAGTGCCGTGGAAAAATCATAAAATGAGAAAAAAGAATTTGGTTCAGTTTTAGGGCAACAAAAATCATCAAAGTAAAAAAAAACACTACCAAAAATGACAAAAGTAAGTGACAGTCAAACAATAAAAAAAATAACTACTGGAAAAATCCAGATTAAAAACTACAAAAGTAAACTATAAAAATAAATTAAAAAATACGAAGTTGGCAAGAACCTTTTGAAAAAAATCCTGTTGATTTTTTAATGATTCCTTCTAAACAAACACGCATTTTTTCGCACAACCCCAAAGAAAGTGAAAAACTTTTACAACACTTCGCATAACCAAACACAGACCGAACCCAAAAAAAAAACAGTACCGCGAATGTGCAAAAAACGCGTTAACATACACGCGGTAGTTCAAATGTACAAAACCGATTGAACCGTCACGGAGGTGAGTTTTTGTTAATCCTCGATTCCCGGCAGATAACAATTTCTCAAAACTTGTATTAGCCATCCTTAAATGGTAAATAAATGGTTCTTTTGTTGCATACTTACTTTGGCTAATTTGTTTTGATAGAAGAACAACTAACGTTAATCGCAATTCAAAGCTGGTATGTATAGTCAACGATCTTCCTGCGCAACTAAAATTTTAAGATTCTCCGATAACTTTTTCCAAATTAGTGTAAAATATGTTATGAATTTATTATTAAATTCTCGTGTCCGGGTAAGTTCCAGTAGGCATTTTCTCGACAAGAAATTTCAAGAGTCAAGACAACTGGCGTGAGAAGTTGAAACATTTCCCAATAACGGACAGTTTCGCTTCCATTTGCAAACTCCCCATTTTTTAAATATTTTATCAAACATTCAAGAAAAAATATTTCATTTTCTATATTATAATATTGAGGTGAAATAATAGATACAAAAAATAAACTAAACAGTTGTTAGCTATATCCTTTTTTTTTAATTCAAAAATGAACAAAAAAATAGTGAGTATTCACACTCAAAACGAATTTTGCGGAAATTTTTGAAACACAAAAAAAAACAACAGCGCTTGGTTAAACGTTTCTGGATAATTGAATACTTTCTCTTCATTTCCTTTAATTTTGCATTTCTCGTTTCGTCTCCGTCTCTTCTATTCTCTCTCTAAATTCTCTCACATTTTCAGGATAACGGCAACACTGCCAAAGTTATCTGAGAACCTGTTTAAGTCGGTGTCAAAACGTCAGAACAAGATTTACTAGACAGCGTCGCAACAACAACTTTCGCGGCACGTCATGCACTCTGACGTCAGGACCGGCGTCTCCGGCGACGCCGCGTCGGAGACGCCGATCCCGGCAGAAAAATAACTTAAAAAAAAAATACAACGGGGAAACTAACGTGCCAGCCCACCTGTCCGCTGAGGGACGCAACCCGGCCGCCGTACTGGAGCTTCGGCGGGGGCAGCACCCTGCCCCGCACCTCCATCATGTTGTTCGAGATCGTCAGGCCAAATTCCTGGACGTACTCGTCGTTGTTGAAGTCCGCCCGACGCACCAGGTTGTTGATCTCCCGCTCCCTGTCCGGGGCCGACCTGCAATTGAAAAAATAAAATTAAAAAACGAAAATCTACAATGCCCGGAAGGCGTGGTGCGCCGTGCCTGGCCGTCGCCTTGATCATCGTCGACGTCTGCATGTCTGTGAGTTTCTTGATGCATCGTTGGCCGGCAACAATATTGCAGACCTCTAGCGGTAGGTAGGTGTGCTTGTGTTCCTGTCCCACCTGGAGGCACGGCAGATGGGGGTAGCGTAGTTTCATCTTGTACTTATCGAGGAAATACTTGGCGACCGTGCACTCGACCGTCTGGCCGTTTTCCAGCTGCAGCGGGAACCTGGAACGGCGAAAGAGACGCGGCGATCAGTGCGCACCGAGGCGCGCGAGGCGGGCGAGGCGGGTCAACGTACGATTGCATCTGGGCGGGCCGCCGCGTGACGTTGCACACGCGGTACTTGCGGCGCATCGCGCCGCAATGCGTGATCTCGATCTTCAGCCCCTTGATCTCCTTGGTGAACTTGACGCGTTGGCTGTCCGTCAGCGGCTTGCGTTGCTCGTTGATGTCCCGGATGTCGAGCACCTCGCACATAAACTCTATCACAGGCTGCGCTTTGTAAAATGCGGTCGCGGACACTGTAAAACGCGACGTTAGGAAAATCTATGGAACATAACGAAAACTAAAAAATAATAAATAAAAGCAGTTCAATAAACGTAGGTCAGGAAGCGCTTCGTTTCCAAGCTACGGCTGGTGTTAATTTTTTTAAAACTTTGTTTATTGCGATCAAAAAAAAAATGGCAATAAAAATACCTTTTGTCTAATTTTCATGAGTTTTAACAAACAAAAAAGCAGTTGTTTATTTTATTTTTTTTTTGTTTACTGTCTCTTTTTCGCGAATCTCTAGCTGGGCGTTAACACTGTTAACACGTTTTTAATTATTAAAAAAATATATCAGACTGATCCTTGTTAAACATACAATGTTGGTTCATTTCGCGAAAATGTAGCGTTTTTTCAAGAAAAAAAAATCTACGACCCAAATTAACCCCGAAAATATTCGGTAAAAGATTTACTTGAAACGGCTTATTTTAAAATTTAGAAAAACCATATTTTTATTGGAACTTCATCTTTTTAAGTAAAAAATACCATTATTTCATTGTTCTTACAGATGCGGTTTTGATTAACCGCTTTTATTACAATTTTAATTACCTATTGTTAATTAGTGACATTCATCTAGAAGTATTAAAATTGAACTTTCATAATTTAAGGAGCCATAGGTGAATATCTCGAAATACGTTGTGTCCCGAAACGGCAAATATACCTACCGTCAATGTTGAGCATCATTTTCCATTGGCTGGGCCGTACCGACTGGTGAAATCCGAACCAAACCTCCCGGCCGCCACCTGCGAAATAGTTCGAATGCACCACACCGCCGGACTATGCGGTTAACCAAAACTACGGGGCAGAGAAGGGAATACGGAAAACTTTCTCGCAAGTAGACCAAACAATGGCGAATGTCGCACAGTTTAGCCCCTCGATAAAGTACGAATATTAGCGACAACGGAAAAACAGCAAAAATGGACTCTTATTTATTGCGTTCCTATTAAACGCCTGTTATCGAATATGCAGTGTGTCCGAGATAATGATACGAAGATGGTTAAATTACGAAAAAGTTGCAAAATTTAAAGTTTGTTAACGTGCCATTGAGAAAATCATAAAAAATTCCATTACTTCCGAAAATACTTAAGACAAATTTTTTTTTAAAGAGATACAAAACAAATAAAGACGACTTCCTCGTTGAAACTTTTTGAGCTTTACAATATGGCGTAGAGATTTTACGGCGAAATAAAAAAAATGAAACGTCCTACTTAAAATCTCTCAACGTAGAGCTCAAAAAGCTCAAACACCAGAAAAAAATAAAAATTACATGGGCAAATTTCTCAACGGCACGTTATTAACCGTTAAATTTTCCAACTTTTTTCTATTTGTCCATCTTTGCGAGACGAAAATATAAATAAAAAAATCCATTTCTACTTCTTTTGCTTTCCTATTGTCACGATTTTCTTTATTTTTGTTTAATAGATATAAAACGCTTTTGAATTCGAAATAAGCATGAGAAATAAGCTGCGAGGTCCTTGCAGTTAAAACGGGGGCTTATAATATGAACATCTTGAAAGCGCAATTCATTGTACAATAATCGCCCCAAATACTCCTTGCGACAATTTGAAATTTCCAGTAGCAACTTATATTCAAAAGTAAAACGGCCCCAGTGGAAATGGTCATTCGAAAATTATCGATTCGTGACAAAAAAAAAAAAAAAAACGGTAAAAAAGTACCCAAAGGATGGTAGTATCCCTCGGGGCTGCTGAAAAAGCTCCGGCCGACCGGCGTGTAGCTCATCGAGGGCAGGTGACGCATCACCACGTCCAACGCGAGGATGGCCTCGAACGGTATCTGCCTAGTTCTACCCTCTAGCGCTTCCTCCAACCCGTAGAGCGATACCTGTGCCACCCACTTAATGCTGACGCGAAACAACCGATCCTTGCCTTCGCCGGGCAGCGTAACCTCGAGCTCCTCCCTGGCGTTCCCGATCGGCAGGGGGTCCCGGGTGTACAAGTTGTTCCGTCCGTCAAAGACCGGCTTCAGGTTACCGAATATCTTCCCGTACGATTTAACCATCGTTTCGATTATTTCCCGATTCACTTTCCGTGGACACTTGTCGGGCTGGATGTTGACGTCGTAGTGGTGCACGTAGCCGCGGGGCATCGATATCTGGAAATGGTTCGCCTTGAGACCAATGGGGCGACCCTCGCGACCCAAGTTGGGCCTTCGCGGGCACTGAAACACGGGCGGCTCGGCAGGAGGTGACACTGTCGTCAGACTGGTCCCGGTCGTGGTACCTGGCAAGGCCACCGTCGTCGTCGTCGGACCCATAGGGCCGGTGCCCGACGTTCCTGCTGTAAGGAAACGATCTCGTTAATAATGTCTATCATGTCATGAAAATGATAGTAAGCGGGCATCCTGAATCCGAAACGTTCAAATTTCGGAATCAATAAGGTCGTCTAGTCTGCAGGGTCATTGACCTGCGGGCGATGATTTTTCGAATTTTCGGCACATCGCACCCGTGAAACGTCGACTGACTCCAAGGGCGGGAAAATCCACCCACGCTTCGTGAAACTCATCGCTTAATAACTCCATGAGCATAACCGAGATTCATTTAATCTGTTTGAACCTAACCCCAAAAATTGTTGATCGCCAAAATTGCCGTAGAATTAACACAAAAAGAAATATGATGGGCAATTGCAACCCAATGCGAACACGAAAACAACGGAACATCGATTTTTCATGGCCGAAATCAACCGTAAGTGTTCATCCGACTTGATTACGATATCACGGATTTCGAAAACGGCCGTTTCGGATATCGACGTTTGAACGGGAAATCTTCTACGCAATATTTCGCAACGCTTTTCAACATTATTTAAAGGCAACAAATGAGATGACCTTATTTCCTGCGATCTTACGTTTAAATACCACCGGACAGGTTACCTTCGACGTGACGCATTACGTTTCGACTTGCCCGATACGATTCCGCCATTTTCCGCAAAAACGCCCGAAAATTTTCAAAAACAAGCCCCCGAAATCCCCCAACGGACAACCGAAAACAGCATTGGAAATTGGCAGCATCGCGCTCCCGATCGAACAAAGACGGACAACGATTTGCGGCGAAACGATATTTCTATGCGGATACAAATAGGCAAAACTTACGTCCAGAAGCTCCTGGATACATGTTTAAATAAATAAATTAGTCACACAGGCACACATACACCACCCACTAAGTCAATTCGATAAAACGTCTACGATCTCGATGAACCCACGTCGGCCATTTGCAATTGTTGTGCTCCGCTGTTCCGCCGACGTTGCCAGCGTTACGCGACGTATTCCTTACGGATTTAGTGACCGGAACTTTTACCGAAGCAATTAAAACGCGAACATTTTGCGCGACAAATCTAAGTCTCCGGCGAACACGTTCGCCGTTCCGCGAGCAAAAGAGTTTAGTGCGTAATGCAAACGCAACAGAAATATTTCGAAGTGACGTCACGAACTTGGAGGTGAAAAGTTGAAGCGACATTGCCAAATTTTAATCAGAATTCCGGTTAATTTCGTTGGGCGATTTGTTCATTAGTCCCGAGCGTTATATAATGGTAGACGATTATAAGAAAATTTTAAACGGTCACTTGTACTCACCGTTTGATTGTTGCATCGGGTGCGGAGGCGGGTGGCCGAGATGCGGGCCTTGGGCTGGCGGCCGGTGGCCTATTAAACTGAGAGTGGTTAAATCAGGAGGCAACAGCACCGATTGTAGGCCGGTTTGCATTGCTGTCCGTTCCGTTTCGGTTGACATTGTCTAGCCTGCGTCTGGAAATGGACATGTCGCGAGGAACATTCATCTCTATTGAATTATATATCAAGGCAACAAATATGATTTACGTGGCTTAACCACGGAATCGAAAAAGGTTACGCGCGTAAAAATACACACAGCAAAATATCTGGCCTGCGACCGGTACGTTGTTGTATGTCTCCGCGAAACATTGCAACCACAACAAAAGTTTAAAAAATGAAATTTTTATGAATTCAGACATCTTGTGGTGCTCGGTATGGCGTTTCCGCAAAACAATGGAAATTTCGGCGAACATTTTCAGTTGACGCAAAAAATAACGTTAAAAATCCGCGCCATCTCTGATTTCTCCGATAACGCAACCCTTTCGCGTAAAATTATCCCCACGAAACAACAACAACGTTGCACAAAGGTAACGCGTTCAGCAAAACATAAATAAAAACACACGAAGCGAAAGCGATGTCACAAGTCGGCCGTGGGCTCTTGCTATATGGTCAGTCCGAGTAACTTTTGCAATAAAAAAATCATGGTACCCAGTCAAGGCTACCGTGCCGCACTTTTGTTTTGGTGTCTATACGTTTCGTATCCGTACCTTTTCTAAAATCGGGATTGGGACATTGACACTTTTTGACGAACACAAACTTACACTGAAAGACCGCTAAGAACACCGCAGTCGCAACTACCATATCACCGAGCGACTTTTTTTTCGTGTTGAATACGCTATATCTTTTCGACGGCCGATGCACGATTTCACTTGTTTTGGGTATCACGTCGTCTGAATTTGCGGTCGGTGACGGACGCGGCGTTGTCGAATCTATCTAGACGTACTGCGATGGCAATACACTTAAGTCCGAAGTTCTCGGTTTTGCGCCAATATCACAATGAATCCCCAGTGGTTCGCCACGCGCATTTAGAGGTAACTTGATAGTAAATTTATACCATTTTAAGAAACTCGAAAACATCCGCTTGCGAATAAAACGGCAACGCCGTGCGTCAAGCGTACGCGCGTGCGCCGATCGCGATTTTTGCGTACGAAGACGAAAAGCAAAATTCTCGGGGGTGTTTTTGATTATTGGATTCGCATCGGTGGCCGGTTGAATATCGCGTGAGACGGAAGAACGAGGGGGGAGGCGGTACCCACGAACCAAACGGGTCGCGTTATCGAGGAAAACACTATCAATAGCGCACTTATCGCAAACAATAATACTTGAGATTACAATGGGTATACGCGTTGTTTACATTACGACGATATGCAAGTGTGTGACCTATAATGCAGAACGATTGGTGGAATATAAAATTGATGGAATCATTCTTTTGTCAAAACCCGGTCGGAAAAAGTAAAAAAATAACTCTTTATCGATAACCACTGAAAAGTTCACGTGATTTTTTTTGTGTTCTGTGTCGACTGCCTACTGAGATGAACAAAGTAACGAAAAATTAAAATATAAAATCGACGACATAACCGCAATTCTCGCTAGGGAGAAGGGCACAATCGTAGTTTATAAACCAAACAACGAGCCGCGATCGATTTTATAACCGTTTGACCTTAGCATTGACCTCGGGTAAACAACGCATTGTCTATTCCGTGGCGAAGAGCCCGACGTACACAAAAGAATTTCGACACCCGTAACACATTTAGGATCGAAAAAAGTGCGTCTAAGCGACTTTGTAATCCTAGCGAGAGGAACAGCTGATGAGCGGACGCAAAAAAAAAAAAACAATGTACCTAAAATCAGACTTGACCCATGCCCGCGACTTTTCGTGAGGATTCGCTTGCGACCTTATCGCCCCAAAACGTTTTTGTCTCTGCGCGGCACTTTATATAAAAACTAATTCAACGCACTTATATGTAGAGCGGCACTCCCGCCAATAATAAGCGCAAGTTCGAATCGCGACTAGCGGGGACACGAATCGACCGGTGAGCGGGTGACACTCGCGTGGTTCGCGTTATTTCGGCCTGAACTTGTGGAAAAGGTGCCCGAAAACGGCGAAAAAACGTAACGCACAAAATGCCATCGTCGCGACCATTGTCAATGTCGAGTTAAAATTCGGCTCGGAGCCGGGCACTCGAAACGCCGCGGGCGGCGTTGCCGCTGTTTGCCATTTTACTTTATATTTCAATTTTGCGGTAATATTTATCATTGTTATAATCGAAAACGTGGTCAAATCACGATACGAATCGGAAAAAAACGCCGCGACATATAAAGGAGAGCATTTAAAATTAAATTGAACCGACCGTCCTAATTTTATCCACGGCATTATGTGGGGGTGCGTCGCAGATTACCGAATATATGATCTTTTATACGTCACCCATATAATTTTAGTGTCATTTCATGTAGCGCTATAAAGAAGAACCTCATACAAAGCATTGAATAGGCAGACTCTTTCGACTTCGTAATGAGTCATGAAGTTATCGTTTTGTGGATGACTAAGTTTGGCAACGCAGCTTGCGCGTGGGCCCCGGAGATGCGGGCCCGCCGCGTACGTTCCGTCGTATTGATTGCGCTCGCGGCCTTGAAAATGCTCTTCAGGGGCGAGCCCCCCACCGAAGAAAGTGCCCGGCCGATCCTGCGCGGCGATTGAATTTGGGACCACGAGTGACCTTGAAAATCGGTGGACATCGTGGTAATTGACCCCCCCGTGTTATTTGGGATAAAACTGAAGGATTAATCAATTTTGGCGGAATAATAACGACACCACCTGCGAGTCGTTTTACTAGAAATAATCTATGAGAAACTATTACGATTACTGGCTTACAAAAATTAAAACACACAGGATACGGTCCTGAGCGAACGCCGGACAAAAATTTAAAGATGCGTGCGCTCAATTTTCAAATTTGGTGTTGCCACCACAAAGTCCTGAAATTAGTTTTGGTTATGTTGGGCCGCGGCCATAGAGAAAGTAACATTTTTTTTTTTTAATTGTCTCAGGTCGTAGCGCACGCAAGGGTGTTCAATTCGAGTCCTTGTGTGATTTTAAGAAAGTTCAATTTGTTCGAAATTTTCTTTATTTCAACTTGGTATTTTTATGAAATCTGATACGCTAGAGAATTTTTAACCACGTACTTCAGTCTGTGTAGTTGTGGGAGAATGGTTTAAGCATCATAATATTATCCACCAAACGTGTAACTCGCATAGACGCCTAAGAACATTCGAAGTTCCAAGCGAAATTATCATTTATAATATAATAAAAGCGAGGTTACAAAAAAAAGTCATCAACCGATTCTATTAAATTTAAATTACTTTAAAGTTGAGGTGTTCTCTTAATCGAATGTCTGATTTTGAATTTGGCGTCGGTTTCGTCTCCCATGAATCCGAGCCATTTCGGACATTTCCGGGATTTTACCGCACGGATTTGGGAGCAATCGGATGTTTTCGGAGATATGTCCCACGCTTTGAATCTTGACGTTTGTCAATTCTGACGGTCATGTCAGTTGTTTTGCTAATATGTATCCAAAAACTAACGGTCGTAGAAAAAGTATAGTATGCAACAAGTTAAGGTTTTCAAACGAAGGATCTCGTTTTTAAAAAACACTTTTTATTTTGCAAACAGAACTACGAGGTTTTCTTTAACCCGCTACAAGGAGAACTGGACGCAAAGCACAGAGTTGTTATATATATAAAGTTTTTATGCAAGCGTCGCGTCGCAGATACCGGATATACTGAAGCTAGCATTTCATCAGCATTTTCTATCACATAATTCCTCCCTCCGAAGTGGAAAACAACAGGGACGAAGGGTTGTTTTCGGAAGACTGGTCGTTCTTGGTTTTCTTGGAATCTTGCAGCAAATGGCTCTTGTAGATTTTCCATGCTATAACTATTAACAAGATTAAAATAAACATCATTCCTGTTGAAGTGGCGAGACTCCAAGTGACTGGATGAATTTCATAACCAATGTCGGGGATCGATGATTTCGCAGCTTCTCGTAGTTTTTTGATCGTATTGAGATCAATCGATTGTAGTTGGAGTGGCTGGTACTTCACATCGTGATGTTCCATATTTTCAATTTTAATGGGTGGCAGTGAGAATGGGTTTGCTTTAAAAATTTCTTCTTTATTCCAAAGCTCGGTATTTTGGGTACTTATACCACAATTATATGGAACATTGATTAGGCAGGCTTCTTCAATAAAAGCTATTTCTTTGTTTTGACAATTCATTTGTAATTTAAGTTTCTGTTCCGATGGTATTATCAAAACAAATCTACTAGTGATTGGTCGTATTATATGCGTTGAAACATTTACATTGACTACGTGGCAATTTTTGTTTTCGGCATATTTAATGAGGGTTGTCACACAATCACCGATGGGCTGGGTAAGTTGATTTTCGCAAACGTAGGTGTCTTCAATGATTGGGCAGATTGATTCTTGATATTGTTGCATGTCAGTGCCCAATATTAGGTAGGGTGAATTAGGTATAATTAAGGAGTGATTCACAGGTACTGGGAACAGGTGGAATATTTCAAAAATATCTTTAAGAAAAATCGGAATATGGACGGCAAAAATTATTTTATCTTTTGTAAATTTAACTTGTAAGTTTGCTAACTGATAATAATTATTTTGATTTTCAAAAATTAGAATTTGATTATCACCATAGAGAACAGTCAATTTAAAAATTATTTGTTCTAATTCAGCCGCCGATATTACTACAGGATGTAATGTGTTTAATTTCGCAAATGTAATGGCATTTTCTAAATTATCCAAAAAAGTTATAAAACTTTGGCAATTTAGAATAATTTGCATTAGTGTATTTTGAGCTTTAATGAAAGTAGTTATGTCAGTAATAGTTTTATTTGAATTATATTCAAAAATGTCTATATGTTTTTTAATAGCTTCTTGATTTTTCTGTAGAAGTGTTATAGTATCATTATAGTTGTCAATCAGCTGTTGAATCAACGAGGTTTGCTTTTTTAGTTGGATGTCAGATGAATGTTTACTACGCACAAGTTCTGTGATAATTTTATCGTATTTTTGTCCATCCTCTGAATCGAGAGTGCCAAAAAGCCATTTCGATAATTTACCTACAACATTTATTAAACCTCTTTTTGTACGGTTATTAGGTTTTATGTTACCAAGTTTAAATTTTCCTTGAGTAATTAAATATCGAACATTATTAAGTAAATTATTTCCATTAATAACGTCAAAAGGTTTTTGTTTTGTTACGCTATGCATTGATGAATTATAACCTATAATGGCGTATTTTATTAAATTTTTAGGGGCTTCTTTAGGTTCTTTTAATTTTAGTACCCTATATAATTCAACAAGAGTAGAGTGAAATCTCTCTATTGGACTATTACTATTAGAATTGCCGGGAGTTGTAAAATGAATTGCAATTTTATGCAATTTACAGAAATCTAAAAGCAAAGACGTTTTAAATTCCGTACCATTATCACACGTTATTTGTTGAGGTAGGCCGTGATGACTTATAAAGGTCGCTAAACCGTCTAAGATAGCAATTGCTGTGCAAGCGGGTTCTAACGGATAAGCTTGGGCGTACCGTGAAAATACGTCTATAATTGTAAGAAATTTTACGTTACATATTTGAAAAGTATCCATATGGATGGATTCTAATGGTTCAGAAGGGGTCGGTGTCAACATAAACTTTAATTTTGGTGGATGTCGATCATATTTTGTTTGTTGGCACGTGTCACAATTATTAATATATTCAGTTAAATCAGTTTTCATATTTGGCCAATAATAGAGCCTTTTTAATGCTATTAGGCTTTCATTAATTCCTCGATGACAGGTTTTTCATGATGATATGCAATTAGGTCTTTTTGTTTTGTCCTGTCAGTGACGTCAGTTAAAAGAGTTTTCGATATTACCAATTTGTAAGCACGGTTTTTAAATGTATTTGGTAACAAAACAGATAGTTCTCGATTTAAATCTATTTCGGTGTTTTGTACATAAAGGCAGTACATTTTTGTTGGATCCAAATAATCTAAAAAGAATTTAATTATTTCATTTTGATAGTTTTGACTTAAATAAACAGAAAATCTAGATTTATTTTGGAATGGGTAACTCCTAATTACGTGATAACGACCGTTTGTTTTTTGGTTAAATATTATTTGATTAGAGTAAGTATTTAAAATATTTTCGGTAATTGGTATATTTAATATTGGATCTTCAGCTGCTGAGTGTACTGTCTTACCAGTATTAGGAATATTTGGCGGTTTAATTTGAATGTCCGAGATGATATTAATTTTTGGAGTGTTTACATTTTCTAGAGGGTTAAACACGTCTTCAATTTGTTCCAATTGTTCAAGGCTTATATTTTGATCTTCTTCATGTATGTATTTATCGATATCTTCATTAATATCTCCAGGATTTCCGAAAAGTGACTCTTTATCTATCATATTTAGTTCGATGCGTGATAGGGCATCAGCGTTAGTGTTCAGTTTGCCCTTCCTATAATGAACTATGTAATCAAACTCTTCCAGTTTTAGTCGCCATCTTAGCAATCTGGAATTTGGTTCTTTCATATTAAACAGGTATTGTAGAGGTTTGTGATCGGTAACTATCACAAATTTTCGGCCAAATAAATATGGTCGGAAATATTTTGTTGACCACACGATTGCTAATAATTCTTTCTCTATGGTTGAGTAATTGCTTTCAGCCGGGTTCAATGTCCTAGAGGCAAAGGCTATGGGAAGATCACTACCAATTTTTCCTTGGCTGAGAACCGCTCCTATAGAAACATTAGAGGCGTCCGTTGTCAATATAAAAGGTTTTTCGAAATCTGGATATTGTAGTATTGGATCATTGCACAAGATATTTTTACAAAGATCGAATGCTTCTAGAAATTCTGGCGTGTGTTTGATGGTCGCTCCTTTCTTTAGGCAATTTGTGAATGGCTTGGTGAGTTTTGCAAATCCGTTAATAAATCTTCTATAGTATCCTAGAAGGCCTAGAAAAGATTTTATGTCTTTTGCTGTTTTCGGTACAGGAAATTTCTGGATTGCAATAATTTTCTTAGGATTCGGTTTAATTCCGTTTTTTGTTATTATGTGACCCAAAAATTCTACTTCGGTTCGTAGGAATTCCGTTTTATCTAGTTGAATTTTTAGTCTAGCTTGTCGCAGTTTTTGGAAAACAAGTTTAAGATGTTTGATGTGTTCTTCTAGGGATGACGAAAATACTATGATATCGTCCATGTATACTAGACAAACCTTTCCCTGTACATCACGCAAAACATTATCCATGACGCGCTGAAATGTCGCGGGGGCATTTTTCAATCCGAAAGGCATTCTAACAAACTCAAAATGACCATTCTCGACACTAAAAGCTGTTTTTTCAATTTATTCCGGATCCATTTCGATCTGATGAAAACCAGATGAAAGATCGATAGTTGAAAAATAATTACACCGTCCCAATTTATCGAGTATATCATTTATATTAGGCAATGGATAGCGGTCGTCTATCGTTTTCTCATTTACCTTACGAAAGTCACAGACAATCCTCCATTTCTGCTTGCCGCTGGCGTCAGGTTTCTTCGAGACTACCCAAATGGGGCTGCTCCAAGGGCTTTGGCTGTGTCTAATGATTCCGTCGTCTAACATTTTGTTAATTTGCCGTTGAACTTCCTCTTTATGGATAAAGGGGTATCTATATGATTTAGTGTATACAGGCAATTCATCCGTTGTTCTTATACAATGTTTGATTTTATTGGTGAACGTTAACTTTTTGTTTTCATGATGGAAAATATCGTTATATTCTTTACAGAGCCTTATTATAGCAGATTTTTCTTCTAAATTTAAATGTTCGCAACGAATTATTTTGGAAATGTCGCATTTACTAAATTGTTCTTTATGTTTTGGTAAGATGTGTTCTAAATTAAAAAGTTCAAAATTTTCTTTATGAAAGTCCGGAAAAGATAAAACTTTTAGAGGTTGTGGGAAATTTAACGTTATATTTTTCTCAGTGTAATTAAAAACTTCTGTTTGCGCAAAACCGTTTTTTGCAGTAGTAAGTGTTTCTGGAAAATAGAGACCTTCAATGACTTGCTCGGGAATAATAACATCATTGTTTTGTGTTACTGGAATTCTTACGTTAACAATTTCGTGTGCATTCACAGTAATACAATATATTTCGTTTTGTGGTTGTCTAAATAAAATTGGTATATTAGTTGTATTATTCCTTAATTGTTTATTGACAAGATCGATAGAAAAATTAAAACGTTTTAGGTCGTTTAATCCTATTATACCGTCAAAGAATTTATGAAAGTCAAAAAGAATAAAAGATAGGTTGGTATTAGCCTTTAATTCTGGGAAAGCCGGAATATCTGCTTTAAATAAAGTTTCCTTTTCACCAGTTCCTGTTTTAATAATAGTTGGGGAATGATATATTTTTTCATAATAAAATTTTTCTGCAATGGAAGGTCGAAGAATCGAGTGAAAACAACCAGTATCAATTAAAAGTTTAATTGCGGGTTCTTTAATCTGGATGTACGGTAAACTATTATTAATTTCGGTATACATTTCTAATGTCATTTCGTTGAGTCGCATTGGCTCGTTATTGTAAAATTTTGAGAGATTTGATTTTCAATTTCAGAGTATTCGTCTTGGTGAATATTTTCATTTTGAAATACCGCAGATGTTTCATCTGTTTGTACCGCGTTACTTTCGTCGATTTGGTATAATTCTTGCGAAATAAAATTTCTAGGGCCAGTAGGTTTGAAATGGTTAATTTGATTATTTTGACGTGGTATAGTATAGTTTGTTCTTGTTGACATAGGTTCGGGTTTATTGTTAGGTATCTGACCTGTCGGTTTAAATACGTTTTTAGGTGGGCCAAAAACTTGCCTATTTGTAGGAAAATTTCTTGGAACTTCGCGTGGTTGAGGCATATTAATTGGACCTCTGGGAAAACTATTAGTCTGGGGAGTAAACTGATTTTGATCATGCCTAATTCTAAAATTTTGATTATGGTGATTGTTGTTTTGAAAATAATTTGTAGGGCGAATCGGTTGTACATAATTAAAATTTTGGTTACTAAAATAATTTGGATTTTGTGAAAATTGTTTAACGGGTTCGATAGAAGTATTAGGTAAAACTTTTGATTGAATTGGAGTTCTGAAGATATTTTGTGTATATTGAAAATTTTCCTCTTCAATAATTTGGGTCATAGCTAATTCTATACAGCTCGGATTTTTAAGTCTTATAATACTTTGTAATTGTCCTGGTAATCCTCTAATAAACGTCCTTAAACAAATTTGATCGTATTGACGTAAATGAATTACTTTGCTTGCATTATCCATAGTATCGGCAGGAAATGCATTAATTTTTTGAGCAAGGATACTTCTTAAAACTTGTAATCTTTTCCCAAAATCTAAAGGATGTTCATTTTTAAAGGGGGTGGCCATAAACAAATCCTGTTCTAAACATTCTAAATTTCGTCTATCGCCAAAACAATTTAACAAAGCTACTTTAATATTGTCCCACGTTACTAACTCCATTCTACAGCCTACTAGAATTTGTGCGCGATCAACAAGTTTCATTCTTATAGTTCTTAACAAATATTGTTTTAAAATTTCGTCGTTTCCTTGACCATATGTATCAAAAAGGAAATCTCCAGCTGATAGAAAACTATTTAAAGTGTTGGAATCACCATTATATGGCAGAATACTATCTATAAACATTTTTAACAAAGTGTAATTTACACCTGAATTCGACGATTGATTAGAATTCATTTTCAAATTGATTTGACTGTTCTCTACTTTCTGTTCCACTAAATTTAACGAAGTAAAAAAAACGCACTTAAATTGTCGACGTCTTTATCTTCGTTCATAAATTTAATTGATTTTGAAATTTCTTAAAATTGAACTTAAAACTAAGAATCCTTAAAATTATTTCCACCGTCCTAACCAGGGAAGATGAAAGGAGAACAATAGGAATTTTGGGCACTAACCTTGATTTCTCTTAGTCGTCAGCCTATTCTTCCTATTGGAATTTTCCTTGCGTAGCACTGCTTGCGGGGGTGATTTCTTGCCTTCCTTGCCCTCAGTCGAACTCAATCACGTTGGGTTTGTCAGACAGTCTATCACAGGTTCGTTTTGGAGTTTAAGGGTTGAAACCCACGTTTCGCAATCAAATCGTCCCGATGACGTGGCTTTGACCGAAAACTACCCCAAATCCGTCACGACTGCGCCAGTTAAGGTTTTCTAACGAAGGATCTCGTTTTTAAAAAACACTTTTTATTTTGCAAACAGAACTACGAGGTTTTCTTTAACCCGCTACAAGGAGAACTGGACGCAAAGCACAGAGTTGTTATATATATAAAGTTTTTATGCAAGCGTCGCGTCGCAGATACCGGATATACTGAAGCTAGCATTTCATCAGCATTTTCTATCACATAATTAACACGTTCGGGAATCTTTTTAAGTCACTCGTTTATTAAAAACTCGCTCCGCTCGTGTCAAATTAACTCGTGAGTCAAATACCGTTTACCGAACTTGTTGTATAATATACTATTTTTGTTGTCTTCTGTTTATCCACGACATTTTAACTACTAAATTCATAGCTAGCTAAAATTATGGAGCACTTGCGTAGTGGCGTCTCTTGCAGCAGAGGTTTGTCACAGTGACGTCATTCTCAAGTCATAAGTGGTCGCTACTCGTCAGTGATCCGTCAAGGCGAAATGAAAAAAAAAGATGTCTTATTATTACCTCCGAATGTCGTGATGACTTGATTAATTCCAGATATGGACTTCAAACAATGATTAATTTAAACTTTTTCAAATTCTTCTATTGACAATAATATTATACGTATAATGTTTGTTTTACAAAAAAAAATGGTAAATACAAAAGTTATAGACGAGACTAAAAAAAAAACAATTTAAAAATGTTTCTAAATATAATACCCAATGTAGGGTTATGGTCTATACTGAGTGTCTTCGGATTTACGGCCATTTTTCGACAAAAATGCGTTGTTTGATACCTTATATTTTTAACGCCGTTTCGGACAGCCGTAATTTTATTATGCCAACAATTTTATAAAGTGGAATGGTCATTTAACCTATTATCGTTTATACAGGGTGTTTGTGAAAAAATATTGTGTATTGTATTACATATGTATATCATACTTCCATTTAAAAAAAAGTTCACCTTTATTCATTACATGATTCTCCATTGCAACCTCAAAAGACATTCTGTCACTTAAATGGAAATTTTTTTTTCAACAATTTGTTGTGTTCACCCACTAATACAATCAGTTTTTTTTTTTTAATAGGCGCGCACCGTCTATTCATTTTGTCGCTTGTACATTGATACCATAAATATTTTCCAAAATAATCAAACACGAGTCCCCCGAAATTCTATTAAAAAGTATTGAACGTTATTCAATTCATACGGGTTCTTGCTTTTCAGAGAAACCTTAAAAATCTCTCGTGGCAGTACAATTCTTCGTTTCTTCGCTTTTTCGCAAGAAAAACAGCACCCAAACACCCAAACGTATTTATTTAATTGATCAGCAGGGCGAGAACGTAACAGACCAAAACGGAGTGGGCGGAGGCGACGCGCGCCTCTGCGACGTTGCCGATTCTCACGAACGGATAAAAGAAATCGTACGGCAGACGAATGTCTAGACGCGGAGGCTCGACAAAGCGCCGCCTCTTCGGCGCGGTGACGTCGTGGAACGACGCGGCGCCGCGCAGCTCGACGTCCGTCTCGACGCCGACGCCAAACGTCAAATTTTCGAAAAGGAACCGGCGCGTCACGCCCAAAATTTTGTTCTGTTCCTTTAGACGTTCGAAATCCACTCTCGCGTAGACCACGTCGACAAATAGGGAGGTCGCGAGGCGTCGGCACGTCAGCGTCGCGTCGCCGGACGTCGCGGCGTCCCTTCCGGTTCGATTCAACGCGACCGACGCGTTCTCGACGTCCAGGACGTCGGTCCAGTCGGTGGGCCGCGACGCGTCCGCGTTACCGAATAGACCGACGACGCGCGACGTCCCGTTCGAAGCGCTCCACGCGTTCAAAATGGCCACCTGAACGCGTCGGCACGCGGCGGCGTCGTCGCGAGTGACGTTCACCCGCAACGCGCACTTGACGACGCCGTCATAGCCGAAGTCTATAGACGAGTGCGCCGCGCAGCGCCCTCTTACGACGCCGGGCAGAGTTAAAAAATTGTCCGCGAACGCGGTGGAGTTTCGACGTATCGACGAGCCGTCTCTGACGGCCGCGAGTACGGCCCTGCCCGGCACGTATCCCGGGTTGCCGCTTCGCGCCGTCGAATAGTTGGCCGTCCGGCCAGTCCAGTAAAAGACGACGGAGAAATGTTGGACGAAACGGCGTGGGACGTGGTCGAGCGGAATCAAGTCCGCGCGTACGGAATCGATTCCGTCGGAGCCGTTGTGACGCACGACGTAGCGAATTCTTTCGACGGTTGCGTTGCCGCAAGTCCGCGCGACGTCACTTTTCGGGTCGCCGCGCGAACACGGCGCGGGCGGCGTCGCCATCCGCGTGCAACTGTCAAAATTGTCGGCCGCGCAGACGGCGACGTCGATGGCGCGACACACGTTCCCCGGACAGGTCTGCAACCAACAATTCATCTCAACCTCACCCCTTTCGCACGTCACCGTTGATCGGAAATCAGTAATAGATCGGTTTAATTGTTAAAACAATATTCTTCTGCTACGCATCAAAATAAATAACAACTATTAGTTCAGATTTTCACGAAATTATATATTTTTACATGACAACACGGTGTTGTCGAAAAAATTGTCGTGTAAAAATATATAATTTCGTGAAAATCTAAACGTTTAGTTCTTATTTAATTCGATGCGTTGTAGAAGAATATTGTTTTAGCAATTAAAACTTTACATGACAAGTTGCGTAGTGTTTTAAACTTGACTATTGCCGAGAGACTTTGAGCGCATTCAAACGAAGAAATGGTTTTTATTACAATAAGAGACAAGTTTTTGAATGCACGAAGTACCGAAGGACGAATCTGGAATGATTTTTTTATTTTTTTTTTAATTTTTTTTTCACTATTTCATATTTAAAAATGCCGGTTTAGCGTAAACTATTCCAATGAAAAAAATGAAAAAAAAAAAAACAGCAACATACCGCGTAAGAGTTGGTGCTGTTGTCTGTAGCGTTGAAAAGATGCGGCCTTATTATAACCTTGCGGTCCGCAAAATAAGCCAAGAGGCTGGGACGTTTCGACTGCGCAAGCTCGCACGAGCTCTTGGCCGGCTTCAGGTACCCCACGTCCTCGTCGTACGCACAGCTCGAAGTCAAAAAACGTTTGGGCAGCGCTGTGAATAGCGTTCTTAATGGGGGCCGTCGCCCACGACGCGCGACCATAATCCTTACCCAACTTTTCGATCCGCCCGTCAACTGTTAACAACCAGATCGGATCGCCGTACGTCATTTTTCGATCGGGACGGAATCCGCCGCGACTGCGCCACTCCGTCACGTTCCACACATTCCGCAACCCGTAACCTTCGAAATCGTCCACCGTCCTGATCGGCTGCAACACGAATCGTATGAAAAAAAATTTGACCAGTGCACTTCAGCCTATAGTGGAAAAGGCAGATTCCTATGTCAAAAACTCAGAACATTTCACTCAGATTTTAGGCTCTCTCAGGATGGAAAAGGACGACATTATGGCAAGTTTCGATGTCAAATCACAACTTTTTTGTTATTTACTCAAACTTATTTACTTTACCCGTTTTTAAGTTATACCGATTTAAAGTAAACATTTCTTGATTAATAAAACCCTTGTTATCGCAGTTGTTTTAAGTGCAATTACAAACAATAGATTTCAACTATTTTAGTATGATTTTATTTATTATTTTTTATCGATTTAGTTCTGATAACATGATAAATAAATGAAAAAACAGTAAAATACCTACAATTAACTACATAATAAGACATTTCAAAAATTTTGTTCAAAATTATGTCCATTTGCTCGAACACAACTATCAAAAACTTTTAACAGATGAGCTTGTAGGAGAGTCCTTCTTGTGATAGCGGCACACGCTGCACTAATTTTGTTAATGAGATCCGCCATATCTTCGATAGGTTCTTCATAGATAACGTTTTTTAGGTAGCCCCAAAGAAAATAATCTGGTGGTGTAATGTCCGGGGACCTCGCCGGCCACCTTACCGGTCCATTAGTACCAAACCATCTATTGGGATATTCTCGGTTCAAATACCTCGTTACTATTTGGGCATTATGTGCAGGCGCTCCATCCTGCTGTAGCCACAAATTCATTCTAGTGTCAAGAGGCACTTCTTCTAATAGTTCCGGAAGTGTAGTTTGAAGAAATCTTAAATAGCGATCTGCATTTAAAGTTCCTTCGTAAAGGTAAGGTCCAATAAGGAATCCATTTAATATACCGCACCAAACATTGATACTAAAAATTCGTTGGTTACCTCTTTCTGTAATCCAAGGATGGTTTTCGGACCAAAAACGACAGTTGTGTCTATTAACGATTCCATTATTTTGAAATCGAGTGTCGTCGCTCCATAAAATTTTCGAGAGAAAATTTGCATCTTGGCTATACAAATCGGACAATGTCGCTAAGAAATACATTCTTCTAGCATAATCGGCTGGTTCTAGTTTATGAACTAGTTTACTTTTGTACGGGTGAAAAGAGTTTCTATGTAGAATTCTCCACGAAGAACTTATGGTAACACCGGTATTTTCTTTTATCTCTGATAGGGATATCTTGGGGTTATTATCAACCTGCTGAATTACAGCAGCAGTATTTTCATCATTTGTAGCCGTCCTGTTCCTATCTCTTTTAGGTTTTATGAAGCTGCCATATTCTCTTAAGTTTTTACATAAACTTGAAAAGGTTTTTGCATGCGGATAACGCCGTGCGTAAACTCTTTTTGCTTCTCTACAATTGCATCTGCATTCTCCAAACACCAGTAACATGTCTACTTTTTCCTCATTGCTAAATTGCACCATTTTCACATAATAATTCTTAGTTTTTTTTAAACCGAACAAATTTGGATATTTCTTGTGACAAAATGTGACAATTTTTTGATACAGCAATAACAACTTACGTTTGTAATTGCACTTAAAACAACTGCGATGACAATGATTGCCATAGTAACTAACATTCACGGCATACTTGTAAAAATAAGCGTTAATCACATTTTTTATTAATCACGAAATGTTTACTTTAAATCGGTATAACTTAGAAACGGGTAAAGTAAATAAGTTTGAGTAAATAACAAAAAAGTTTTTAAATAATATGTACTTTTGTATGCACGTATTTCCAAAGTCTCTGCAATCGAATAATTTTTCGACGCGTCGCGACGCCCAGCTCTTTGCAGGCGTCGAATTTTTTAAACTTTAGGAAATATCTACTTGACCCCACACTTTGACTACTTTTTACATAAATTAAATATTTCTTTTCGTTTTGGACTTATTGGCGTGCGGAGTTTTAAGTGAAAAACCCTGCATATATATATATATATATATATATATATATATATATATATATATATATATATATATATATATATATATATATATATATATATATATATATATATATATATATATATATATATATATATATATATATACATATATATATATATATATATATATATATATATATATATATATATATATATATATATATATATATATATATATATATATATATATATATATATATATATATATATATATATATATATATATATATATATATATATATATATATATATATATATATATATATATATATATATATATATATATATATATACCTTTTTTCTTTCTTTTTTATCCCCCTTTGATTTGTTTAAAATTGTCAAATTGTGAATCTTGGGTGGACTTCGCTTAGTTTTTTTTTCTTGTTGATTCTCCACTTGGTCAGCTCTATTGTAGCATATTCTTTTTGTTCTACTTTAATAAAGGCTATTTATTATTATTATTATTATAAAATAAATATCATGCTCTCTTTTATTTTTACGTAAACGTGTCCTCAACGAAGGTTCAAGAAAGCAATTTAGAAATATGAGAAATAAAGCCTGCTGTGCCGCCTATACCGCGACATATGAGTGCCAAGGGGTAACTTTAATTAACTTCTCCCATCTCGCAATTTCGGGTCGACTATCAAAAAAAAATCATCTCCGTAAAACTAGATGTGGTAGGGAACGAGAGTAAAGAGTAGTAAGCACCAATACAACTACCGAGAAAGAGAGATGTATTCTTTAAGCGGTATATAATACGCCGAAATACTCCTACTCGCAAGGCATACCCACCTCATGTCTTTGCACGACGTACGATTTTGGGGCGTTACTCTTCACCACGCAAAAAAGCCCAGCCTGATGTACCCACCACTCGTACGGCGTATTGTTGACGTAGACGTGACGCACGTAGTCGCAATACCGGTCGTCGTAGAAGTGACGACCGTCGACGTCACAGTAGCCGAACAGCGCCCTCTTGTCTACGCCGTCGCAGTCGCGGTCGCAACAGCAGTTCACGTCGCAATAGCGTCGCTGCAACGGAGGGGCGGGCACTTAAAAGAGTGACTGCGGGCGACAATAGTATATTATGCAACAAGTGCGGCAAACGGCATTTGACTCACGAGTTTATTCGACACGAGCGGAGCGAGTTTTTAATAAACGCTGCGCTAGCTCGCGAGTCAAATGCTGTTTACCGCACTTGTTGCATAATGTACTATTAAGGCTTCATTATAGCTGTTAATGGTGCTAGGTTCTCATATTCTTGATCGTCTTCTTGCGGTTCAGGTTTTTCATGTTTTCAATTGCATCTTCAATGTTCAAACTGGTCCCCTCAGTCGCTGTAATATTGTCGATTCCAACATAGTTTTGGTTAGTTCTATTTCAAGTATCGTAGATAGTGGGATATTATCTTCTGGATCCCATTCCATTGATGTAGAAAAATCATTATTTTTTTGAAAACCAACTATATTGAAACAATTTTGTTTGGTTTCTGATGAAACTTTATTCTAGGCTGACTGAATAAAATAAAGTGCTTCTAAAATATTTACAGACTTTGCTAAATCTGACGTGCTTCAGTATGAGTCCACGATAATAGAATTTAACATTCCGTGTGATACCCGAATCTAGAGATTGACATACTGATGTCGTAGTTGAGAAGATAATTTTTATGTTGTGTAATTTTACCTCACGGGGGGGTGCGATGCGGCGTTATCCAAGAATAATAAAATTTCCCAAAAATTGAACTGAGGTGGCTTTTACTTGATGAAAATCCATTTATCAAAATAAATAAAAACTAAAAGTTCAGATTTTCACATATATATATATATATATATATATATATATATATATATATATATATATATATATATATATATATATATATATATATATATATATATATATATATATATATATATATATATATATATATATATATATATATATATATATATATATATATATATATATATATACAGGGTTTTTCACTTAAAACTCCGCACGCCAATAACTCCAAAACGAAAAGAAATATTTAATTTATGTAAAAAGTAGTCAAAGTGTGGGGTCAAGTAGATATTTCCTAAAGTTTAAAAAATTCGACGCCTGCAAAGAGCTGGGCGTCGCGACGCGTCGAAAAATTATTCGATTGCAGAGACTTTGGAAATACGCGCATACAAAAGTACATATTATTTAAAAACTTTTTTGTTATTTACTCAAACTTATTTACTTTACCCGTTTCTAAGTTATACCGGTTTAAAGTAAACATTTCTTGATTAATAAAAAATGTGATTAACGCTTATTTTTACAAGTATGCCATGAATGCCATTGTTATCGCAGTTGTTTTAAGTGCAATTACAAACAATAGATTTCAACTATTTTAGTATGATTTTATTTATTATTTTTTATCGATTTAGTTCTGATAACATGATAAATAAATGAAAAAACAGTAAAATACCTACAAGTTAATAACCAAAATTATTATTGCAATTAACTACATAATAAGACATTTCAAAAATTTTGTTCAAAATTATGTCCATCTGCTCAAACACAACTATCAAAAACTTTTAACAGATGAGCTTGGGTCACTTGTAGGAGAGTCCTTCTTGTGATAGCGGCACACGCTGCACTAATTTTGTTAATGAGATCAGCCATATCTTCGATAGGTTCTTCATAGATAACGTTTTTTAGGTAGCCCCAAAGAAAATAATCTGGTGGTGTAATGTCCGGGGACCTCGCCGGCCACCTTACCGGCCCATTATTACCAAACCATCTCTTGGGATATTCTCGGTTCAAATACCTCGTTACTATTTGGGCATTATGTGCAGGCGCTCCATCCTGCTGTAGCCACATATTCATTCTAGTGTCAAGAGGCACTTCTTCTAATAGTTCCGGAAGTGTAGTTTGAAGAAATCTTAAATAGCGATCTGCATTTAAAGTTCCTTCGTAAAAGTAAGGTCCAATAAGGAATCCATTTAATATGCCGCACCAAACATTGATACTAAAAATTCGTTGGTTACCTATTTCTGTAATCCAACGAGGATGGTTTTCGGACCAAAAACGACAGTTGTGTCTATTAACGATTCCATTATTTTGAAATCGACTTTCGTCGCTCCATAAAATTTTCGAGAGAAAATTTGCATCTTGGCTATACAAATCGGACAATGTCGCTAAGAAATACATTCTTCTAGCATAATCGTCTGGTTCTAGTTTATGAACTAGTTTATTTTTGTACGGGTGAAAAGAGTTTCTATGTAGAATTCTCCACGAAGAACTTATGGTAACACCGGTATTTTCTTTTATCTCTGATAGGGATATCTTGGGACCGTCCTGTTCCTATCTCTTTTAGGTTTTATGAAGCTGCCATATTCTCTTAAGTTTTTACATAAACTTGAAAAGGTTTTTGCATCGGGGACTCTTCTATGCGGATAACTGCGTGCGTAAACTCCTTTTGCTTCTCTACAATTGCATCTGCATTCTCCAAACACCAGTAACATGTCTACTTTTTCCTCATTGCTAAATTGCACCATTTTCACATAATAATTCTTAGTTTTTTTTAAACCGAACAAATTTGGATATTTCTTGTGACAAAATGTGACAATTTTTTGATACAGCAATAACAACTTACGTTTGTAATTGCACTTAAAACAACTGCGATAACAATGGTTGCCATAGTAACTAACATTCATGGCATACTTGTAAAAATAAGCGTTAATCACATTTTTTATTAATCAAGAAATGTTTACTTTAAACCGGTATAACTTAGAAACGGGTAAAGTAAATAAGTTTGAGTAAATAACAAAAAAGTTTTTAAATAATATGTACTTTTGTATGCGCGTATTTCCAAAGTCTCTGCAATCGAATAATTTTTCGACGCGTCGCGACGCCCAGCTCTTTGCAGGCGTCGAATTTTTTAAACTTTAGGAAATATCTACTTGACCCCACACTTTGACTACTTTTTACATAAATTAAATATTTCTTTTCGTTTTGGACTTATTGGCGTGCGGAGTTTTAAGTGAAAAACCCTATATATATATATATATATATATATATATATATATATATATATATATATATATATATATATATATATATATATATATATATATATATTATATATATATATATATATATATATATATATATATATATATATATATATATATATATATATATATATATATATATATATATATATATATATATATATATATTGTAATGTATTGTAATTATTCAAGACATGTATACTTGCAAATTGCACGTGCAGACGTCGCTATCCCCGTCTCGTTCGGTACTTTTCGTTTCTTCCGACGCGTTCCTGCGACCTGACGGAGCTCCTTTGAGGCCAGTCACGTTGAGGTGCGCCACCTCCGAAGCAACGGTAGTGCAGTTACCGTCCCGATCGCAGGAAACTGTCGCGGGATCGGTGGTAACTTGGACGGTTGTAGTCGCGAGGCCCGCCCCCGACGCAAAGAACCACGCCCCCAGGAACACCCACGCGAGGTACATAGTCTCCGCCCACAAAAAGTCAATATTCAACGCCGTAGTTGGTAAAATTGCGCAGGACGACGTTCAGATCGAACGAGACCACGCCCATCGCTTCGGTAGACAACTTGTAGCGCTCGGTGGGGGAAAAGACTAAGTCCGAGTGTCTCAGCTGAGGCCCGCCGCCCAAAAAGAACCGCACGAAACGGTCACGGGCGGAGCCTAGAGGCCGCCACGTGTAGCAGTCGATCGAGTGAGATCCCGGACCGCACGGGACCGTCACCAAACCGTAGCCGAATAGGTGTGCCCTGCCCAACCAGTCGAGGTGGTACACTTCGATGTAGATCTTCGGCCAACCTGTAACCAATCAGAAATGGTGTGCGGTTTTGGGCTTTACAACCCTCAATTCTAATTTGTCTAACACGTTTTTCATTCGGTGATTTGTACGATATGTAAAAAATTCCGGTTAAAAATTGAACGTCGCTACGAAATTTACCACGCCAATATGTATCGCGAGCCGTCGGCAGCGAAGCGTCTTATTAAACAGAAGAAGGAAAGATTAATTACCTTGAATTCCAGCGGTGGCAAAATGGATATCTATAGGAAACGACCAGGTGGATTTGGTCTCGTCAAACGGCGAGTGAGTCACCTGTGACTGGCCTTTCGCTTTTCCAGAGATTAATTTCCAATTGTTACCGTACTGAAAATACCATTTGCAGAACAAATGACCCTCGGGGAAATCTTTCGCTTCGCTGATTTGGCCAATAACATGCACTTCAGCCATTTACTTTATCGACGAACTGTGCCGAAAAAATTTGTTGTCAACCAAAGTTTGTTTAATTTGACGTCGCCTAGCAACCGGCTGCGCTTCTCCCCACCCCCTTCGCGGTCGGTAATTTGAATTTTATCGGTACACATTAACATTTGCAATTCATTTACAAATACAATTATATAAATTATGGTACTTGATTACTAAAATCGCGAATGTACTAATCTTATTACACTTGAAAGCCCGAAGGTCCACGGGACGTTTCACATAAAACATTAATAATGCCTATAAAATTTAACGGGCCTGAGAACATACGGATACAAAGATGAATATTGAATATGGATATTGATACCGATAATGTTGAAAATGATGATGTTCTCAAACGAATTATATTAAAAAAATCTTAATTACATATTAATATCACATTAGGCGTAATGACGTCAGATTTCGCGAATGGGTCCATCTTACGAGTGGGGTCCCGGCGTCACCGCACATGCGCTTTAAATGTGTTAAAACCTGAAAGATCGGTATTTACGATTCCGGCCATTTTGGGTTTGTGAATTTTTTACTGTTTTTTTTTGGCCAGATTGAACGAGTAACTCCACGTAAGTAAGTGCTAGAATCATTTATATCGTCATCAGTTATTGGAAACTTTGCTAACACACTCCGTCACCCGCCTTCCTAGTGGTCCCCTTGGTTACGGTTTCCGGAAAATTTTCAAAGGGTCCTTGCAGATTTCTATGCGGTTAAAATGCCGAGGAGGCCTCACGCGAGTCGTGACTCGGATGCACCACCCGTGAAGAAAAGTTCTGGCACCGTCGCGGGCAACATTGGACTGAAACAGGGCGACATACTTAAAGACAACATTGGCAAACGCTGGAAGCTCGGTAAGCCGGTGGGGGTAGGAGGTTTCGGCGAAATCTACGATGTCTCGGACAACGTCAGGAAGAGAGACGTGACTGGTAAAGCTCGTTTTGTGGCCAAGATTGAGAAACACTCCAATGGACCGTTATTCGTGGAGATAAATTGTTACCTACGACTTTGCAAGTTGGAAAAAAGTAAGTCCTTTGAGGCGAGTCATGAGGGACACACGTAAAGTATCCTTGTGTATTTTTGTTGCAGTAGGAAAATGGAAGATGGAGAGAGGTTTGGATTTTTTAGGCATGCCCCATTTTGTGGCGTCAGGCTCCCACTTTAAAGACGGTGACAGGTACCGGTTCCTCATCATTCCGAAATACTCGAGGGACTTAGAAAGGATTTTCCAAGAGAGGAAACGGTTTAACTTAAAGACAGTATTGGTTGTTGCGAGACAAATCGTTGACATACTGGAATATATTCACAGTCATGGATATGTGCATTCCGACATAAAAGCATCCAACATTATGCTCGGTGAAGGACAGCATAAGTCGACGGTGTCAACTGCGAGGAAAATGCCGACGCGAAAGTTAAGAAACATCCAAAAAAGCCCCGTTAGGGTTACTGGCAGAACGTTAAGAACAAACGTGATTCCGAATTACCTAGATGATATTCCGTTTCTGGATGACATTTTAAATGAATACGAAAACTCGAATAAAACTGTTATAGTGAGCAGAGACAAAGGTGAACGTGTATTTTTGTTGGATTATGGCCTCGCCTCCAAGTATGTGTTAAGTGACGGGAGTCATAAGGAGTTTAGCTCCGATCAGCGCAAAGCCCATGCTGGTACACTGTTGTTTTGCTCAAGGGACGCTCACAAGGGCGTCACTTCGCGGAGGTCAGACCTCGAGTCGCTCGGGTACAATATTTTGTACTGGTTGACGGGAAGCCTGCCTTGGATGAACAACATACATGAACCAGAGGTGGTAGAAAAAAAGAAGGACAGGTGTTTCGGAAACGTCCAGGCTTTTTTAGACGATTGCTTCGAGGTATACCCGAGGTGTCTGCTCCGCTTCTTCAACTACCTAAATGAACTTAAGTTTGAGGTTAGTTTTGGTTTTGGTTGGCTGCCACTTCGCATGAGAACAGACATTTTGCAGGAGACCCCAAACTACAACTTTTGCCGGTCGTTATTCAGGAGGAACTTGAAGGAGTGCGGGTACAGCGACGATTTAAATTTGGACTTTGACGGGGCGGAAGATTCGACTGTTGTGATGCAGAAGATCATACCGAAAAGTACTGAGAAAATAGCCACGGCCTTGTTCCGAAGTCCGTGCGTACCCCTCGATTCGAATATAATTTTTCAACGGTAAGGCCTGACATAAAATGGTGGCGGTGGATGTCAAATTGTTGTAGGCCCAAATTACGCAAGAAGATCAAAGACAAATACGTCAAAATGACGGTGATGAACTGGTCTAGAATCCTCATCGATCCCGAGACGATCCTAAAGCAGGCGGCTCAGAAGAAATCGGTGTCCGAGGAGCCGAGTCCCGGGGTTCTAGAAATAGATTTGGAAGCGATGAATCCGACGCCCGCTATGAGAGACGTCTACGAAAGGGCTTACGAAAGGGGCGGTTTGTCCCCTCCAAATAACGGACTTTTCGAGTAAGTGAGGTTAGGGTTTTAATGGTCTGGAGTTGTACGTTCGGGGCTCCTATAGGTTAACAGAATGCGATAGAATCGACGGGTATACGGCAGAAATGATGAAGGTGCACAGACAAATGGTGGAACATTCGGAGCTGCAATTGATACAGAGAAAACCCAGGAGGCGTCGGAAGAGGAGGGCGCGATAGGGTCCATGGCCTACCATTAATTTGTCGCTTTTTTTTTTTTGTTAATGATAAGACTGACGTAATTATATTAGGGTGTGGTATTCCTACAGGATCATCCTTGCGAACAAATCTAAGCAATGTGATCGCGAGAACGCCGCTCGCGGAACCACAGTTCAAAAATTGCAATATATATTCCCCCAATTTCGTTTCTGTTGTTACTATATTGTAATAGATTAAGTAATTATCGTGTTGTGATTTATTTTTGTATTTAATGCTATATATATATGGAAATTATTTTACGTTGCAAGAATTTATTTAATGGAAGTGCTTCCGCTTCGCTCTTGCGCAGTTATTCCGTCATGAATTTGGACCACCGGCCATCGTTTCTTTTCTGCAAACCTATCTCATCATTACAGTGTTGTCAAGTCGAAAGTAAGCAAGCAACTGAAGTGTCTGCTAATTATGGCTGGATCAGTTGATTTCCTCTCAAATACACTTCCAAAGAGGTTAACAAATGTTTATAAATGTGTAACAAAGTACTGTTTTTTTTACTTGTGTTATCTGTTAGTTAATTTTTTTTTTGCTCTTTCTAATTTAAACTAAAATCGGAATTGTTATAACAGAATTCCTTCTACTTTGTCAAAATATAATTTAAATTTCGTATGCCAACATCGTAGTTCGATTTAAAATTGATCTTTTTACAGAACGAAGGATTCGAATGAAAATCGAAAATATTTATCTAAACTGGTCACGGTCGATATTCAGTATCCATTATAACGTTATTTATTCTTTCCCACTTTATTGGTTTTAGTCTGTTATGGGCGAATATCTGTGGCCTATTTGCCTAATAATTAGATTAAGAAATTTATTCCTTGCTGTCTGTGGCATTTTTTTTTAGGTAAAACGGGCGAATGTCCTTCATGGATATGTCCAGTGACAATGCGAAACGTACGTATTAACAAATAAAAGTTATTTAAAATAGTATTTTACGTCGTCGTCGCGATTTGTTTGTGCAAGTGTGTGTGAGTGAATAATTATTGTTTTCGATGAACTACAGTATGAAGTTTTCGACCGCCCGGGGTTAACTAAACTAGTTCGAGATGGGGCCACGAGAATGCCTAACGTTGACGGTATTTTGCTTTCTGTTGTTCTGGAATATTGCGTCACTGCAAAATGCGAGCGTGGCGACCCAAACGGCGCCGCCTGCCCAGCAGGGCACGCCTACACTGATCTTTAAAGCGAAACCTACCAACGTTTCCGAAACTTTGACCTTAACGACATCGGTTCCGTCCGCATCATCGGCAGCCACTCCACCATCGATAGTGCTAAAGAACGTCGACGTTAAGCTACCCGATGCCGGTGTTGTTCAGCCCGATACTAACGCGACAAAGGTCAACGCAACATCAACCACACAATCCGCGGATCCCGTCCTGCCCGACAAAGAGGCCGCAGAAGACGAGCACAACAGTTCGATGGCGATATTTTTTGTTCTGTGCGTCCTGGCGTTGGGAATCTTACTTATCCACCTCATGCTTCAAACAGGTTTCCAATATGTCCCTGAAAGCATAGTTATCGTTTTCCTTGGTGCTCTGATTGGGTTCGCGATGAGCGCCCTTTCGAATAGAAACATCAGCAACTGGCGAAAAGAGGAGGCGTTCTCTCCGACCGCATTCTTCTTGATTTTATTGCCGCCGATAATTTTCGAGTCGGGTTATAACCTACACAAGGGCAACTTTTTCCAAAACATCGGGTCGATTTTAGTGTTTGCGATATTCGGCACCACCATATCCGCGTTCGTCATAGGGTTCGGCATCTATTTTCTCGGTTTGGCGGAAGTCGTGTACAGGTTAAGTTTCGTCGAATCCTTTGCGTTTGGCTCGCTAATATCAGCCGTGGATCCTGTCGCTACCGTTGCCATATTTCACGCCTTAAACGTCGATCCTGTTCTAAACATGCTGGTATTTGGTGAGAGCATCCTCAACGACGCGATCGCCATAGTTCTAACCACAGCCGCCTTGGAATCAAACAACCCGCTCATGAGCACGGGAGAAGCGATAGTATTAGGCATCCAGAGATTTTGCCTCATGTTTTTCGCATCGGCTGGAATCGGGGTAGTTTTCGCCCTCGTAAGCGCCCTCCTGTTGAAACACGTTGACCTTCGCAAAAACCCATCCTTGGAATTCGGCATGATGTTGGTTTTCACATACGCGCCCTACGTTTTAGCCGAAGGCATCCATTTGTCTGGGATAATGGCTATCTTATTCTGCGGTATTGTGATGTCTCATTATACCCACTTTAATCTGTCCACCGTCACTCAAATCACCATGCAGCAGACGCTACGCACACTCGCCTTTATTGCCGAAACGTGCGTGTTTGCTTACTTGGGCCTTGCCTTGTTCAGCTTCAAGCACAGGGTGGAGCCTGCTTTAATAGTTTGGAGTATAATATTGTGTCTTATAGGCAGAGCTTGTAATATATTCCCATTAGCGATACTAGTCAATAGGTTTAGAGAACACCAAATCACCAAAAAAATGATGTTTATAATGTGGTTCAGCGGGCTGAGGGGCGCCATTTCCTACGCCCTCTCGCTGCATTTGAACTTCAGCGACGAGACGCGTCACGTAATCATTACCACCACCCTAATTATTGTCTTGGTTACGACCTTGATCTTTGGGGGATCTACTATGCCCCTGTTGAAGCTGATGCAGGCGACTAAGAATCCGTCCAGGCGATTGAAGAGGAAGAAAAAGGACAGGGAAGTTACATTGAGCAAAACCAGGGAGTGGGGACAAACGTTGGACTCTGAGCATCTTTCTGAAACTACCGAGGGTGAGATGGAGGTCACCTTTGTTTCAGATAGGATAAAAGGTTTCGCCAAGTACGACCTCAAGTACTTTATACCCTTCTTTACTAGGAGATTTACTCAGCAAGTAAGTCAATTAATAGTCATGTTTTCCTAGCTTAAATTTTATTAATCGAGTTCCAAATATAATTCATAGAGCTTTCATTATCCTTAAATATATAAAAAGAAAAACCTTATCTTCTTATTTATGGCATTATTGCAATATGCCTAATATAAGTGCAAAACATATTTTACAACGGTAATAAATTCGTAATTGTGTATCTGGCGAATGAATCACAATAATTCTATTGCGTTGTGAACAGTTTGGTTCTGTGGTTAAGTCGATCGTAATTTGTTCTGTGCAATTTTATTTGAGGTTATGGAATTTTCCAAGTTTTTTGCTAGTATGGAATATTCGCCTCTGAATAATCCGGCTTACACCAAACAGTTGGCGATCAACAATTTAGCAACGTGCGTTTATCTACCCTTGTTGGTGTTTTTCGAAAATTTAAACGGTACCCTGTACGACATCGACTGTCAGGAAACCTACACGCTCCCAATCTTGTCCTTGGCCGAAGTAATAAAGTTTGCGCTGTGTGTTCGCCACCGCCACCACGGCAAAAGCGTTAAGAAAGGAGATCCGAGAAAATTTCGAATGCACAGTCTTTTTAGAGGCCTTTTCACTTTGGCGTGTACCATCCTGTTGATACACATTGTTGCGATCCTGTTAGGAGCCCCGTTCTTTTCCAAACAGCGACAGACCTTGATATTTTCCGTGATAATCGCCAATTTGACCGCTTTACCGTGCTGTCTGCATTTGGGCGCCGAAAGTCTGGTCGTGTTACTTTTGTCTTTAACTCGTTTGGAGGAAAATCCACTGCGAGAAAAGTTTCTTACGCTGACGCGTTTGACATTATTTGGCGCGTGGGCGGGTGCCGTCGTTATACCCCTGGATTGGAATAAGCCGTATCAGGTGTGGCCTATCCCTTGCGTTTTGGGAGGTCTTGCCGGTTTCTTCTGTGCCAATTTTTATCAGGCGTTTCGGTTTTGGCTGCAGTCGAATGCTAATACTAGTAAACTTTTCGTGTAGCATTTTTTTAATTTGTTGAATTACACGCAAATTATTTAAGGTAACTTTTCCTATAGTTGTAAAGAGAATTTATGATATTTTCAAAATAAAATTTCAGCCAGTTTGGTGTGATATTCATTGTTTTTTTTTTATTATTTCAGGAGCTAAAGGTTTGCAAAAGTCAGATGACTGATTTAACCAATCAGTGGTATCAAGCGATTAGGATATCCCCAGATCAATCAGACGAAGAGGCCGTGACGACCGGTAGATCTAGTATATCTAGTATAGTTCGTTGACCAGCAGCTGTTTCTCAAAACCCCGAAAAACTTCGCTTGATTTAAATTTGCAATCTCCCAGCCCTAATGCAATAAAAATTATTTAAGCAGTTTACTTGTCACTGGAATTTCTTTGACGGCCTTATGATTTTTTAATGTATTGCCTGCAAGTTGATATTTTTGTGAGTGATGTTTGAAGGGTGGAAAGAAATGTTGCCTTGGGTAAAAACAATTAAGTTAGGAAAAGTCGCGGCCCAATTTTTATTCAATACTGTCAAAAATCAAGCTTTTTGTTTTGTTTTATTTAAAAAAAAAAGGACCTCCCGCAAAACTGTTGATCATTAATGTCACTGGCGGCTAGCACTATGTGACGTGTAAACACGCTTACCACCTCCACTCATCCCGGCATACACTTACTAGTGATAAAAAAATTAAAAATATTTTTTGTGATTAAAGTCGCACAAAACTTGTCTGTGTTATAATGATGCCATTAACATGGCCGCCTAGTTAATATATCATTTTTAACTATACTCGTATACGAACCACAAGACATCAAAATTCCGTATTGAGTATATAATGTTAAGCCCAATTTTATTTTTTGTGATACTGTGTTAACGTTTTATAGTTGTTTGGTATCTCAGTTGCGTAAACCGACCTGATGTGTGTGAAATATTAGGTTTTAACATTGACCCGGTGCCAAAGCTTTTACCATTCGAACTCGTTTTATTTCCGCAGGAAGTGGGAAGCACGGATGTATTTTTTTGGAAGGATTGTGCTTACTGTACTCCATCTTTGTTGTCCAAAACATTCAGTCTAACTGAACTGTCAAATTATTCTATACGAATTGTGCAATAGTATTATTGAATAAAACTATTTCACTGTCGAAAACTTTTACTTCCGGCATTGTTTCTCCTACCAAAACGGGGAACTGATTTTTGATTTTGTAAAAGATTTAATTGATGGCAAAAACGTACTTTGTTTTAAATCAGTATCTGATAACCAGAATATGGTTTGTAATTATTTGAAGAGTATAATGATCAAGCTTCAAAGGTAAAAAAATAAGGGAACTTTGTAATAAACTTTATTTAAAAATTATTTTATTTTTTCTTGGGTGTGGCCACTTTCTTCTCGGGCTTTGCTTTTTTAGATGGCTTAGGCTTATCCCCACCCTTTGCCATTTTTTTCTTGCCATACAAAGTGCCATTTCTCGATGCAGCTTTCCTTAAAGCGAGGAAGGTGGCTGTACGAATTTTATTTCTGCGAGAACGCATCCTCCTCAGCTTGAACCTATCAAAATCGGACAGTTCCACCCTCTAGAACAAAACACCATCTTTTAATATAAATAATACACAGGAATGAGACAGATCAAATAAAAATTTGTCAGAACAAAAATAGCTTCAGTTATGTATCAGTCGGCAATTCCTATCAACTTCAGGTTCATCACTTACAAAATATGGACCAGTGATTGAAAGTACCAAAAAAAAAATCACTACCTTTTCTTTAGCAGCAACTTTTTTGGCCCACACAGAGTTTTCCCATTTTTCCTGGATGTTGCCTTCTTTCCACGCTTTACGTACAACTCGAGTTGATGCAGCAAATGGAAACTTAATCCTAAATTTGGTCAAGTGTAGCTGGCTTAACCTAATTTGACCTCTAGGTACATTTGTCTCTGGGCCATCTACTAACACCTAAAATATAAGAACCTCAATGGAAAATTCTAGCTGGTGATCACCAAAATAACTATGTTTATAAAGGTTTCAGCGCGTAATTGGCTTCAGTTATGTATCAGCCGGCAATTCCTATCGTAAAATGGATCATCACGTTAGCTTTTATAAATAACCTACAAAATAATAAAATAATTACATTACCCTGGTTTGGTCTATAACGTCCACGATGCTAACGAGCCGTCCTTTAAATGGACCGTCCGCAATAACGGCCACGCGGCCTGTTTCGACGAACCTTTGAAAAGGCTGAAATGCAACAAAACTTTAGACATGAACCTTACCATGTGCATTCTGAATGAATACAATGGATTAAAAAGTAACACATTCTATAAAAATATTACAATTCTAATCTAATTTATCTTGCCCAAAGAAATTAACATAAACGAACACTATTTCAACACTCGGTTTTTTAAACAAAAAACCAACAAACATTTTATACTGCTTACCATTTCTCGTTATCCACGAAAAGGCTTGCGCCTGGTAAAACGGAAGTGAAATTGACAGTTTGAATAACTAGTTTCATAAATGAAATATAAGCTTTGTCGATGTTATTATTTTATATATGAAAGCATAATCGATTTTTAAAAATATTAAGTAGTTTATCGAGAATTGCTTTAGAGTTTTTAAAAATTAAAACAAATTAATCAAGTCATTACTTGATTAAACGTATATAGGCTTCTTCGAAATTGACCACTTGTATTCTATGGTCTTGAGCCTTGAGCAAGCGGTTCTATTTTTGAAAAAAAAAACGGCATACCTAAGATGGTAAATTTAATTACAAGCAAAACGATGTAAATCGTACAGCCGTTTAAATTTCTGTATAGATAACGCATATTGCAAAATGGCGCTTCCAACAATATATCTAAAATTTGATCCCTGTTATGACGTTAACCAAGCTCTGTTATCTTTGTTTGTGTCAATGTCGCAAAAAATAAAAATTGGCACATATGGTAACATTTGTAAAGGAAACATGGATTTTAACAATTGTGAGTAAATGTGAGCGAATAAACCATCCTTATAGACAAGCTTTTTGCTTTCAGATTGCGAAAAGCTGTTAGGCGAAGGACCATCTTGTGTTCAGACCCAAACCTTGTTTGGAAATACCACAAATAGATTTGTTTATGTAAAACAGAATCATGTTAAAGAAGTTACCCCTCAGCAAATCTTGGTCAATCCCCATTTTATGAAAAAGGTCTACGTCAATCCCCAATTTGGCTCCCCTAGTAATCAAGGAAGTAGTAGGCCAGCAATTCATTTGAATCCCCATGTGTACAACTTCACTGGAGTAAATTCTTCTTCAGTGTCAAATATGGCCGCAACGTCTCGCAATCAACATACAGATTTACCACCAATATTTTTAAATAAATCAAGAGCAGTCCATGTTAATCCAAATTTTAAAACTTTCTTAAAAAAAGAAACACCACAGAATATGGGAACAAGACTGTTGCGCGAAAATGTAGCAAAAGAAACAGTGCTACTCACGAAAACCAAACTCATTAGGGCGCCTGTTATTGCAAGAAGGAATTCCATAAAGTCAAAGTATAAAATTATTAGATCTACAAGTGTAATAAATACTGGAAGAAAAGGTTCCAATTTAAACAAGCCTAGGTATAAACTTGATTATCGCACGAGGAAAACTCATATTAAGACGGGACCCGTAAAAAGTGAAGCTGTTGTTGCTACTAAGCATCCCCACGCTTTAAAGAACTTGTATTCATTTAGAAGTCAACATAGAACTATGAATAAAAGTATATCAAAATCAAAGTATAAATTTATAAGAAGGGTCAGTATACCCCAACAACAAATGGAAAAAGCAGTGGGCATCAAGAAGACGAGCCTAGGTGAAAAAAGTTTTGTAGTGAAAAAGTTCAAGTTGATCAGGTATAATTTAATGGTACTAATAGATTCCTTATGTTATTTGCATCTTTTCTATATAGAAAAACTACCTCCAAAGTGGTCAAGTCTTCTAGGAAACTAAAAAAGTGCAATATACCCTGTCCCTATTATCGAAAGTATGGCATATGCAAAGGGAAAGACAATGGCCGATGTTGCAAAAAACATGATCCTGACCAAATAGCTTTGTGCACTAAGTGAGGACGGTCTCGTTTGTTGTGCAAAGAATATGTGTTTTTGTTCTAGATTTTTACAGGGAGCTTGCTTGAAGGAAAAGTGCCTTTTATCTCACAAGGTGTTGCCGGGGAAAATGCCTACTTGCAAGTATTATTTGGAAGGCTCCTGTTCCAAGGAGAGGTGCCCCTATCTTCACGTCAAGATAAGTGCCAAGGCTGACATTTGCCCAGACTTCTTGGAAGGATTCTGCGAGAAAGCCGCAGAGGTAACATCACCACAGAACTGTTATGTAATGGAACCTTGCGGCAATTTAACTTGGCAGTGTGAAATTATGATAACTTTAAAACCATGTTTTTTACTGACAGTTGTCGATTCATTTGTTGCCAGGCTGATAAAATGGCATCCAACAATTTATTGGTACCAAACTAAATTGTCTAGTGGTCCATTTTATGTCATAAATCCCACATGAAAGCTAAAGCTATAATCTTTAGTGTCACAAACGACACCAGTACCTGTGCCCTGAGTACGAGAAGCACGGTAAGTGTCTGAAACAGAGGTGTCCCTATCCGCACGGAAAAATGGTAAGACGTTATTTGGTGCACAAGCAAAAATTTGCCAAGAACTGTTCGGAACCGAGAACAAAGCCCGATGAATATAGTGCGGCACGCGTAGTTAGACAACCGGGGAACGATGTCACTGAAAAGGCTCGATATTACATTTCAAAACAGGAAGGATTCGAGACTAAGACTTTTGAGACGTTGGACGTGAGGTCGAGACCGCGGTTGGGTACCCTGCCCTCATTTATTCCATTTGATGAATTGTGACGAACATTTCTTGGCATCAGATGTTTAAAATTCAATTTGTACTGTGATCCAGTTTTATTAGAATCAATAAAAGTATTTCAATAATTTCGAGTTTCTTTTTTTGTGTTTGAAAACTGTGTTGGTCATTAAGTCCAAGCCCAGGAGTAGGTGAAATGTACCAACCTCTCTTGGTCAGTCGGAGATAAAACTCTGATAACTATACAATTTTTTATATTTTACTCCAAGATACAGTATAATGAAAAGAGAAAAAATACTTTTTTTGTCTGCATCACATAATAATAATAATTTTGTAGAGATGTGAAGGACAACAGTAAAGCAAAACATACAAGATTCTGTCACTGTCTTCCAAGAGAAACAACAGGAACCATATTTTAAAAAAAATATTTTTTATTTTTTGGTAACATTAACAAATCACAAAGTTGACTTAAACTTTGGTTCATAAATAAGCATCCAGTTGGATGGCTCATTGTACCCAAGTAGAACTGGGCAGTGCAAAAGTAAAGAGAGATTGTCTTGGTTTATTTGACTAGATATTTTTATCCATTGTGTCAGCCATTTAACTAAATGTTCCCTGCTGACGTTAGAAGGATTGAGTCCTGAAAGAGGCAAATACATGATTCAGATTCACTGTGGGCATTATGTTAAATCACCTCTGATATAACAAGAATTCCGGAGAGCTTCTTGGGGAAGATTGTGTACACCCCCTTCCCTCATTATGGCCCTGTCCATTTCAATTAAAATGTTAGCTCTATCTGAGAGCCTGGTCCTCCTAAACCAACCCATATGCAAATCGTGGAGCTTCAAAAGATGTTTCTAAAATTGAGTTGGTGGTATTTTTTTCTTAAGCACAACTTTTTAATTTAAATGGATATTGGCCTACGTATCGAAAACCTACTACATGATTCCTGCTGAGATACATCAGATGGTAGGGTTCACCACTAAAAAGCTCTTTGCAGGTCAATATTTGTTCCACAGTGGGCTGTGTTCCACTACCTAAAGTACCCAAAACCTCTGTCCACGGTTTAAACATTGACTGCAGTTTTTCTCTTTTTAAGAAGCCAATCTGAAGCTGCAAATGTCTCAAAATCGGTCTGTTGTGTTTGAGTCTCTCTGCGAGGTACTCAGTCTTGAACTTTGACTTTTGATTTAAAGTCCAGAAGTGAGAGGACAGTAGCTGCTTGGGAAAATAATAAATCATAGGTAAAGTAACATATAAGGCAAAGGGTAATGAGGAAACTAGTAGAGTTGGGGCGACTTTTATCATATCTTTGGGCATTTGCTGGTAAAGTTCTATGTCTCGCCTTAGAAGTTTTGTAAATTTATCTGAGGAGGCATTCAGCAATAAGACAATTTTGAAGTATTCCCTGGTGTCGGCTATAAAATCTTTAATACCATCCGTGAATGTCCTGTATGTAAGCATAGTGGTTGGAAAATTCTTCTCAAGTACTTTATCATAGTTTTTTAAATAGTCTATAAAACGCGTCAATAAATAAAAACGAATCTTTTTAGCTTCCTCCCGTTTATAAACAGACTTCTGACTAAGGGACCTTGCTTCCAAAACCCTGAAACTCGAATTTAAAATAAAGGTAACTTAAAATCCAATTACCCAGAACGCACTGTACCTCGATTTGAATATACTGAATGTTAAAATACGATTCAAATTTAATCTACAGGTTGTCGTGCCCAACGGCAACAACATTTCCGACTTATATGACAGTCATACACTTTTCTATAAACTCTCGAATTAAATTTTTAAAATATTTTCTATTTCAGGTTACGTTAGACTCAGACACCTTCCTCCCATACTTCTGGGCCATTAGACCAAAACCATGAAGAATAATATAAATAATATACATAAATTAGAATAACGCATAAAACTTGCTTCGAAGAGGATAGGTCACAACCAACAACCAACTAACAAAATAGTATTTATATGTGTAGTCTACGCCGTGCGCGAAAGGTTTCCGTCGACCTTAGACAATCTGTCAAATTTGTTTTTGAAGGCGTTGATTTATGACAACTCTAATCTCAGTTTTCAGCCATTTTATTTGTAGAAACTATTTAATCCGAGTTTTAATAATTGGAATATTTGAGTTTGAAGTTATTTTGTAATCAGCAAGGTTAGCAGCCTGTGCGAACGTCGTCCACTTTGGAACCAGCAGAATTTGAATTATTTCGCGTAACAGTATGTGAAATATTTTCATGGTATTAAAACAATTCGGCAATCTATGAGTGGCGTTCGTAATAAAATGCAAAAAGGGAAAAGGAGAGTTCGTTCGAGTAATTTTTCATTGAAAGAAAAGAGTTTGTTAATCCATTTAGCCAGTAAATACAAAAACGTATTGGAAAATAAGAAAACCGATTCTTTGTGGTCACAAGAAAAAAATAAAGCCTGGCATCGAATTGCGGAGGAATTTAATTTTTTGTCGCCAGATAACACTCATCGCAACGCGGACACCTTGCGTACATGGTACAGAAATAGGAGAAAAATTGTGAATTACAAAGCCAAACGTGAAATGGCCTCGGACAATGTAAAAGGAGAGACCATATACGAACTTGAACACCCGTCAGATATTGTATCCCATTTTATGAATACCTTCTCGAACTGCGAGACTAGCGACGACGAAAATTTTGAAGAGGTATAACCTTTTATTTTTTTTTGTTAAGAGCAGTTCTCCAAAAAAAAATTGTTTTTAGGCTAAGGCACAAATAGAAATGCTTCCGGAGGCAGAGGAACAAATAAACCTCGAACCCCTAGCAATGATTAAATCTGACAAAGTTTCAATTTTTGCGGAAAAGCAAATCTTATTGTTGGAGAAAAAAATCGCAATGGCAGAATTCCAAATGGAGGCAGCTAAAAAAGAGCACATGCTGAAAATTTCATTGCTGGAGCTGCAAATCCAGAATGAAGAATTGAAGTTGAAGCAACATAAGGATCCTGAAGCGGTCTGAAGGTTGGGTCAATTTTAATGTTAAGTTTACATTTTTTTACTTGAGTGATAAAGAAATAATTACAAATAAAATTTTGTTTTATGCAAAAGACCAACAAATTGCACATTTACAATATCATTTTTTATGTTCATTGGGAAAGTACAAAACTTTTTGTTTCATATTTTGCTTTTGAGAAACCATCAGCATACTTTGTCATATGATTTAAAATTGTTTCTATCTATTATGAAATAAAGCAGAATGCAAAAGATTAACTAAAATGATTTTGTTCCGGTTTTGGGTAATGTTTTCATATCGATTCTTTACCTGGGGGACAACTGCCCAGTGAACTTGATCCAAACTCGAACGGCTATATAAAGATGGTTGTTACTGGATTATATAAATGAGAGAAGAATGGATAAGGTATCCTTGTTGATTAATTATTTGAATTTATTGATATAATTGTAAAAATAAGATATATAATAATCTAAATTTTGCAAAAACATCTGAAAGAAAACGCATACAAATTTATATACTTACTTATTTGACACATGTAGGCCTTTCTAACATTCTAATGTATTAGTCAGAAAATTATTTTAAAAAAGGTTTAAAATAAACACGTACTTCACTTAAATATCAACAGGGTGGCCAAATAAGGGTTCCAACTATTCGTCATCGAGATCTGCAGTAAAAAAAATATTACTAAACTGGTCTAAAAAGGGTGTAACTGAAATTAGATGTGTAATGTGTGTGAGATTTTCTACTTCATCGAGGATAATTTCGTCGCCATGATCCTGTTTCAGTATCAACTCACAGCTCTCTTCTTCATTCGAATAGCGCAACGCGATATTGTCCCCGGTGTAGACTATTATGTCGTTCCCGTACATGATTTCCCTCACCTCATCCTCTAGGAAGTACAAAAAATCCCAAAAATCCTGCACTTGAAAGTCTATTTGCTTGTTCTTGAAGATGAATTGGACACCCGAATTCTTTATTTCGAAAATCGTGTTTTCATCGACAGCGTGTCGTTCCCGTCTGAAATCATGTTGACCCTGCATGGTTTTCTGGCGGCAACATACGTTCACCGCGTTTATTCAAATCGGCGTTGGTGCTTGCGGTTAGAAGACCTTCCGACTTTTTAAGTTACTTTTCTATTTTTAATTCAACCGTGGAAGGGAGTACACGCGTATAAATACGTTGCATGTGTATTGTCGACTATATTCAGTGCGATGTCCATTTCCCTACAACTGGTAAGTGCGTGTCTTTTTTTTTGTGGGTTTCAGTGGGGGTTGTCACTTTTTTTGGTCAGTTTCTACCTGTTTTTATAATATGATACTCCACTTTTTTACGATGCATAATAATCGAATTAAATTGAGTGTTTTTAATATCGTTTAAATGACAGTGAATAGAAATGTGAATTTTGGTAAACAAAAAAACAACATTTTTGAAAATTATTTGATAACCCCACTTCCTAGAAGTTTTGTTTACAAAATGTGTGTTTTATAGGAAACGCGACATACACATACTTCGTTTTGTTCTAGAAAAAATCGCGGTTTGTCCTTTTGACAAGTCGCACGTTATGTTGGCGCATCGTTTAGGGCGTTACACATTTAAATCACACAAAGGGTACCGGGGGTTAGAATGCACCGGCCAAGGAGTGTTGGTCGTGGGAGCGCGAGGCACGTCCCTCGTACACACTAGAACAGCAGCAGCAGGAGCAACCCGGGGATTCTGTGGTGGGAGCATTGCACGCGGCGGTTTAACCTCCGTTCGCTCCCGACAGAATCCCTTGTATTCGTCCTCAAAAGTTTGATATCGGTTTCCACTGTGTGGACTTAGTGTTGTTAGTGTTCAGTGCATGTTTTAAAGTTATAATCGTCGTCGGCCCCCGTCGTTTTTCCCCGTTCACGCCGGTATGGAGGCCGGATGGGCCCGGATGGTCCGCGGTGGAAGCGGGGGGTGTCGGTTTTTTTTGGTATCGGTCAAATTTGTTTTTTTGCTAGTTGAGCAAATATTGGTTATATGTCTTCTTTGTACGTGTTGGTCAATGACCAAAAGCGAAGATCCTCGACGGAAGTCGGCAATGGGCGAATGATCCTAGCACTCGAGCCCAACATTTTTTTGTGAAACGCATACTTGAACTTTGAGCAACCCGGGCGGGTGGTCGAGCAACAGGAACGATGGAATGGGATGTTTGACAAAGAAAACAATCCCGATTACTAATCATCTCAGTCTTAATAGAATTTGCCTCACAGTTTAGATCGAATTCGCTGCTATCCACAAATTGACTCGATACGTGACACGACGTATAAGCGTGCATTTTGTTTTTTTTTTCTTCTGGAAAGTTTTGGAGTGACAAATCATTTTATTTTGGGGCGCAAAACTGTAGAAGCTCGTCGTCTTTTCGCGGCCAAATATTGAATAGTTGCCGCAACGTGTGCCAGCGCCGCTGGTACTCTTCGGCGGCTCGTTTCGCCTTTTCGTACGTCATAACGTCGAGGCTCTCTACGTCGGCCGCGATTTTAATCTCAAATCGTTTCGCCACGGCGATAAACTGCCCGAATAGCGCCAACTTGCAAATTTTTAAGGCCCCTCCGCTCTCGGTTGAATTCTTCTTGGTCACGCCCTGCCTTCGTCCGTCAACGGCAACTTCCAACGCCCTGAAAACCCTTTGGGTGAAGAGACGAAACCGGAAGTTCAGTAGACACGATGCAATTTTTGCATGGACATTATGTACAATGCAAATGGAATAATATTTTCAACTATATGGTGTTGCGTAAAAGCGTAACAATACCATATGAGATATGACAGCATAATTGTTGTTCAATTTTAACGTTGCGTTGCTAGCTTGTATTATATACATTTTAATTATTATTACATATAACATAACATTGATTGTCAAGCGTTTTAATTATCAAGAGTTCACTGAAACCAAATTTTTTCCGATTTTTTTAACCAGTCACCAACAGTATTTAACTGCTTTATCGATTCAAGTCTTGCCGTAACATTCATTCTTCTTACCACTTACAAAAAAGAAAATATTGTGTATTCGAGACCCATTATTACTTCGCATAAAGCATTTTAAAAGTTTGCTGTTTCAATATATACATTTACCTGATATCGAATACCGTTTTTCTTTTAAATATCAAATGTATTTTTAAATAACTTAATAAATAAATAATAAAATAATAATAATTAATTAAACTGATGTATCATGAAAATGTATTATAAAACATTTTTATTAAACATGTAGGGCTCACTAGATAGCTATAAATTCACATATAAATAATAACGATGAAGTAGTTGATTATTTCAAAAATTAGAAAAAAATTAGTTCGAAGCCACCTTGTACGAAATAATTTCTTAGACGCTTCACTGAACTCTTTATAATACATATGACAATTTTAATTTTCATTTCTTATATTATGAAGGGTGCGGATTGGGAGTACGGGTAGAATACTCTAGAAGTTTTAGCCCGTCCAATACATTCGCACACTGTATTTGTTAAAGGGAAAAATAGGAAATAAGTAAAAATAAACAAGGGTGTTTGGTGGTGCTATTCTTCTCGTCTTTGATGAAAATGTTATGCTATTAAATGTTATTTAAAAATGCACAAGTTTAATTTATTAAAAAAATATGTAAAAAAAAAACATCCACACCAGTTTTTACCTGTTCCACAAGTATAAGAGTAACCGAGCTGTAAAGGGTGTCTAAAAATGCAAAATTTCCAAAAATCACCCTGTATGGGATGGGAGGACATTTATGTTTGCGTCGCCTTGTAGTTGTCTTGGAAAGCCTCAACATTCTAATTTTATTAATAAGGAAGATACGTAACGCGTTAAAAAATGGAACAAACTGTATAGTAATGACATGACCTGCATTTTATTACATGAGCAACAAAATAAAAAGTTGATTCAAACATTGTGTATGTGCATGCCCGAAATAAAAATTACCGCAATTTTGTGCGAAAAAGGGGCAGGTAATAAAATTGCATCCTATCTACTAGGCTTTTACCCGCTAACGCAATTATTGGGTTGTTCGGAAAGTCATTTCGTTTTTTTTTTGGGGAACATGAAAGACAGTTTTCGTATAATGAATAAATATTTTATTAAATTATATATTGGCCATTCTGGTCCAACACCTTTTGCCATCTTTCTGGCAGTAACATAATTCCCCTCTCATAAAAGTTTTGGTCCTTGCTGGCAAAAAACTGGTTCAGGTGGTTTTTGACATCTTCATTTGAGGTAAAGGTTTTGCCATCCAAAAAATTTTGCAGGGACCGGAACAAATAGTAGTCGGAAGGCGCCAGATCTGGAGAATATGGTGGATGTTGCGGTACGTCCCATTCAAGCTGTAAAAGTTTTTGGCGAGTGACCAAACTTGTGTGAGGTCTCGCATTATCCTGCTGGAACACTACACCCTTCCTGTTGATTAATTCGGGCCTCTTCTCTTTAAGTGAATCATTCAATTTGTCCAGTTGATGACAATAGACTTCTGAATTAATCGTTGTATTGTCCGGCAAAAGCTCAAAAAAAACGATTCCTTTGACATCCCACCAAACGGAGAGCATCACCTTTTTTTGGTGAATGTTGGCTTTTGACACGCTTTGAGCCGGTTCATCTTTTCTGCCTTTTCGACCTCTTGCGTTTAACATTGTTGTATACAACCCATTTTTCGTCCCCAGTAATAATCCGCTTCAAAAATGGATCATTGTCTTGACGTTTGAGGAGCGAATCACACACGTCAACGCGACGACACAAATTTCGCTCCGTAAGGACATGGGGCACCCACACGTCGAGCTTCGAGGTTAAGCCCATGCCTTTCAAATGGCCATAAACAGTCGAATTCGACAAATTTAATCTCTCACCGATCTCTCGTGTGGTTATTCGCCGATTTGCATCAACTAATGCCTTTATCGCATCTTTGTCAGCTTCGACCGGCCTTCCAGACCGTGGTGCATCTTCGACATCAAAATTGCCGGATCGAAATTTTGCAAACCAGTTCTGGCACTGGCGTACTGTTAACACGCCTTCTCCATACACATCCGTCAATTTTTTTCTCGCTTGGACAGCATTTTTACCTTTTCTGAAGTAAAAAAGTAAAATATGACGAAAATGCTGCCTATTGCTCTCCATATTTAAAAGAGCACCAACCAAAACCTACTGCGTAGAATTAATAGAACTTTTTCACACACAAGCCTTGCAATATCAGCTCTCAAGACATATAATGGTTATGCGGCTTAAGTGTGAAGTTGGTTTCGAAAAAACGTAATTAAGTCCTCTGATGGGAAAAAACGAAATGACTTTCCGAACAACCTTATAAATACCGTTGTTCGTTATTTCCAATACGCGACCAAGATATACTAGACGCACACGGCCGTTTACTGTCGGTTTTGGCGTGCGGGAAGGGTTTGTTCCCCCACCCGACAGCTATCGGGTGATAAGGTACATCATCGGGCGCGGCTCCGCCCAACCTTTCGTGCAGCGCTCTCTCCAGGGCAGCGGGGCAAAACGGAGTCCCGGTCGCTATCGTAAAACTGGACAGATAAATTGGACTTTCCAGGAGAATCGAAAGCAACGCCCCCTGAATGCCTAGATGGCACCACTTTGCCATTTTATCGCTGCAGGAAGCTGATAAAGTAGGATCGCCCCTGCCTGGAAATACGAAACTTGAAACTGCCAAGATCACTGTTAATTTTACAACTTTTTCAGCTTTCCCGTAAGAAATAGAAAGTTTATTTGTAAAAAAATGGTTGCGGCTGTAAAAGTTTGGGTAGCCCTCCCGTACTTTGCGATATCCATCGACAGGGAAAATCTCGACCATAATGATAACCAAAACACTGAAATTATCGAGAGAGACAAGAAATGACCCGGTTATCATATCATAAAAAAATTTCGTAGTAAACTTCTCTGACGCTGGGCCGGTGTGTAATTTAACCATAAAAGTATTAGATAATATTAGAAGCCGTGAATGCTGGCTTCTTATGCGCAAAAGCGTATTATCGGAACAGAGAAAGCTTCTATATATCTATACCCATGTTTTTAACCTAGTCTTCACATCTTATATGCGGCACATATTCTTGCTCGCAAGTAGATACTGCAATTGGCACTTTGCTCTAAAATCCCACTATATCTTTGTTGCACTTGTGATGTGGGCAACGTAATAGTTAGGTCACCCTGTGAAACTCCGTGGCATTTGACGACTACAGTTCACCCGTCTTCATTTACAAGTAGGCTTAACGTGAGCTGTACGCGAAGACTCAGTTACGAATAACGAACGAATTAATAATAATGTTTCTAGTCATAGGGATACCAGTTGGGGGGTACCGCAGGGAAGCGTGTTGGGCCCGCTTTTATATATTATTTATATAAATGATATGTATCAGGTTTTAAAACACTCCTTTGTTAACTTATTTGCTGATGAATGGCTGTGTCAAAATAAACTGAAATTAAATAGCTCCAAAACCAAGTGCATGGTTAACGGTTCTAAGGTTAACTGTCAAAAATTTTATAAGTCGGGGTATTCTGTGGATATACCGGGTAATACAATTGAGTTTGTTTCCGAAATTAAATATTTAGGGGTGATCTTGGATCCACAATTATGCTTTAGTAATCATGTTGAATATCTATGCAAAAAATTGATAAGAAAATGTTTTTTTTTTTAACCGTGTATCGCGGTTTTTACCGCAGTGGACTAGGATGTTAGTGTATAATAGTATAATTTTGCCTCATTTTTCATATGTTTGTTCATTGCTTATATCTTGTACAAAAGAAGATTTAAATAAGTTACAGTTACAACAAAATAGGGTTATGAGAATCATCCTGAACTGTGATAGATATTGGCTAAATGTCGGGCAGTTCATTAGAAGAGCAAGTTTAATGTTGGTTTATGGAATTGCGCACGATCACCAACCGGGCTATCTTAAATTATGGTTGGACAAAAAGGTCAAACTTTTATCGATATAATATTCGTTCCAATCACCACTTCAATGTTTCTATGGTAAAAACAACAAATTTACAGAAAACTCTATTCTACGATAGTGTTTGTAATTTTAACGAACTGCGGGATAATATTAAGGACGCGCCATGCCCAAGAGTGTTCAAGAAGAGACTTACGGGGTATTTGCGAAGTTTACAGTTTTGTTTATGCAAATTTTACTTGATTATGTGCCAAGCCAAGTGCTAAATAAATAAATAATAATAAATAAACATAAGAAGTATCTGCGATACTCCTGGTTTCACTAGACTATAAAGATCCAACATACTTCCAAGTGAAGATCTCAACAGGGGCTTGGTGATTTCTAATTTCTCTGTAAAATACTCACATTTTTATGATGAGTAGCATGTTTGCGAATCCTGATCTAAATCTTCCTTTGAGACTGTGGCATACAGCAAGGTATAATATTTCCTGGGTATTATTTGGAAAAACTGAAGTATATAAAGAAAGAAAACGGGAAACGCAAAAGAAGCATTGCAAATGAATTGCAATACAATAAATTTTGTGCCGTGTTCGTTGTTAACATTAAAGCATACAACGCTCCAACGGTTGGTTCCATCTTCGCAGAACTTATTGGATTTATAAACCATACCATGTAGATCGCAGAATAATAAATATTTCCTCCTCTACTGAACCATTCAATCAACTCTATATAGTTGGAATAGTTTGAACCAATTCTCAAAAAAACATTTTCATTTTAGGGTACTAGCGACCAACAATTTTTGACAATTTTAATGAGTTATCCATCACTACAAACATCTCTCTAAGATTTGTATCCACGTTTTTATGTCCTGCACGTTCCAGTATTGCAGTAGCAAGTTTAGTTGCCAGGCACTTCGAAAAAGAACGACAAGAAGTATGGGTAAAACCATGGTTATTTGAGATAAACAAACGACTGTGTTAAATTTTCTGCGGGACTTGAAGACCCTTAACCGAATGTTATTTAATAAGCCTTCAGAAAGGCTAATTGTGAGGTTAAGATATCGGTCACTATTCCTTTTGCTTTTTTTTTTATTAAAACTGTTACTGCCGTTTCTCTATGGTGTCTATTTGAATATTCCTTGCAGTGCATACAAATTTTTGAGAAATTTTTCGCGAAACTCGCGATTTACCATGAAGGAAGTAAAATTGTTTTATATTTTTGAGAGCGACAGTGAAACAGGCAAATACTGATACTCGCAACTTGCAACATGTATCAATAACGGTGAATGTTGCCCTTTAGTAGATAGGTGAACTCAGACCCCTAAAATAAGGTATCAAGTAACAAACCTAGCGTTAGATGACCTCTAAAAATGTTGGTGCAAACAACCGCTATGGAAACGCCACTCACCAGGCTTGGTTCTCACCACTCCGACGACGTGATACCCGGCGCCAGCTTCTTTCGAGTCTTGTCTGACGTCGCCGACGACGCACTTGGCACCGGTGCGAGACACGTCCGAAGCGATCTTCTTCTTCTTGGCGGGCCCGGGACCTTCGTTGCTCGTCAAAATATCACCGAAATCTTCGACGAGCTGCGTCGCGAAAATAGCCGCGTCACCGCACGGCACGTGCGTCGTGAAAAAGTGGAACGTCACGCCGGCCTTCAACTGAAACCTGGACCTCTCGGACGAGAAATCGAAAATTGACCGTTCGGAATTCATCTGGTCGTACAAGTATCGCAAGAACGAGCGTCGACACACGATTTCCGCGTGAGAATCGTTTAAGACCGTTCCCCGCGGGCACATTTTACTTTTGCCGATGCATTTCGAACCCGTGCCGACGGAGACGACCTCCAGGTTGTCGTCGTCGTCGTCGCAACGTTTCGCGATACACGACAACACGGTCCACTCTTCGCCATCTTTCGGTTTGCCCGTTTTGGGTAACGCGCGAAAATGCAACAAACACTTTTCTGCGATTTTATTGTGAAACTCTCGATCCATAGTAACGTATAAAAAAAAGCTGCCGAAGCTTGCGGAATGGGAGATCAGACGACGGTTTCCGGATTCCAGGCGTACCTATTTTGGGAGAAACCGCTCAAGATCGCCATATCCTCGTCGGGAATGACGAAATTCAGATCGATATTGTCGTCGATGTGCTTCTTCGATCTCGCTTTCGGAATAATCGCGATGTTTTGCTGCAGCGGCCACCGCAATAAAATCTACAAACGACTCCCTGTATTCGTGTGGCCGGAGTTAAACGCCGGCGAATTAATTTACTTGAGCGGGTGATTTTCCCAATTTTTTCGCTATCTTGTCGACGTCCGCGTTTTTTAAGAGATCGTTATTGTCGGTACCGCCCAACGATGAATACGCCTGCAGCAGAATACCTTCCTGGTTGCAGTATTCCAATAAATCGGAAGGGCGATTACGGGGATGCCATTCGACCTATAATTAGAGGTTAGTGTTAAATTATGACATGAAATCCATTTATCAAAATAAATAAGTAGTAAAAGTTCAGATTTTTACGAAATTATATATTTTCAAATGACATTTGATAAAGACACGGTGTTGTCGACACAATTGTCACGTAAAAATATATAATTTCGTGAAAATCTGAACTTTTAGTTCTTATTTATTTTGTTAAATTATGATTTTCTATCTTAGATTCAAGTTGGCCATGTATATTTCGTATTCTGTGCTTTTTGGTTGTGGTCTGTGTTTTTGTTTGACCAGAAACTTAAAGGAACAACGAACGATAGGACTATGGTAGTGCACATGTTGATAATAAAGATGCAGTCATAAGAATTCTGTTTGATCATTTTAACAGTTAGGTATCAAGATCCGTACGCGCAGAAAATTGAATAAATCGGTATACCTTAATAAATTTTTCCAGTATTAAATTTAAACTTATTTTTGGAATGGCGCCATCTAACGTGCGCACGTTTAAACCTTTATTGCATTTTCTTTCTGTTTTACGGTGTAACGCTAGAGGGGATGCAATTAGGAATTTTCATATAAGGTAAGGAGGTTGGTTTGTCTTTTGGTGACTTTTTTTTTGTTTTAGGGTCCGGCACGCGAGTTAGTAGTAGAAGTAATTTTTATATGATTAGCAGTTGTCTATCTACCTATAGCAGAAGGAATCCGCAATCAAAATATACCAATTAAATATGCCCTATGGTGTGTATCAAAGTGGCCTTAGCGCCTTTGGCAGACCCTCCCCGAAAAAGTAAAGACGAGTCTTATATTTATTAGTAGATTACAAAGGTTAGGTAGGTGCTAATATTGATGGTAGATTTGAATTACTCGTTTTCCCATCATTTCATTCATTAAAGAAAAAGAGTCAAAAGATTGCAAAAGAAAGTGCTAGTGTCAAAATGGACCCCAAATTAATGCAACTTTCCGTCCAAAATAAACATTTGTGAGCCTCTTGAAAACTATCCTTCAAAAAAATTCACCCCTTTCTGCAATTCTGTTAATTATATTTACTAGGCCTAATAAACGAAATTTGTCTTAGATTGCTAACCAGGAAATTAATTAAATAAAATGCTATTAGTAGATGATAGATTAATAACTTTTTTGAGAACAAAGATTCCTTACCAATAAAAGTTTTTACTGAACATTTAGTTATGTAAGGGGAATGCCACATTGCCGTAAAAATAACATTTTAATTATGTATTCTTATTTTTTCAACATTTATTACCTGATTGACCGCAGGTTTTATACCAAAATCATTTGCCGACAACTCCTTCAAATGCCTGACGAGATAATTTGACACACCAATATTCCTGGTTAGTCCATCTTTCACGCCTTTGACCATCTGTTTCCAGCTTTCAGCTCTCAGCGCAGAATTGTTAACCTTTGATGCATTAACTCCGTAAGCCCCCGGCCAATGAATCAAGTATAAATCAATGTACCCGCAATCCAACTTCCTTAAAGACTCTTGCAGAGCATCATATGCTTTTTCACCCTGATCATTGGGCGCTGTTACATGCACAATTGTAAAAATTTTATTAAAATGTTTTATTAGGTACTTACAGAGTTTTGTTGTTATGAATATATCTTGCCTGGTAAGATTATATTTCGGTAACAACTCTTTCAGCGCCTTGCCAATGTCCTCTTCGTTCCTGTAAACTTTTGCGGTGTCTGAAAAACACCGGATTAAACCAAAATTTAAAAACAATTAATCCGTTTATTTAATACCGATTAATCTATAACCGGCAGCCAGCGCGTGATCCAATACATCCCGTATGAGCTCAGTTCCCCTTATCTGATAAGTTCCAACTGAAAAACATTTATTCAGGTTAAGTTCAAAGCCGATTCCTTTTAACAGTGCAACTTATATAATTATTTAACGCAACTCCTTAACTCAATTTTATATACTCACATCCTACCAAGGGCATTAAATCTCCGCTGTGAAGTTTGAATTTCATGTCTTTGGCTAAAACCGGTTCTTCACAGTTACACCCGGTTATTAGGAACAATGACGTAATCAAAAATCTTTGAAAAAAATCTAAAGACCCCATTTCGCACTGTCGACGAATAAAATGTGTGCGCTAAGGGCACGTGAGATTCAGAGGAAATCAACAAATTTAGTAAAATGAATCTGTTTAAAAACCTGCTTTTATTTTCACACAATCAATACCCTTCAATAACCCCGGCCAAGGTTATCAAGTGTTGTGTAATGGCTTATTAAAAATGAAATCATTTCTTTAGGAAACAAAAACATTTTTTGGTTCAGGTACCATATCTCGCTAGGAACTTAGATTTAATTATTGTACATTTAATTTCAATTTGTGTCACTTGTTTTATCTCTGAATACACATTTTTTATCTACTTTTTAAACGTTCATTTCTACTTGTATTTATGTATTGCCACGTGTCTATTACTGAATTGCAAGAAATTCGGCAGATGAAATTACCAGTTATTTGTTCCCGAATTTGTGAGCATAATTATGCGGAATTTTTTTTTTTGAATTTTAGAGAGTTTATTTGGTGGAAGTATTGCACCTTCACCGGTATTGGGTGAGGGCCCTTCGTAAAATCATGTTCCACAGATAATGAAAGTAAAAAATAATAATGCCGGATTTGCTAAAAAGAATTGCATCATTTCTATCATAACAAAAAATTAAAATTACATGTAGAAATTGCATCGTTTCTAACGTGTTTTACTTTCAATCAAGGAATTTTGTTTTCCTTAATTCAATCAGCTCGCGTCTTTACTTAGACGGCTGTCCAAGTTTTTCCATATATCGACAAGTAAATTAGACAATTTTTGCCAAGTCGTTAAAGTCGAACAAACACACCTAATCGAACCCAAAACCTCCGACAAGTCGAGTGTCAAGTTGACAGGTCTAACTTCGACCAAAGAACAATATTTACTTCACATAACGTTAAGTTCGTGATGACGTAAAAAGGAGTGCCCCGACCAATTTGTAATAATTTGTCTTTTACTTGGGCCGGTCGTCAGGACCGTGCTTTTAAAACATTTTGCATTTAAAGTTTATATATTTTAGGCAAGGTAAGTTCCATAAACTTTCAAAATAAATTAAATTTTGGTCACTGTTCATTGTACAGAAAGGGGGCCATAACGAATTCAATGTCAATTGAATTAAAGTTTTGAGGTTATACAAGTCGCAAGTTTTAGGCGAACATATTGTTTCTAATTTGCAGAAAAATGTCGCGTCGAAGGGAAACGGAAGAGACCGACAAACTCACTAGGATCGCTATCGTGAATGCCGACAAATGTAAACCGAAAAGGTGTCGGCAAGAATGCAAAAAATCGTGTCCCGTTGTACGAATGGGAAAACTTTGTATTGAAGTTACCCCAAACAGCAAAATCGCTGTTATATCGGAGGAACTTTGTATCGGTTGCGGTATATGTGTCAAGGTGAGATTTATATATAAGCTGTTTCATAAATAACGCGACAGTATTTACATAGAAATGCCCATTTGAAGCTATAACCATTATTAATTTACCGAGTAACTTACACCGGGAGACTACTCATCGATATGGTAAGAACTCATTTAAATTGCATCGTCTACCTATACCGCGTCCTGGTGAAGTGTTGGGTCTTGTTGGTACAAATGGGATAGGTAAATCTACAGCACTCAAAATATTGGCTGGGAAGCAGAAGCCCAATTTAGGGCGATTTATGGTATATTAGAGGCAGGTTTGGAAGGGATTTAAAGGGATTACATAAAATTTGTAGGATCCTCCTGATTGGACTGAGATTTTAAGCCATTTTAGAGGTAGCGAGTTGCAAAATTATTTCACCAAAATATTGGAAGATGACTTAAAAGCACTGATAAAACCGCAATATGTAGATCAAATTCCTAAGGCGGTGAAGGGTACCGTAGGTCAATTGTTGGATAAAAAAGATGAACTCAAGAACCAAGAGGAAATATGCACAATGTTAGGTGGGTGATTTTTCTTTTATATCACGGAACATGCTTAGATCATTCATTCTTTTTATCAGATTTGAAAAACGTCCGCGAAAGGGAAATAAGCGCCCTCTCGGGAGGGGAGCTTCAACGTTTTGCTTGTGCCATGGTATGCATTCAAAATGGCGATATTTTCATGTTCGACGAGCCTTCTTCTTATCTGGATGTTAAACAGCGCTTAAACGCGGCGCAAACGATTAGATCCTTATTGAGTCCTGACAAATTTATAATAGTTGTGGAGCACGACTTGAGTGTACTTGATTACCTGTCAGATTTCATTTGTTGTTTGTATGGCGTTCCGGGTGCTTATGGCGTTGTCACTATGCCTTTTTCGGTTCGAGAAGGTGAGACAATGCATGAACTTTTACATTGTATAAAACAAACTTGTAGTTCCCTTTCTTAAAATTATTGCTCTCATAATAAAAATAAAGGACTTCACAGTTATTTTTTTAAAATTTTAATATTCCATATTCTCTTTGATAATATATTATTAAAGTCTTCATGTGAGTATTATATTTTAGTTGATTTGTATTAATTTGACTTTAAATTAAATATTTTTTAAATTGCATAATGGAATTAAAGCGAAATACTTTTTAATAAGTTACAAGTCTGTGATGTCATATGGGGTGCGAACCGATTTGGATTGCAGGTATAAACATATTTTTGGATGGATTTGTGCCAACCGAAAATCTTCGATTCCGCGACGAATCATTGGTGTTTAAAGTTGCCGAATCGGCAACCGAGGAAGAGGTAAAGCGGATGAACCATTACGAGTATCCCGCGATGAGTAGGACCATGGGTAATTTTAAACTGCAAGTGAAAAAGGGTCAGTTTTCCGATTCGGAAATCTTGGTGCTTTTGGGTGAGAATGGTACCGGTAAGACCACCTTTATTAGGATGTTGGCGGGTAATTTGGAACCGGATGAAGGGTCTGGTAGGTTTCTATTTTCGCGGGCTGGAATTTCAGTTGATTTTGTACGAATCGAATTGTGTTTCAGGCAACTTACCCCAGCTCCATATCAGTTATAAGCCCCAGAAGATAAGTCCAAAGTCTCAGGGCCTTGTCAGGCAGTTGCTTCACGAAAAGATTAGAGACGCTTACATACATCCGCAGGTATGACATACTGGTATAAGTTTCTACATGAATTAACTCTAGTTGGCAATTTCCGATACATGTCTGATCCAAATTCACGTGTAAATGTGCTAACAAATGTGGTGCCCAATTTTCCAGTAGTTGACCAACAGCAATTAAGCCAAGTGTTTGGTTTTAGTTGTTCTCTATAATAATGTAGTTAATTATATTTACCAATAAATATATAAACGTGTCGAGTTACGCAATACTACCTACTTTTTTTTTGGGATCTTTTTGAAAATCCAAAAATTGTAATCACTTTATATATGTTTTTGTATGAACAATACTGGCAAATTAAAAAATATGTATCTTAATTATTATGTTTATATTAATAAAACTGGGTATAATACAGGGTATTAGTTAAATAGGGAACAACAAAAAAGAAAGAAACAAATAGAATTATCTTAAGATCAGCAGTGGTTGTCCAGACACATTGTATTTAAATTGGAAATAATCAAAATTTTTGAAAATTGGGCGGCCCGATAACGTTTCCTACCGTTTCTAGTTCATCGCAGACGTTATGAAACCGTTAAAGATCGACGACATAATCGACCAGGAGGTGCAGAACTTGTCGGGTGGCGAACTTCAACGGGTCGCGATGACCCTGTGCCTAGGCAAACCGGCCGATGTTTATTTGATCGACGAACCGAGCGCCTATTTGGACTCGGAGCAACGTTTGGTCGCGGCTAAAGTCATCAAGAGGTTCATCCTGCATGCGAAAAAGACGGGTTTCGTAGTCGAGCACGATTTCATCATGGCGACCTATCTGGCCGATCGGGTCATCGTTTTTGAAGGTCAACCTTCGGTGTGTACCATCGCGAACTCGCCGCAAACGCTACTCGCAGGAATGAATCGATTTTTGGAACTGCTCGGGATAACGTTCAGGAGAGATCCGAATAATTTCCGACCCAGGATAAATAAGCAGGAATCGGTGAAGGATGTCGAACAGAAACGGGCCGGTCAATATTTCTTTTTGGAAGATTGAAAGTAGAGTACTTGGCATATGTCGGTCACCCCCGGGCTTCAGAGGCGAAATAATGTTATATTCTAACAAAGGCAGGAAAATAAAAGATTTATAATTACGTTTTTTTATTATGCTATCGTCGCTACGGCTACCCATTGATAATTGACAATGGAAAAATGAATATCTTTCTACTCCCTTTCCTAGAATGTCCAATTATCCATTGGTCAAGCCTGCAGCAAGTATCACTAAGAGTACATCACAGGTGTCAGATCTGACATCACACTTTTCACTCGATGAATCTTACTTGTGATATTTTGCACACAAATTCACCCAAAAACTAATAGTCGCAGAGAAAATATAGTATGTCAGCAGGTGAGGTTTATAAACTTCGCCAACCCTTATTAAAACGTTATCATCGGCACAGTGTTGCCAGTTGTACTTAAACCTAAGAACAACTTTTTGTATAGATTATTCCGTTAAATTTATTTAAAAGGCTCTCAAAATTTTCAGCAACGGTTTTTTAGAGGGGACGTCATAACCAGGTCTTTTGTGGCCACCGGTACATACCGGGCTTTGGGGGAGAAGATCGTAAATGTCAATTATCAATAAATATTTTTCATAAACGCGGTACGTTTGTGGTTATAGATGGCTCAAATGCTGATTATGAACCAGGAATAACCGAAGGCATCAATGTTCGTAAAAAAAATGTCAATCCGGGGAAGATAACTTAATTCCCTTAAACTAGGAATCATAGGCTAGGATATAGCATATAGCAACCTGACAGAAACAACAAATACCGGATATAAGCTTCTCTTACGATGATGTCGCAGAGTCAATGATGACGTAACATCTAGGTAACCGATACCGCGTCGGAACGGAAATTACCGGTATTTCGCCTTCGATCGCCCTATAACGCCCGATTTCAAGACAATTTGAAGGAATTGAAACTTTACTTTTAAAATAGGCGCCTATAACAAAAAAAACTCCCATACGTTTAAAAAAAACTCGTAAAAGCGCAGAGTAAATAAAAACATCCGTTTTACCGAATCCCGCCCAATGATCGACCTCGCAGGAATTTCCACTCCGACCCCTACGTGTTCTCGCAGAGTGCCGACTGCCGATCGTAGTCAGTTGGATACGCGTAGAGTTGCAGGCGGTTGCGTTTCACTTGGGCGTGACACAGTTTCGTTTCAACGAGTTTTTCTCCCGTGTTTTTTGAGCAAGGTAAGTGATATTCGAGAGTCGTCTATCAAAGTATATCAAAACGTTATCGGTCAAGTGCGATACTTATCGGTTATTATTTAATATACTGCTTGATAGGTAATGCCGGTCGTGCTCTGCAGGAATGTCTTATAAATAATAAACGTTTTTCTATTGCGGCCCGTCGTACAAACCGCCGGTCATTGGCATTTGCTCTGTAATAGTTACGGGCGTGGTCCGCCGCTTTAATATTGTTTATAAATAGAAAGTTCATCACGGATAAATTTAGACGAATCTCAAACACCGAAAAATAAAATCAGACGAATGACTAAACCCCGATAAAAGAATTCCGTTTCAATCTAATCCGCGATTCAAAGAATCGAATCGACGTTGTTATTCACTGTTGCAAGGTGATGTTTATTTAAAACGATGATGTCATTAATGGTGTTGTATTTATTCTTATACATGCCCGGACGCGGGCGCAGTACCGACTGATAAATCGCCAACTGCAGTACCTAGTAGTACCTGTTTTAGTGTTAACGTTTTCGTTTGTTTTTTATTTCTAGGAACCACATACAAGCAACCATGAGCAACCAGCAGTATTACCCATTCAAAGTAAGTCCATTTTTATTAATACTAAGAATAATGTCATCACGCTAAACCGCGTGCTCATGACATAGACCGGCGGAACCATCTTCTATTTTTAAAAATCGAACTACGCCATCGATATTTGGGCGTTACAACAAAAAATTAAACGGATTCTGAATACGAATCGTAACGCGCATGTCCGAAACTTTCGCTTGCCTCGAAAATATGTATCGATTAAAGAAAGTAGGTTATGCTGCATCCATAAAATAACCCCAGACTTGTTGGAGCCTCTGTCTGTTATTTATTAGTCTATTATTGAATTCACACACAAATATCGACTAACCGTTAGGCACAATAACCACCATATAACACCATATAACTAACCAAAACAAATAACAATAATAAGAAATAGTCAGTTTTCCGAATAAAATAACCCTGACATGTAGATAGAAAAAAGCATCGCCCAAATCAAAAACAGTAGGAAGATGTTTATTTAAAAAATAAACTAAAATATTTGAATAGCAGGTTGGAGTGTTGATTTCGGAGACGGTTTCGAGATTATGTTAATTAAAATGTTTTTGTTGTTTTCCAAGCTTCGCTAAACTTTAATAACCAAGAGTTTCGAAATATCATTATACTCTGTATATATTTGTGGCTAATAATAATTAATGTTTTTTGTGCACCACGTTCTAAAAATACGCCGAGTCGTGTAAAGAGCAAATAGGTTGGAAAAAAAATAATGACATTTGAGTTCGATCATTCATTGATCGTTGCGATAGCAACTCAATTATTTACATATTTAGGTATTCGAGGTAAACGCCCAAACAGGCCACGAACATCATTGATTAACGATTATACATACACCCACACGTCTATACCGCGGGAACATGCAACAGCAACAATTCCGAGCGAATGTGTCATTAGACATGATTAACACACGCATTAGCTTAATTAAATTGATGCGCGATATCAGTCTCCAAGTAGCTAAGAGAACTTATTTATTTATTTATAGTGAGTTTATCTTTAACTAGTCAATATTTAGATTTAAGTAGTAAATGAGTCATCTGTTTCCGAAACCTTTGGTACATAACCTTGGGCTGACTTCATGGCGATGGTATGCGCCATTTAACATAAAAATTGGGTAAATATAATTATTATTATCGCGTAAATATTTTTTATTAGTACGTTTAATTATTTCGCATTATAGAAAAATGATAAAAATTATAGTTAGTTGTTAATGTTACAGCGCTATAATGGAACTATGGCTGCATCAATTAAAGGATTCGCCGCAATGTCAACGAAATTCTGAATCCCTGTTTTTACATGCATTTTTTACTTACAATAGTTTTAAGACTGGGTTTTATTTCACCAATCCATTCGTTAATTTTTTTATCATTGGAATAGCCTGCTTAACCAACAAAATAAGTTCAGCCTTCTTCATTCATTTTATAAATATGTGCTGGTGATGAAGAAAAACATTTTTACACTTATTCGCACTAACTAAATTTTTAATCCATTGCAAACTAAAAATGACTAAATAAAAACTTACTGGATGTAACAACGAGTGGAATCACATTTCTTCAAAGTCCCAACAATGTATCCGATTCTCGTTTTAAGAGGCCGGGGCGATTTATTTAACTTTTATTTCGGCGAGTTTAAAAGATTTCTGGGATCATTTTTTGAATTTAAAAGTTTTATTTGGCTCTAACAGTCCTAAACAATAGTTTTGTGATACTGATTATACAAGGAACACAGAATAGTAGATTGGGTAGTTTACGTAAAATAATCACAGACAATAAATTCTTAATTCGCTTCGACGTTGTCATAGTTTGCGTTCTACGCGTAATCGGTATTGTGCGCGTGACGTCATAACCGTCCACTCGGTCGGAATATTTTCCACAATCACAAACTTACTAAATGATTCAAGCGTGCAGTTCTATTTTTAGAACGTTACTTAAGAAGCGTGTAATGTTACATGACTAAATAAATACCCACGGGCGTGGGCTGTCGTATATAGGCTAAGATTATTAATAATCTTTTAACCTTTAATCAAATTAATCGAGCGCGTTTCGTTTCCTTTGAAAATGTTATTGTTATTGCCCCAGTGCACCCCTACCGTGTACCCCGCGGATCCTTTCGATCCCGTGGCCGACGCGGCCACCCTGAAGAAGGCGATGAAAGGTTTCGGCGCCGACGAAAAAGCCATCATCGACGTCCTGGCGCGCAGAGGCATTGTTCAGCGTTTAGAAATTGCGGAAACTTTCAAGGTAAGTGCGCAGTTCCGTTTTATTTAGTTGTGCCGGAGATACGCCTTTCGCAGACTTCCTATGGTAAAGACCTGATCTCCGAACTCAAAAGCGAATTGGGCGGCAAATTCGAGGACGTCATAGTCGCTCTTATGACGCCGCTGCCCCAGTTCTACGCCAAAGAATTGCACGACGCGGTCGCCGGTGTCGGTACCGACGAGGAGGCCATCATCGAAATCTTGTGCACCTTGTCTAATTACGGAATCAGGACGATTGCCCAATTCTACGAGCAAAGTGAGTATACAATGACTAGCGACGGCCTTGGGGCCCGAATACGTGCGATTTTTTTAAAGTTAATTCGAATTTCTATTGTTGTCGTTACGCTTGGCAAGTGCAAAATGTTTATCTGTGCGCTTTAGTAAATAGTTACGTATATACGCCGCCGTCTAATTCACTACAGACTCTTCATTTGAAATTGCCACTTCAACAATAGTAATACATACATACACATATATTATTTCATAAGCGAATCTAAAATCTGACGTTGTTCGATCAAATTCTGATTGAAAAATTAATTAATAATTAATTAAAAACTTTATTACCGAGCATAATTGCTAAGATTTTAAAAAGTTGACAAACGACAGTAAATACTAGGCGCCATATCTATAGTACATTGATTTTTTTTTGCGGTCATCTTGGCCAACAAATATAAATTTCAAATAGTCAGCCTTATACAAATGAATGAAATGCTAAATACGATAAAGTTATTTTCCATAAAAAAAATCTTTTAACAATTTTTCTTTTAAATAGTTATTGTCAATTTTTCGTCATCCTGTATTTATTTATTTTTAAAATATTAACCCACACAACAGTCGAAAACGAGTATCGTATCCGGGGATTCCTTTAAGAGGGTTATAAGTAAATTGAACTTCGGAAATTCATAATAATTTATTATAAAATACGTATTATTATTAAATAATGGTAGATAATAACTCTACAATTGCCAGATGTTATCGAGATCGAATTTGACTAGTTAGTTAAGAAGTTGGCCAGCCTCTCAACACTAGAAACGATAGGACTTGAAATATAGGGTATTATACCGGATGACACAAGAAAGTGGGAACACTATAACTTTTAAACGGCTTGAGATAGCGATTTGAAATTTGGAAGGGTTAAGATAGCCTGGGAACAAACATTTTTTAAAACGGGTCCTTTTTTTGCAACGTTTTGACACAAAAATTTTCAAAATCAAAAAAATTTGCTATAAAAAGTTTCATTTACAATTTTTCCCATGATCAGGTGACCCGGTAAATAGTATTTATGCTGATCACAGCCTCCTAGACACGATTTTCAAAAATTAAATTGAAATAAAATAAAAAAGAGAAAAATCATTCTATCCTACGTAGAATCCAAAAATGCAAAAAATATAGGTCGTTTCCGCTCAAACCCGTATTGTCAAAAAATTGGACATTCAGCCTGTATTTACCCTTACCTTACCTTACCTTAAAAGTTATAGTTATATACGTTATTGCACCAGATCTCAACATACGAGTTTTCAATAATTAAACCAAACGTGCGTGAAAATTGTGTCTCCCTTCCCTTTCCAGTTTACGGCAAGCCGCTCGAAAAGGACCTGAAGGACGACACTTCCGGCCATTTCAAGCGACTCCTGGTCTCGCTCTGTCAGGTAAGTGACGTTTTTTCGCGAGTACCAACCGTATCGTTTCGACGGTCCGACGTTTCGACAGGCCAATCGCGACGAAAATCAGGGCGTCAACGAGCAGCAAGCCACCGCGGACGCGGAAGCGCTCATCGAAGCCGGCGAGGCCAAGTGGGGTACGGAGGAATCGATTTTTAACTCGATACTGATAACGAGGAGCTATCAGCAGCTGAGAGCCACATTCGGCGAATACGAAAGGCTGACCGGCAAGGACATAGAGGAGGTCATCAAGAAGGAGTTCTCGGGAAGCGTAAAGAAGGGACTCTTGGGCATCGGTAAGTTTGAAGATAAGCGATGCGCCACCTGCCGGTCCAGTGTTAAACCATTGGGTAATACTAGAGGTTATTCATTTAATATTATTGTGGTGGACGTTTTGTGACTCTTGGGCTTAAAAAACAATTGTTTGGAATTATTTATTTCTCCTTTTTTTACATCATTAACACTATGCAGAACCCGTGACTAGAATCAGTCACGAGTTAATACTAACCTAATCAGTTCTCCACTTTTCTTTCCCTTTTAATATCCAATATGTGTTTTATATTGTGGAAATCTACATTACATCTAACTGCTTTTTTGTTATGCTCTATTGAATTTTTACTTCCGTTTTGAGCTTAAACTCAGTAATTTCCAGCAATTCTAACCTATAAGTCCGAAACAAAATTTCAACAGTGGTAATTGGCGTGGTTCAATAGTTAGTGTAGAAATTGAAGATGAATTATTCTTAGAAGTGGCTCATTGGATTAGTTTAATATTATCATTATTCACGCCCACGTCATCTACGGCTAGGATTGTGGCATTAATTATTTGGCAGTTTTATGTTATGCATTACGTCGAAATCGCGTCGTCCTGGGCACCCAATAGAGTCGATATTATTATTGGAATTACCCCAATCGTTAAGTATCGTATCGTATCATATCGTATTCCTTGAAAAGGGTTATAGGTAAATTTAACATCACAAACGCAAAATAACTTACTATAAAAAAATACATATTATTAAATACTGATAGATAATACCCTACAATTGCAAGATATTGTTTAAAACATTTTTCGACTAGTCAATTAAAAAGTAATCACTTGACCGGTCAATTAAGAAGTGATCAATTGACTATGGCCACCATTCTGTATGGTGGCTATATCTTAATCCTACGCGGAGTGGGCCATGATGATCCAATAAGTTTGAAAGATTGTTTCACGTTATTTCAAATTATATCACGTGATATAGCAAGTAAAGGCCAAACTAATGAGAAAACACTAAATTTGTGTTACGAGGATTTTTTATTTAGTGTCAAAAGGTCAAATATCTTAATGCTTCATTGCGTCTTGTGTAGTAAAATTCATTCTATGATAAATATTTGCACCAGAAATTAGAGTATCTGCCTTTGGATGTAGGAAAATATCACCTTGTATTCTTTATTCTGTGATAATGTTAAATCTGTAGTTTTTGTAGGTACCTTAATATATTTTTATAAAATAGGGAGGCAGAGATGGGCAGAATTTTATTTTTTAGGGAGGTTTACGAGACACATAAAAAAAAAACTGATTTTTTGCTCGATTATTGAGATTTCTCTAATCAAAATTAAAGAATTGACTTAAGTTAATAGAAGAAGAACACAGATCGGAATCGGAAACACAAAATTAATATGTTCTCATTGATATAAGTAGTCTTACTTACCTCTATTAAGTTCATCGATTGGAAAAAGGTATTTACTTACCGTGGCCACAAAACAGGAAGCAGAACTTGGACAGTTTTTTAAATATTTCTGCAAGAATGCGGAGGCGTCACACGATTGGCCATATTCGGACGCTGTTTACGGTTACCATGGTTACCCCGGTTACTCTGGGATTTAGTTGTTTCTCGATATTTCGAAGCCTGCTTGTTTAATGTTGCATCATCCTGACGTTATTAATCTTTGTGGTACCAATTTTTAGTGAAGTGCGTCAAGAGCAAGGTGGGGTATTTTGCGGAACGTCTGCACGACGCGATGGCCGGACTGGGAACCACCGACAAAACTCTGATCCGTATCGTGGTGTCGAGGTCTGAGATCGACTTGGCCGATATCAAGCAAGCGTTCCTGGACAAGTACGGCAAAACGCTCGAGTCGTGGATCCAGGTGAGTCGGCGATGACGACTCGCGCTCATCATTATTTCAATCGATTTTCATTTTCTGATCGATGGGAACTTTGCCGTGTCACCTTGCAACGCCGGTAGATTTGCTTACGCGGAAAACGACCGTCTTTTAACTTGTGATTAATTTTTGGCTACCAGTTAGTTTCCGCGACGCAATCCATTGCCTAAATAAAAACACGGTCGGAATAAAAAACAATTTTTTTTTCGTGGGAAGAAAACGTTTCTTACACAAGTGTTCGTGTTAGGCCGGTACCAATAAAATAAAAGCATCACGAAAATATGGTAGAAAGCGATGGTGCTAGCAAAAAAACAAAGCTAACCGAGATTGACAGTTTTTATCAAAATTAAAATTACAAAGTAACTTTTTTCTTCAGTTGCAACGCATGAAAACTCTTCCGATACGAGTCGTCCCAGTGCTTGAAATGAACTTATCATAATGAAGAGTAAAAAACACTAAATTAGATATCTAACAGATATCATCGCACTTTATCGGTTTCCGTTGCGCCAGTCTATGAATCTAGCCAGGAAAAATGCAGTCTTATACAGAGTGTTTCAAAAAACATGCGCTAATGCTCGGTTGGAGAATCGTAATAAAAAGAGAAAAGTTTTTCGAGACACGATACTATTAAAAAGAAACAGTTTTTTTTGCAATGTTATTTTTGTTTTTTACTTCGAATGAGCCACAAAAAATAGAACTTTTTTGACTCTTTTATATCTTGCCACATACAACAGACTTAACGGTAGAAAATTAGCAACAAAGAATATGCATGCATGCCTGTTTTTTGAAACACCCTGTACAGCTTGTTTAGAGCAGTCGGACATATCCCTAGAATTGGCTTTATGATATATGGCATAATTAATATCCAGACGCAGATTACTTTTGGTTAGTTGACTAAGTAATACTAAAAAATATAAGGTTGTTCGGAAAGTCATTTCGTTTTTTCCCGTCAGAGGACTTAATTACGTTTTTTCGAAACCAACTTCACACTTAAGCCGCATAACCATTATATGCCTTGAGAGCTGATATTGCAAGGCTTGTGTGTGAAAAAGTTCTATTAATTCTACGCAGTAGTTTTTGGTTGGTGCCCTCTTAAATATGGAGAGCAATAAGCAGCATTTTCGTCATATTTTACTTTTTTACTTTAGAAAAGGTAAAATGCTGTCCAAGCGAGAAAAAAATTGACGGATGTGTATGGAGAAGGCGTGTTAACAGTACGCCAGTGCCAGAACTGGTTTGCAAAATTTCGATCCGGCAATTTTGATGTCGAAGATGCACCACGGTCTGGAAGGCCGGTCGAAGCTGACAAAGATGCGATAAAGGCATTAGTTGATGCAAATCGGCGAATAACCACACGAGAGATCGGTGAGAGATAAAATTTGTCGAATTCGACTGTTTATGGCCATTTGAAAGGCATGGGCTTAACCTCGAAGCTCGATGTGTGGGTGCCCCATGTCCTTACGGAGCGAAATTTGTGTCGTCGCGTTGACGTGTGTGATTCGCTCCTCAAACGTCAAGACAATGATCCATTTTTGAAGCGGATTATTACTGGGGACGAAAAATGGGTTGTATACAACAATGTTAAACGCAAGAGGTCATGGAGCAGAAAAGATGAACCGGCTCAAAGCGTGTCAAAAGCCAACATTTACCAAAAAAAGGTGATGCTCTCCGTTCGGTGGGATGTCAAAGGAATCGTTTTTTTTGAGCTTTTGCCGGACAATACAACGATTAATTCAGAAGTCTATTGTCATCAACTGGACAAATTGAATGATTCACTTAAAGAGAAGAGGCCCGAATTAATCAACAGGAAGGGTGTAGTGTTCCACCAGGATAATGCGAGACCTCACACAAGTTTGGTCACTCGCCAAAAACTTTTACAGCTTGAATGGGACGTACTGCAACATCCACCATATTCTCCAGATCTGGCGCCTTCCGACTACTATTTGTTCCGGTCCCTGCAAAATTTTTTGGATGGCAAAACCTTTACCTCAAATGAAGATGTCAAAAACCACCTGAACCAGTTTTTTGCCAGCAAGGACCAAAACTTTTATGAGAGGGGAATTATGTTACTGCCGGAAAGATGGCAAAAGGTGTCGGACCAGAATGGCCAATATATAATTTAATAAAATATTTATTCATTATACGAAAACTGTCTTTCATGTTCTCCAAAAAAAACGAAATGACTTTCCGAACAACCCAATAATATCGAGACGCAGATTAGTTTTGGTTAGTTGGCTAAGTAATACTTAACTAAAAAATATTATGAATAATTCTAATTATAGCTAGAGAGCGATGTAGTGGTGCTTTAATATAAGCCCTAGTTTTATTTTTTATTTTTTGAAGGCATGAAAACAATGGGGTGTTATTTTTGATCACTCCCAGTGCACGAAGTATAGCTGCATGTAAAAAGTGCACATCGGTGGCGGTTTTTCGTTTTTTCTTTTTGGTGCGTGGGCGGAGGGGATGATTCCTAACCCACGTGGAGGTTCGTCGCATGTTTTACTGACATTTGCTTCCCTTTGCAGGGTGACACGTCGGGCGACTACAAGCGGGTCCTTCTGGCCATACTCGACTAACTCCACCCCCCGAAACTATCCGTCTAAACGCACCTCCGCGCGCCTGCGTGTCAATTTCCGAAACACACTCAAATTAAAAAAAAAACTCTTTACGTCCCACGATTGTAGTTTTTAGCTTTTTCATCGTCAACTGCCATCATTGTTGTAACTGTTGTGTATAAAAGGAGACGCGCTCGGCTGAGCGCGCCCTCTCGCGTCGTCATAACGAACTATCATATTTTTGTAACGTGTTGCAGGACGACGTGGGCGGCGACATCAAGTATGTCTTGAAGGTCCTCGCTTCCGGATGTTGAATACCGCTAAAAAATTTCTCAGGTGTCCTTACAGCAAAAAAAAAAAAATTGTTCAATGTTGTTTAGGTGGCCTTAACGGAAAACGTATTTATAAAATAACCGTATAGCTTTACGAGGAGACACAGAACTTATACCGTCGTTTAATTCTTGTTCTAGAGTCTATTAAGTGTTATTCCATATAATTATATGTAGGAGGGGGCTGGGTTCGACGGCGAGTATACCCCGCCTCTGGGGCGCTTGCCGCGTAATACCGTTTTATATGTATTTTCATTTTTTATGTAAACGTTTGTATAACTTGAATGTGCTTCTGGTGCTTACAGTAAAAAACATTGGGAAAAAGTTTTGCGTTTTATTTTCCTGACTTTTCCATATTTTATATGACCTTCCAAATAATGTTACGCAAAATAATTTAGTGAAACAAAAAAAAATAAACATTAAAAAATATGTATAAATACGAGGGCAGCGCCAAAATTTCCCGGCCTGAATATTAAAGAAAGTAAAGTAACAGAGAGTAAACTTGAATACACTTATTACATCTCTTCATTAACAACTCAATCCCTTCAAAAAATATTCTTTTGATTTGTCTGCAAAATGAACTTCGTCCTTAAACGTCCACGTAAGTCCTTTTTCAAATATCCAAACAAATAAGAGTCGCTGGGGGCAATATCTGGACTATAGAGAGGATGACCTATCTGTTGGAACCCACACTCGAAAATGGCAGCTTCTGCAACACCAGCAGTATGGACAGGTGCATTATCGTGCAAAAGACGCACGCCTCTGGTCAGTTTTCCTCGATGTTTTACACGTATGCAGTCTCGCAATTTAAGTAATAATGTTTCGTAATATTTATCATTGACAGTGGTATCAGAAAGCTCAGTAATTTCTGAGATTTTCTTGACCTTTAAACGTCGATCACCCAATACCACCTCTTCCACAATCGCAACAATATCTTCCGTTATGACGTGCACTGGTCGAAAAGTCCTTGAATCATCTTCAAGCGAGTCCTGGCCCATTCTTTCACTACAGAATACGAAGGAGAACTTTGGCCGTACACACCATACAGTCTTTAATAATTTTAGGTGCTAACCCATCCTGTGTCAAAAACTTTATGACTGCTCTGTACTCAATTTGCGTTATGTGCGACATTTTTTAGGACACGTCTTGTTTAAAATGCCGTCAATAAAAAAACCGTTTGACGCAAGACTTCAATTTTTTTTGCAGCCTACTAAGATACATATTTAAAAGAAAACAGACTCCGATTTCAACCAAATCGGAATCGAGGGCATTTTTTCGTCGCTTCTGCGTGGTGGTATTCTCGCTTAAAAAATTGACTACTATGTAAACTATTTGGTTTTTAGTATACAGTGGCAGAGCTTATTCTAAGCGCGCCGTTAATCGAGTTAACGAAAGTAAAAATCGACTTTAAGGACGTTTTTCCTGGCACGGTTCGCCCGCCCCCGACGCCCCTGATTTCCCGCGCAATCGATACCGCCATGCGACAATTCCGACTGGCCGGCTCGCGCTGATCGCGTCAGTCTGCATGTGAGCGCCGCGACGCGTCCCCGCACGTCCGTCATGACCTCTACGCCGTCGTGGTTATCTTCTCCGTCGCCGTCCGCGCCCCCCGGCCCTTATGTTGTCCCCCCAGGTGGCGAACGGCGGTGAGCCGCTGGCCCCACGTCACAGCGGCCGTCTGCGCAGGCAGCACGGTTTCCAGCCGCCCCTCAATCCGCTCCAAGTGGTCGGCTGGCTCACGCTGGCCGCCCTCGCCGGCGGCTCCTACCTGGTGCTGGTGCCGGCGTTGCCGCCACACGCGCAACCGGCCGCCGCCGCCGCGTTGTCCGTCCTGTTGCTGGTAGGTATACTCCGACCAGAAATATAGTGCTTTTACAACGAAACCTTGCCTACTGTTTATTACTCCCAAATCGCAGCCTCTTATAGAACACAATGCCGAGCAGACCCTTACCCGTAGCCGTTCCAGGACTGTCCTAGGAATTTATCTACCTACACTAACAGTTTTTTTCGCCGAGCCATAAAAAATTAGTACAAAGTAACAATCTATTACGTTTTATTTCATTACATTTCTACATGGTATCATTATTAATATACAAAATATTAAATATAATAATAGTAAAGTATCAGTCACTATCGCTACTGTCGTGACCTAGTTGATCAACTCTGTCACTAATCGTTCTCGATAAATATTTTCTTCTATTATTACTCGTTTTTCATAGTTAGCCGAATCACGTTTATGGTACTATCCCTAAATTTTGGTGCAGTGTTATTTCTTCTTATATACGCTTTCAACTCAGACCAAATCATCTCAATCGGGTTAAAAATTTCAAGTCAGTTTTGTTGTTCTATCGAATCCATTTTGTAATCTTTATTAAAATGTTTTATTTTTAATAATTGCAGAAGTTGTTTTTTCGTGTAGCTCCCTTCAAAATATAAACATTTTAGTACAGAAATTATTTAATACGAGGCATTATCCAACACAATAACATTATTTGGCGATAGTTTTGGCAACGGACAAAAATAAGGCATCTTCCAACCAACCATTTTTGAACCCAGCATGAAGAATTATTAAGGCGGTATAGTACAGACGTTTCGTCTAAATACACCATTAGCCTGTTTTGCTCTCGAAATTTTTCAATTGTATTTAAATAATCCACCCTCCATTGCAAATGCTCTGCCATTCCATACAGTTGACTTCGGAACTTTGGTCACGGCACTTCGAAACAATTTGTTTAGCTTCCAAGGACAAATGGATTCGTTTTTTTATTTGCTGAGGTAGTTCGTCGTCTAAATTATCATTAGGTTCGACTACCATTTCCACTTTGCCTTGAAATTCTGCATTGTTTTTCATGTCTTTTTATAACAGGGGAACATCTGCTTCATTCTATGGTCTCTATATATAAAAATTTACCATGTGATGCGCGAAAAAAAAATAAAAATAACATAGAGCATAAAATAAGATGAATTCATGCATGAAAACAAGGAGAGAAAAAAAATTTTTTTTTGCAGACCAGTGTTATTATATAAATTTTCAGACCCAATTTTCTTAAGCCACTGTAAGATGCAAATAGATGAAACGGTAATTCAATCAATAATTTGTTATAGAACTACTCTGGTTAGCCAAATACAACGTTTCATGATCAAAATAATAGGAATCACAAAATAAAAGCAAATTCTTAAAATAAAATTAAAATAGGAGGCCCAAAGTTCAGATCAAATGACATTTGATAAAGACACGGTGTTGTCGAAACAATTGTCATGTCAAAATATATAATTTCGTGAAAATCTGAACATTTAGTTCTTATTTAAAAAAAAACTTGTTTCACCAAGACAACCATAGCGGTTGCCATGGCGAAAATCCAAGAATTAAGGTTTGATCTGCTTGACCAGCCGCCTTACTCAGCCGATTTAAAAACTGCGCTCGGAGAGCCAAGATGTCCGCCAAGTGAGGAGGCAATCACCTTCGTGAACAATTATTTTAGTTAGTTAGTTAGTTAAAAAGATGGGAGCATCACTGGGAGAAGTATATAGAGCTACAAGGAGACTATGTGGAGAAAAAAAATTGCATCATTGTTGGTTCGGAAACATTTCCCTAGTAGGTATCACCTAAAAGAAAGTTATACATTGATACATTTCTATACAAACATTCTATAAAAAATTAAAACATTATAAGGGGTACAACATCTGCTACAAATTAATATCTGTGCACATGGTATAAAACGCTGCATCATTGCAAACTCCTTTAAAATACAAAACGATCAAGAGGCCGAAATTTACGATAGAATAGCAAAGTGGTCGCGGTCGGTGTATCTACGATTCAATCCGATTAAAAGCCAAAAGCATTAACCTAATTGGGGCGCGGCCCTCTCAAAATTAAAGCCGGAGGAGCGTCGGATCGTAAAAATCGAAAAAAGCTCTTTTTCCGCCACAAAAATCTTGCAAAATCAACACCGACCGGCAGTTTGTTTGTTGCCAGTTCGGGGCAATCCAGTTTTCGTCGCTATAAATAAGAATTATATATAGGCCGTCAATATCTAATCACCCCGAGTCACGAACGCCATATAATGGTCAACGACCGATATTGTTTTCGTTGTTCATTTTGAGAAACCGATCATTTCATGCAGATAATTACGGTTTCGGCCTTAATCTACGCCCATCTAAGGTTAATTTGATTTCTACGACCAACAATTTTCTATTTCACGTATTAATATACAATTAAAAGGACAGATGAACAAAATAAGATATTTTGAGCCTCCGTTTTTAAACGTATCCTAAGAAGAAGGTAGCAGCGCTAGGCAGGAAAAATACACATAAAAAGAAAAGAAAAAATAAATAAATATCACCTACTTTGGGTGATGAAAGTAATCCCAAAAATAACTTTAATTGGGTTAACCTTCTCTTTTCCCAGGTCCATATTTCGACCCACCTATCGGCCACCCTCGTGGACCCTGCCGAGGAGGCTCTACGTTCGAGGGAACCGAAACCGGTGCCCTTGCTGGACCGCACAAAACACTCTCACGTGATCGAGGGCGGCGTCTGCCACCTGTGCCACATCCAAGTCACCGCTAGGACCAAGCACTGCAGGCAAGTGACAGTAACGACTGTTAAATGTTAATCAACAAATGAAAAATAGACTGAGATTAATAAAAATCATATCTAGTTCTTCTACAGAAGTTCAATAAATGAACAACAAAAGGAAAGCTATTTGTCGTGTTTGGCAATTGTTTTGTTACGAAACTGTTATCAAATTCAATAATTCTATCCTAAAGAAGTGTCATAACCATAAAATGATAAACTTCTATTGTCTTCGTTTGACTTAATTATGCAATATTACACTTTTCGTTATCTAAGAGCACCGGCACTAGTACGCTTTTTAAGCAGTTGCCAAGAAGTGGGTACTTAATATTTGCCATGAAAACAGCTCCCTTAAATTTGAGCTTTTTCGGCCGAGGTTCCAGTGGTCCACATGCTCTGCTATCCTAGATCTTAATGTTTCCTGCGTGTGTTTTCCAGTCGTTTATTTAGGGGACGATTAATCTCTCTCCGCATTTACTATTTGCAAAATTTCTGAAATCCTCCTGAGTCGAACTTTGCTAAAACTGGTTCGCCTGGTTCGCACTGCCCAGAATGATATTCGAAAATTTGAAAAACCAACGTCAACACCAGTGAAACCATTAAACTCACCTCAAATACCAAACACTGCAATAAATTTATGGGTCATATCATCAACTTTAGGACACGGTAAAATCAGTTCTTGCAAAAGGTTCCAACTTCGTCCTTGCCCGACGTATCATCCCAAAAGAGGAAATCATTTCAAATATCTCAAACGAAATTCGCAAAAACCCTTAAAATATCAAACCCAATACCTCGTTTCTATAGATTCCCTAAGAAGAGGAGATTGAATTACGTTTAATCATATTACGTGGAATCCGTTCAAATTTCCTATTTCGGTTTAAAGGTTTGAGGTTATGCGAGGATTTCTGCCCCGAAACCAGCTTTGCTTATCTACTGACAACGAAACAAGCATGTTTTCAATCATGCTTCTGCACCCAGAATACAGTGCCTTGCTCTCAAAAAGTCCTTCAACAATGTATCCAATTGCCTCATTGTCCGATCTTCAATCCAATTTTCTATGCAACTAGGAAAAGATTTAGAATCCCAGCCAGAGTTAGCAAGATTGGCTTTGATGATTGATTGATTGATGTTTTGGCGGACTTTACTGTTGTTTTCCTGTTTCGGCAGATAATTTTTTGCTGCTATTGTTCTTTGGCTGTTATATTAACGACATTTTGGTGGTTTATAAAGTAATATTGTCCAGAGCAGGAACCATATTTCAATTTAATTAAATTAAAAATTAGAAAGCTATTTTGTTCTTTATTTTCTAAGCCAAATGCCCCCTTCTAGAGATAGTTAAGTTAAAAGTTAAAAGTTTTTGCTGAAAAAAAAAACGATATTCTCTAAGGTATTGCGTTCTCTTGGATGAACGATTTTTAATAGTGTTTTATGTATACAACACCACTTTAATCGCGAGTTTGATTTGGCAGGAGCGCATCGAATCTTATAAGCGAGTGACTAAAGAAGTTTGTCCCATGTGTTGTATACAACACTTTTTCAACGATCATTGATTTTTCAGTACATTTTCCTGAAAACGGCATGAATACATTGACTGAGTGAAGTGACGTGGCCGTCATAAACCGGGCTAAAATCTGCAATGCTGCAAACGATAGCCAATCATCATTAACATTTGGTGTAAATTTCTAAATTTTTGACTAATACTCGCCTCACCCGAATAAATGCGTAATTTCAAATAGTAAAAGAGTTTCTTTAGCCTACTGAACTTATTCCAAATTAGAGACTCGCACTGTATATTCTCCACCGCCTTCGTTTCATCCATTTAACGAAAAAGTTACCATCATCCGCATATAACAAATAACCAGAGAATCGTCTATATCATTTCATAAAAAGCTTTGTCATACTCTTGCCCATTGCACAAACCGGAAGCCGTTAAAAGGTTACGTTTTTGCTTGCTATGACAAATTCTCTGCAATAAAATTAATACGCTAACCAGGTCTAATAAATAACAAAATAAATAAGAACTAAAAGTGAATTTTATACGATTATGTATTGAGTTGATATAATTTAAAAAAGAATTCAATTGTCCAACAAAGCAAGCAAAGACATCGTCCACATATCTATACCACCATAAAAAACTTTTACTTTAAGGATGTTCTAGTATGATATTTTCCAAATTATCCATAAAAATCTCGGCTAACAAAGGACCAAGTGGGTGTCCCATAATCAAACCTTCTTTAGAGATATAAATCTGTCCATTAAATTCAAAATAATTTTGGTCTAAAGATACTATTAAGCAATCTAATACATCTTGTTTCACCAATGGGTTAACCTGTTTCCGAGTTAGGGTCAAATCTCCTAAATCTATCGCATTCATAGGTGGAATACTGGGAAATAAGTTTTGTACATCAAATGACAATAGAGTTGCGTTAGAAGGGATTTTGATATCTTTAATTTTGTTGAATAATTCAAAAGAATTTTTTATTGCAAATTTTGGTTTAAAATCTGTGTGGAACTTCAAAATATTTACTAATTTTGTAGAGAGTTTAGCTGCTGGAGCTGTTACATAAGATATGCCCATTAGAGCAGTTGTGTCTTATGTAACAGCTCCAGCAGCTAAACTCTCTAGAAAATTAGTAAATATTTTAAAGTTCCACACAGATTTTAAACCAAAATTTGAATTAATCAATAAAATTAAAGATATCAAAATCTCTTCTAACGCAACTCTATTGTCTTTTGATGTACAAAACTTATTTCCCAATATTCCACCTATGGATGCGATAGATTTAGGAGATTTTACCCTAACTCGGAAACAGGTTAACCCATTGGTGAAACAAGATGTATTAGATTGCTTAATAGTATCTTTAGACCAAAATTATTTTGAATTTAATGGACAGATTTATATCTCTAAAGAAGGTTTGATTATGGGAAACTCACTTTGTCCTTTGTTAGCCGAGATTTTTATGGATAAGTAAAAGTTTTTTATGGTGGTGTAGATATGTGGACGATGTCTTTGCTTGCTTTGTTGGAACGGACAGACAATTGAATTCTTTTTTAAATTACATTAACTCAATACATAATCGTATAAAATTCACTATCGAGATTGAATATCATAACTCCATTAATTTTTTAGACTTAACTATTACAAAAGTGCAAAACAAATTAGATTTTTCAATATATCATAAACCTTCACACACGGACACAGTCATACATAGCTCAAATCACCCTTATACACACAAAATGGCTGCATTTAACTCTTTTATACACAGACTTCTTAATGCGCCACTCTCAACAGAAAATTACAACAAAGAACTTAATATCATTAAACAAATAGCACTAAACAACGGCTACAATCCGTCCATTATAGATAAAATTATAAATAAAAAACAAATGCAGACAACAGTAAACTCTATTTATCCGAAACCAAATACAGAACACGAATAATTTAAAACAATTACATACATAGGAGAACCTAGCGAAAAAGTTTCAAAACATTTGTCAAAATGTGGTTTAAAAATAGCTTTCAGAACTAACAACACAATAGGAAAATATTTAAAAAACAATAAATTGAAAAGCTATTATCTTCATTCGGGTTTAAAGGCCGTCGTCGATTGGAATTACTTCCTAACGTTTCGCTAGCACGAGTGGCGAGCTTCTTCAGAGGTCCTTCCATCTCCGATGTTGGACGTAGACTGACGATTTCTCCTGCGCAGGTTGTATTTATGCCGATTGGTGGAGGGTTCCACCTAGGCTCTATGGACTACCTAAGATACACAAAGTAGATGTCCCGTTAAGACCAATAGTTAGCGCACCCGGATCACCAACGTATTACTTGGCTAAACACTTGGCATCGCTGCTTCAACCACACGTAGGACACGGCACCAGTTACATCAAGGACTCCACCGACTTCGTGCGCAAGATTCAAGATATCAATATTGAACAAAACGACATCCTTGTGAGCTTCGACGTTGTCTCACTGTTTACCAAAGTACCTCTGAAGAGTTGCTTGGACCTGGTGAACAGGATATTTCCTGTCGATATTTGCAAACTTTTTGAAGTCTGTCTGACCGGTAGCTATTTCGTGTGGAAGGGAAACTTCTACGAACAGGTGGACGGAGTGGCAATGGGAAGCCCACTAAGCCCGGTTATAGCCAACTTATTTATGGAACACTTTGAGGAAAAAGCGATCGAGACCTCAGAGTACAAGCCAGCAACGTGGTTCCGGTACGTGGATGACACCTTCGTGATTTGGAAACATGGTATGGACAAGCTCAACAACTTTCTGCAGCATCTCAACAGTCAGCATCCCAGCATCCAGTTTACTATGGAGACTGAAAATGACCAACAACTTGCATTCTTGGACGTACTAGTGAGGAAGCGAGGTAACAAGCTGGGCCACACAGTTTACAGAAAACCAACCCATACGGACAGATACCTGCATGCTCTATCCAACCACCACCCAAGTCAAAAGTATGGGGTTATCAGAACACTGACAGAACGAGCCCGAAGGATTTGCGAACCGGAGAACCTCCAGATGGAACTTGAACACCTAAAAACTGCGTTCGAGGTAAATGGCTACAGTAAGAGGGAGATCGAGAGATCAATGAACTCAAGATCATCAAGATCACGGGATACCGAACAACGACCCTCCACCTCCCACGCATATCTGCCGTATATTCCGAGTGTCACCGACAGGATTGGCAGAGTATTGAAAAGACACGACATCAAAACAATCTTTAAGCCTACAAAGAAGATCCAGCAGACCATCAGGTCAGCGAAGGACAAGAGGGGCTCACTTTCAGCTGCGGGAGTCTACCGCATTCCGTATTCATGCGGAAAGGTCTACATCGGAACTACCAAGAGATCAATGGGAACGAGACTTAAGGAGCATAAAGCAAGCTGCAGGCTAGGACATACAGAGAAGTCTGCAGTGGCTGAACACGCACTGGGCAGCGGGGAACACAGGATACACTTTGAGAGCTGTAAGTTACTAGCATCGGTCAACGGCTATCACAACAGACTAGTCAGGGAAGCCATTGATATTCAAAAACACCCTCACAATTTCAACCGAAAGGAGGAGACCCTTAGACTCAACCAAATCTGGAACCCGATCCTTAGGAACGCCCGAGCAGTACCGATCGATATCCCGAGATCAACCGAAGCGGAACAAGCCCCGCCCTCCACCAATCGGCATAAATACAACCTGCGCAGGAGAAATCGTCAGTCTACGTCCAACATCGGAGATGGAAGGACCTCTGAAGAAGCTCGCAACTCGTGCTAGCGAAACGTTAGGAAGTAATTCCAATCGACGACGGCCTTTAAACCCGAATGAAGATAATAGCTTATCAATGGGCCGCGAAAGCCTTAACCAATTTATCAATAAATCGAAATTTCCGAAATCCAAAAAATCAGGTGTCTACAGGTTGAAATGTGGATCTTGTCCTAAAATTTATATTGGACAAACAGGTAGATCCTTCAAGAAACGCATTAACGAACATATAAGAGCGTTTAAAAACAATAGTCTAGATTCTAATTATGCTACACACTTAAACACAGAAAAACACATTATTGACGACATTTTTGATATATTACACACAGCCATAAAAAGTAGAAAATTAAATTTATTGGAGGCCATGGAGATTAACAAAATGAGACATTCAAATGTATTGCTTAACAACATTAATTAAGGTTTTATGGTCATTTTTCGGTATATTTAGTAGCAGGTAGTTTGTAAATATTACATTTGATAAAGACACGGCGTTGTCGAAACAATTGCCATGTCATAATATATAATTTCGTGAAAATCTGAACTTTTAGTTCCATATATCACTACCCGTTATCAAGTGTAAACTAAACTTAATTCTAAGGCTACAAGGTTTATATACTAAGCGACGGCGCTCATCCATGACGTAGTATAGTATTTCGAGGTGATGTTATTGCAGCGAAGGCGAACGATACTATAAAGATACATCTCACCAACTAGTCGCAAAAATTTTCTATGCAAGACACGTTTCTCAGTAACCGTCTCTGCTGCCAGGTTAATAGGGGCCTGTACCTTATCTCGAAACCTACGGGAGTTACAAAAAAAATTAAATGATACTTTTCTCAATTTTCTTAAATAAGACGCCCTGTATATTATTGGATTTTCGAATAGCCACTTCAATAGCAATTTTAATTATATAACATAGTACGGGTCTCCGACTTACAATTTTGGTTTAATTGGCAAAATGGACGAAAAATATCAACTAGGCTCAAACCACAGCCTTAAGACTGAGACAAACAAACTCATCAGCAGCTGCCGCAGTTTCAGTCAAGCTCCGAAGAAACGAAACGTTAACAAGTTCGACTCAACAACAACCGACGCAGAAGTTTTGTAGATAGTAATTAACAGCAGGGCTTGACGGAATGCTTTTAAGAAATGACTATAAAATCAAGAACAAGGAAACTGCTACGTTTCCGTTTCTTAAGCACCACGACCCGACCTCCTAGCGATCTTGTGCATCGTACGCATCGATCCGGTGCAGTTCCTGATATCGCCGATAATAGTAAAATCAATCGGCCCGTAAATAAAACATTACGTCGCTTTCAAGGCCGGGAAAAATTCGTCGCAATGATTCCTAAATGAAAAACACCTTTCCAGCGCCTGCAACAAGTGCGTGGCCAATTTCGACCACCACTGCAAGTGGCTGAACCACTGCATCGGTGGCCGCAACTACAGCGTGTTCCTCATGTGCGTGAGCAGCGCCATCGCCGCGGCCGTCTTGGTATTCGCATTGGCCGTAGCCAACTTGGTCTACCATCACACGTTGAAACAGGGCGACGAAGACGAGGACCTATCGACCGAGGAAGCGAAGGTAATTTTGTAGAACGTGATAAACTGGGTAACGGAAATTTCAACCAGTGATTACCAAAACTAGGTAAAACCCAAAGAAACAAAAATATATTTTTTTATAAAATGCCGTCAATATGCATTTCGAGCACTTAAATGATCATCTCCAGCAGACGCCTAAGAAAAAATATTTGACATCACTAACCAAGTGGTCGGATGGAGTTCTAAAGGTTACTTATGTAATATAAAAAAAATAACCGGAAACCGGTTAGGGGATGGTGGGGCAACCAAAATTTATTTTCGTTTTTTCTTCGAATAATTATAAATTATTTTTTAGTTTTTGGCGGCCATGTTAAATTGAAATTTATTTGTACTCTATTCAGTAATATATTTGTTAAAAAATCATATCTGACGCTCAATTTTTTTTCTATATAATCGGAAAAACGACTCGTATCATGTTAACGAAGGGTTTTTTTAAGCAATGTAACAATAAATAGTCATCAAAGAGGAAAATATGGATATTTACAATGCGAAAAACTTTTTTACAATGAAAAAAAAATGTCCTACGGGATTTACAAAAAAATTGAAATAAAAAAGTTGTTTATATTAAAATTACCTTTATTTATTTTTTTTTCCTAAGCGTGACTTTTTTATATAAAACAAAGTTACATTTTTTTTTAATAGAACACTCTATATTTTATTGCATTTTTGGATAGTCAAAGACAAATTCAAGGATATATATATATATATATATATATATATATATATATATATATATATATATATATATATATATATATATATATATATATATATATATATATATATATGAGTATGGGTCTGTGACGCACCGTCAGAATTAGGGTTATGTTTAAACCATCATTGTTAGGATGCTGGCTTTAAAAAATATATCGAAACCTGCCTGCTGAAAGAAACAAACACAAAATATTGTTACTTTTGACCTTTTTGACATAGTTTTGCAAACAATCGTGGTTCTCTGTTGTGGCAATATTACTAACTTTTTGACAGGTGTATAATATTTTAGGCGTATTTTTTCGGACTTCCACTATTGTCTATTTATTTTATTAAGGGGACAAAGTTGACCTATTAGAATGTTACATCCCCAATAACAAAAGTCCGGCTCTGTATATGTACCAGCAGTTTCGAACAAACGGCAGCGTTTTAGTGAAAAAAAGTAGGAGTCCGACGGTTTTGGATGAAAATATGCAGCTAGATATTTTTCTACATTTTGAAAATACTCCAGAGACCCCCACCCGCCTTGCCGCTTCAGATGTAGACTCAAGAAGAACCACATTTTTTTATCTGCCAATTAAGGCAAAACGGTAAGTCAGAGACCCGTACTATGTTATGTGATTGAAATTTAATTAATTTAACAGGTGCCAACACCGCTTATTTTAAGAAAACATTTTCAATTTGATCATTGTCTAAATAATATTGATTATTGCGAAGATGGTTTAAACATAACCCGAATTCTGAAGATGATCGCTAGGAAGTTCGAAACGGTGCGTCACAGACCCATACTCATATATATCGTTGAATTTGTCTTTGAAAGGACTATCCAAAAATACAATAAAATGTAGGGTGTTCTATTTAAAAAATGTAATTTGTTTTACTACCATGTATACAAAAAAGTGACGAATAGGAAAATAAAAAAACAAAGGTCACTTGTAACCCCCGTAGGTTTCTAGATAACGTATAGGCCCCTCTTAAACGGCCACCCTGTACGTAATTCTCGTGGTCGTGTAAAAAATATATTTTTATTGTGAAAAATCGCAAATGAAATGATTATCGCCTCAGTGACCATGACCGATTATATCGGTTAATTGGTTCGAGGATTTTATTTTTTGTGGCGAGAAAAAAATACGAGCTCTCAAAGCAGAACCCCATAACATACAAATTTGCATATACACGTATACCCGGGGAGATCTAAAGATAGCCATCCGCGTTAAAGGATTTTTGCATGCAAATCGCGAACGTTGGTGCATCATTGCCATTTTCAAAGGTCAGGTGCCCCCCGTGGCGCAAAATTGACTATTGTAGGGTCTTTTTAACTGTTTTGACGGCGGCCTAAAACGTTAACAAGCCAAACTGCATTGTAAGTATTTTAAAAACATATAAACCAAAATAAACAAAATATTAAAAATAATCGATGACACAAGCAAATAGAAATATTTACTTGGTCCGCAGATGAATTTCCATTTATCACGCTTTAGTTTATACGGCGTTGTCAAAGAAATAATTCGGAACCCGCGCAGTCGTACTACTACTGTTGACGACCATTTTCAGGACTACGGTCCCCCTTCGAAGTCCAACGTTTCGGCGCAGGTGTCATCGTCTCTGCCGTCCAGCGACGCGGCATTTCTCGCGATCGTCGCGGCGCTGGGTCTGTTGGCGGCCATTACTGCCGGTCTCCTACTTCACCTGTGCTTCTTCCACATCTACATATCTTTCCTGGGGCTGACTACTTACGAATACATCCGGCAACAGCGCCAATCTCGGGCTCTGACGCGCGACCAACACGCGCAGGACGCGCCACGCCACGAGCAAGAAAACGGATACATTAATTCAACTTTGCGTCACAGGTAGGTGGCACCTGTAGAAGTGGAGTTTCTCCAGGTGAGGTTAAAAGTTGCCGTTGCGGATGGAAAACAGAAAAATAAACTTTTAAACATGGCCGATAAAGTTTATAATAGTAATAATCAGGCTTTATTTGTTTACAAAAAGAAAAAATTAAACGAAATATTATTAGTTATGCTGCCCCTTAAACCAAACAGCTAGTCCCAAATATACAACATACAAGATTCAACGTGGTAAAATAATGGTAGCAAACCATGTAACGAAAATTGGAAATCATAATATTTTCATTGTGTAATATTGTCATTGTCTTGGTCTCCCTTTATTCATATTGTCAGGTTTGAATGATCCTCTTTCACCAAGTCTCCTGGGTAGGTTGATGAATGTCTTAGCAGATGGAACGTTTCTATTGGGATAAGCCTCGTGCTTGATCCGCATTTCCATTTGCTCTTCCGTAGCAAAAATGCATATCGCGATATTCAGTATTTCAATATTTCTGATGGGCCATCACAGTAGCAGTTGGATAATAAGCTCTTCTAATAGAAATTAATTTTTAACGGATTGTGACAATGACTTTTTCTACCGACTTCAGATAAGAGTAACAATGTCTGAGGATTTGTGATTCTGCTTAAGGCAATCTGTTTTATTTTGCAATATCAGTATAAATAAATAAAAGGCAGAGAAAATAAAAACAAAGTTCTAGGTAAAGTGCCCTCTAGTGATCATCATAAATACTATTTACCGGGTCACCTGATCATCCTATTAAAGCTCGCGGGAAGGAAAAACCAGATAAGTAAATACATTTTTATAAAAGCAAAATATTACTTAGGTGGCTTTGTTTCTATTCATTATTAATTGTCCACCCAAAGACTAATGTAAGTATTTTATTTATACGTGCCTCCTAAGCTACAAACACTTTTTTCCGAAAACTCAGAAAAACAAGAGAATAGATTTTTTTATTTCCAAATCTGTCACTTTTTGGGCTAATTCAACACAATATTTTGAAAATCTGTTAGGAAATAAAACCTCAACAATGCCGGTATTTGTAAATTGATTATTGTTCTCCATGATAATCCGAATCGATAACACGACGAAATCGGTAATCAGATAAAAATGTTCAAACTGTCAGAATTTTCAATCACGCCAACTTGATGATCAATAGGAGCGAAGCCACCTAAATAATATTTTGTTTTTATAAAAATGTATTTACTTCTCTGGTTTGCGTGTGAAAATTTGAAAAAGCAAAGCAAAGCAAAAGTTTCGTTCACAATATTTCACATGATCAGGTGACCCGGTCAATGTATGATGGTCAAAGCCTCCTAGACACAATTTTCAAAATTAAATAAAAATAAAAAAAACAAAAACAAAAAGGGGAGAAAAACCGTCCGTCCTACGTATTCAAATGCCATTTAAAATTCGAAAGTTACTGTGGTTTCCGCTCAAACCTGAAATGCAACTACATATTGTCAAAAAATCGGGCATTCAGCATTGACCCTTCCAAATTTCAAATCGCCATCTCAAGCGTTTGAAAGTTATAGAGCGTTCCCACTTTCTTGTGTCACCCGGTATAATAAGTATGCCACTTACTAGTGATTTTTATTCCAGAAAGCTTCATGCATAAATTACGTTGTTTTTATACCGGGGACAAAGATGTAGAATAGATATTATTCTGTTTCTGTTGAGGATTGCAAATGAATTAGAGAAAATTGTATTACTTTGTTATCAAAAGTAAAAATATATTGCTTTTTACAAAACTCTTGGGTTCCTCCTGCGTCGGTTTTTGCTTAGTCGAAATTGCTGACGTTTCGCCAATCATCCTGTTGGCTTCTTCAAAGCTTGACTGAAACTTTTTTTCAGTCAAGCCCTGAAGAGGAGGAATTTTCTTTGATAAATTAAAAAAATATGTAAATAAAACGCAACCTATAATTTACGTTTATGACAACTCTTGTCATAAAATTCGAACTACTATAATGATTAAGTCAGTCCAAGGTCCTATAGCTCCATTACTGAAAGGGAAATACTACCGAGCTAAAGCTGCACGTTTGTTTTGCCCATACAGACCGGTGAACCTCCAGTGCGACGGGCGCACGCGTACAACCTTCTTCAGCTGCACGGTGCTAGAAGAAACGTTCTCTAGTTGCAACACTGAGCCGACCCCTACCCCACCGACCACCCCGCAGGACTGTCAAATGTGCATTATAAACAACAATGCGGTAAGTTTAAGTAGTTGCCGCGTTGTTTGGTCAAGATAGGAAACATCAGATTATCCCTAATAGTAATATAATATAAATAAAGTGCTGTTATATGCTACAAGCTACTGTAGTATTTTGAGTGTGACGTATTACTTTAAACCGCCATGACAGTACTTAAGTACTTGGACACAAATAATAGATGGCATTCGTAACAGTATACGCGACCTTCTCCTCTATATTAACTCTTTGCTGCCATCTGTACATGAGTGGTAAAACTAAATTAGTTAGCGAGTTAACAAGCGGAACGGGGAACAAGGGATTGATGGTGAACTTACGCTTTCGGTCTACTAAACGTTTAAGCAAAATGGAAAGTTGATAAAGATCGGCAAACTATTAATCAATCAATCAATCAAATCTCTCCACTTATGCTTAAATACTGCAGTCCTTACATTGATAAGTATGTCACTCACATTATTAATTCTTCCATAGGAGTAAACTATTTCCAAAAAATCTGGAAAATGTCACTTGGAAAACCATTAGCTAAAAATAATGCCCGGATAAGTTTCAGGAATAATAAGTATATTACCGGCACTATCAAAAATATACGAACAAGTTCTTTATTATCAAATGTATACCTATATAATGGATTATAAAATATATAAAATAGTACCAGAAAGTCAGTGGGGTTTTAAACGAATGTCAAGTACTGCGAATGCTCTTATAAGTGTCATTGATGATATTGTCCGAGCCACTGGCATTCGATACGGTGAACCATAACCTATTGATTTTCAAGCTGAATATCTATGGTCCTTCGTCTAGTTCACGCGCGCTGATTAAATCGTATTTTTCAAATCGATATCAGAAAATATACTGTGATAGCAGATACTCGAAAGAAATTAAACATTTCTCTGAGGTGCCGCGAGGTTCCATTTTAGGGCCGTTATTTTTTTTTGATTTACAATTCTGACATATTATCCATAACCTCGATTCGCCAACTTTGCTGAGAGAGCGGCTTACTCCTAGGAGTACTAACCATTCTGCGAATGTAAGATACAGGTACAGACTAACGATGCTACATCATCAGAGTGCCTTGTTTCGTAGATCTTTCACATTCAACGCAATTCGTGTTTACAATTCTTTGTCACAGCAATTCAGTAACTTAAATTTATATTCATTTAAAAAAAGGTACAAAGATCATTTGTTACAAATACAGTTTTCCTAATAATGTGTTCTTTATCTTCTTTATCTTCAATTGCATTTTCTGTAGGGTGCAGTAGAGTTATGTCGTTCTTCCGATTTTGCAGATATTTTTCATATTTTTCATATACATTTGTTGTTCATTCATTTTCAATTTCAATAAATAGTGCGCAATTTATTAATTATATAAATAGTCCTTTAGCGGTTCAGTAGAGCAGCTATTTAAAGCTAGACTGCGCCGCTTTTGAGCTATCTGTTTACTTTGTTTTGAAAAATATTAACATTATATATTGTTTTTTTTTCTGATATAATAAAGGCGATTTATTATTATTATTATTATTATTATTATTATTATCTCATTGTGACCAGGTCGCGCCAGAGGCCAAAGTTTCCCTCAAGAAAGTACATCGGAAGTGGAACTGTTGCGTCTCGGTTCCCGATAGTCCAGACGACCCCAACAGCCCGTCCGAGCCGCGTTGTCTCATGTCCCTCTGCAGGCACAAGGCCAAAAGCAAAAAACTGCCGTCCGCTTTGGAGGGCAGGCCGCATAGGACGCACGGCCATTGGTCCAGCGCAAAACTCAGAATGTTGTTTCGTGTTTTAGGTAAGCGACGGACAGTAACAACAGTCTATGTCGTCCAGGACGTTGTGCAGCAAATTTAGAAGCTCTGCTTAAATATCTTTGAAATGAAAACAATTGGCCAATGATTTATAAGACGAACTCAAACACCATCATGAATAATTTACGTTAGTTTAACCATAACGAGCGAGTTTTAGTTTTCCATTGAATTCATTCAATTTACCATTTTACACTTAATAGAGCATGCGCAGTAAAACTAGTAATTGATTGGATGGACGGATGGATTGATGTGTAAGTTCATTTCATTCAGTGCTATAGTTCAATGAAGGACTCCGAAACTTAGACATATATATGGAAAGCAATTAGTCAAATTAAATTTTGGTGTCAGGGAATTTAGGCCAGCATAGGCGCCGAAACCAGCAGCAACAGCAGCACGCTCAAGCTCAATTACCGAAAACCAACCAAATTGTGCCTCTATCTAGCGACACGGGTAGCAACGATCCCTCCATTCGGACGATTAACAATTTGGTTCCCGTTGCCGATTATCCGGACGCATCGTACGGACCTAATGCGGCTACACTCCCCCGAAGGTCAGTTTTAGCAAAGTTCAAAATATCACGAATCTAAACGTCAATGTCCGATATTAATTATGGTTTTTGTATATTATCTAACCTAAATTTTTAATTCAATTAGTACACTTGCTAGAAAATGTCAAGAAAACAAATTTGTCACTAAATAATATTTATGTTATAATGAAAGAAATATATAGTCGGTACGATTTGTGATGGCATCCACAGATGTCGTTCCGCTCTAAAGACCTGTATGATCAATGCAAGACAGCCCTCACTCACGACTACGATTATATTACTTGGGAGTAAGAGAGACAGAGTAAGTTGTACTTTGCATTTATTAATTTGGAGAGATGGATTCATCTATTTTCTATGTAAAAATAGATCAGGGTGTTCCTTAATGCTATACGAATATTTAAGTAGGTGAATCTTCATGAAAACATTATGATAATTTGTTAAGTAAATTATTGTCAGAAAATTCATGTCATAAAATATCGGAAAACTAAAAAAAATATATATCATATCGTATAATTCGCCAAGAGTAAAGATGCAAGTAAACTATGCGTAGTTTGTATTTGCGATGAAACATCATCATCATCAGAGCTTATATCAAGTGTATTCTGTATGTGTCATACAACTGATCCAATTTTCTTTGGTAACTGTTTGGAAATCTACCTTCCAAGCAGATACTACTGCAGTATCATCGCACCTTGCCTCATTTACAATATTTTTATTAAAATATACACTGAGCACAAACCAATTCAATAAATATACAATGGTAAGAGGACAATTTTCAAACTTGATGAGCCATCTCAGCAATTATTTCGTCTGTAGCATACGGCAAATTTGTTTTGTAATTTGTGACAATTCAGAAATGAAGTTAACAAGTTACATTTTACACCATTTTCTGCGTAATTAATCCGCCTACCGCGCAGCCAACTGACCCTGTTTTGTAGTGGAAACTAATGAAATTATCCGGTAAGCAGGTACCTTCTCTCTTGGTTTTATGACCGACTATGCCATCGTAAATCGTACCGACTATACATAGTACAATTAGGGATTCGTTACTGTGGTGTAGTGTTTTTAGATTTTTTAAAATATTTCCGTACTTTTATTGAGTTGATAGGAAACTAACATAGTTTTGATTTAATTAAAGTTTTTTATTGAATTTGTATTTCATACGTCTAATAATTTACACATCTAATGATATAATCAAAAAGGACACAAAAGTATAACATGCATAACAATTATATGCCAATTGAAAATCTTGTAGGGGGTTTTCATTAATTTAAATGGAACCAAATTATTTTTATTAGAATTTTTGTTAGAACTTGTACACTATACATAAATAACTTTACCAGTCCATCAAGTTTAAAAAAAATATATATAATATATGTTGGTTTTTTTAAAAGTTCATTTTCATTTGCTTTTTCTTACAGAAATATCGAAAATATTTTAAACTAACTGGAACCTGTCAAATATTATTATTACACCATCCTATTCGGTATACGATGCAATTCTAGTAATAACGAGATTCTGTGAAATTATATCTTTTGCACCTCTAGAAGGGTAATCAGCGAAACCGAACTGGCCAACGCGCTGACGCTCCTTCAACAGCAGCAGCAACAGCAGCGCTGCGGCCGGAGACCCTCCTACAGGAGAAAACGGCGTAGCGTGGTTCACCGTCCTAAAACGCCCGCCCTGTCGCCGATCAGGGAAAGCGGGCTCAGCAACCCAGCCTCTCCGTCCCGTCAAACGTGCACCGTGTCGGCGATCAGCGGATCATGCACCAGGCCGTTATGAATATTAATAATTTATTCGTAACTTTTCGATTATTCGCTACGCGCGGCTCAGTAGATCAGATTACCCACCAGATTAAATATTATAAAAGAAGACACCTCACAAACCAAATCACGTACTTAATATACGTGGATTACAATTTAACTATTTTTCTAAGCCGGAGTGAGTTTGTAAGCATAACGTATAGGAATCTAATGCCCAGTTTTTGATCTCTCGTCCCGGGATATTAATACGTTTTAAATTTTACTGAAATAATAATACGCGTACCTATAACTGGCATCAAGTCTAACTGAACACTGAAACTTTCTTATTTTTTGAATCTGAAATTCTTATTGCCTTTTCAATAAAAACAGACGGATGAGTACTTACCGTATTCTTGTCCGACTTCGAGGGCCAAATTTTTTCTTCGTAAAATTTGCAAAGTATACAGAGCGTTTAAAAAAATATGCGTGAATGCTCGGCTGGAAATTCATCCATAAAAAACTTACCATTAGGGAAGGCACTGGACGTCATAATTTTTATCTAGTTCAAGCATTTAGGGACCTGTTTTTATATGAATTTTTTGAATGACGAATCAGCCTGTATGAAGTGCAGAAACGTTATTATCTCGAGAATTACACAATTGATGACAAATCTAAAATATATATTTTACAAAAAAATTGTCCAACGACACCAAACAAAACACACGTAGGTCTTATCTGAACTTTTTGTTTTCGATTCTCGGTAGGTGGCGCTGTAGTCGCTTAGAAATTTTGGTTTATGGAACCTGAAAAGGTTTCAATTGTTTTCTTGACCAATTTCAACAAACCAAGATCTGCTCTATGGCGAGAGTCACGTGAAAATCCAATATTTCATTCCACTTGAACCTTGGGGTCGCTTTAGCTGTCTTCTGATAAATTACATAATACTTTTTTTTTATTCATCACTTCTTGGGAAATAAGATACGAGAATTGAAAAAAGCTTCAAACAAACCGTTTCTTTTATTCAATATTTAAATGATTTTTAAAATTAATTTTGATCAATTGTGTAATTCATCAGATACTCCACTTTCTCTGGCATATATTAAGTACAAACCACATAAAACCGTCCTCTATGACGCTCCGAGCAATTACTGGGCTTGTTTCCGTATTTTGATTCCGTCTATAATTATTGTTACATATTATAGGGTTTTGTCTAATTATCGAGATGATATTAGGTGTTTGTCAAGCGAAAACCTTTTGTGGCTTTGCGGCGCCAGTACGACGAGTACATGTAATTAAATATTTATAAAAACTGTGTTACGATTTACAGAAATCATTATATGAACTGCATTAAATTTTTTTATAAATTTTAAGACTTCATAAAGTCACCAAATAAATGCTACACAGGTATTGTCCCAAGTTTCGTTGTGTGTGAAAAAATTCGAAGTGCGCATTAATTCAAGTTTTGTACAAATATTTATATATATATTATATGTGTGAAACAAATAAATGGTTATTTACTTTAAGAGTTGAATTTTATATATTTAATTATTATTATTAATTAATTTATATTTAATTTTAATTAACAAAAACCTCACAGTTACTGCTATAAATTTAATCACATTAAAAACGTTTCTTTTTCATTTTTCCGCCTTTGAACTTTATTTTCTTCTTTCTTTTGGCAGCCGAAGACCCACCGAAACTCGTAATTTCGTCTCCCAAAGCAGTTAAAGTTGACAACTGTCGACGTCTATGTTTATCCGATTTTGTAACTGGCAACCTAGTGAAGTATTCCTCTTCATATTCCTGTATTTCCCTTTGCTCCTTCGATAATATTTGTTGGGCCCTGCTACCCTGAGACACCTCGATGGGAGCATCCAAGTATTCTTCCCGAAGGTCTTGCATAATGGAGTTGGATAAGTGATGCCTTCTGTTCTTTTCTTGAAGGCGTTTGTTTTTTTCCTGTATCGATTCGTCTCCAGTATAATGAACCGCAGACAACTTTGGAGGTTGATATACTCCCACTTTGCCTTTCTCTTCTTTACTAGGTGTTTCGTCTTCACTTTCCGAAGAGTCATCAGCATCTTTACCCAACAGATTATCAGGGTTTGCTTTAAATAACGAGGGATCGTCGCTTCTGGTACCAGTTACTGCAGTCTTCACCAGCTTATCAATTTGGTATTTTAATTTTTGATCAATAGGTTTTATCTTTTCAAGAACAGTGCGAATTTCAACTAACCTATCGATGCAGGGGTCATTTTCAATTTGTTCTCCGCTACATTTGCGAAGCACCACGTAAGTTAAATTTATTAAATAACTTAAGAGCAAGTTATACTTCATTTCCAAAAAACTAAGGCCGTGTTGGGTAGATAATTCGCCACTTCTTACTTTAAGAATCATATTGTCGACCAGCGTAGCCACATGCTGCACACTGGTATTCATATCACTTAAAAGGGCCAAAGCCTGCGGAAGATCTTTGTGTCCCATCGTAACGATGTTCTATATTCACGCACTTTGAAACTTAAGGTTATAAAAGGCACGACATATGAACAAATTACTTTTGGTAAGTTGGGGCAGGGAGCGGGTATATTTACAGATCTGACATTTCTCGACCACAGAAGACAAACATTCAGAAAGTCCTTTCTCTGACGTAAGATTCACATTAAGGCGTTTATTGGGCATACAATTTGTAAGAAATTTTATTTAATAAGTAATTTTAGATTTTTAGGTATTATTGTTAAAATATTCTTGTAGTTTATCCAGAGCTTTAAACCTATGTGATATTTTATTCTTTTCTTCTTTGCTCATTTCGCCATAGGTCATTTTGTACCCTTTGGGCTGGAAGCAAGGATCCCAACCAAAATCCCGCCGACCTCTAGGAGATACAATCTCCCCCTGCGTCCGTCCTTGAAATAAGATAACTTCGTCGTTTTCTCCTCCCGGATGGTAGGCGAATGTACATACTGCCTCGGCAGACTTATCTTCAAAGCCTTGCAGCAAAGTGAATAATCCATCAGGACCTAATTTTTCCAAAAACCATTTTATGTATGGGCCTGGCAAACCTTTAAGAGCTGTGAAACATAAACATGTGTCCTCGACTAATACGGGGCCCGAGATATGTTTGTGAGCAGTCTTTGCCTTTTTAATGGAAATATCGTCAATTTCACCTTGCAGTTCCGGTAAATCTACATTTTGGCTGACGACACGTTTCGGGAAAGACGTGCCCAAAATATTAACCAATTCTTCTAGTTTTCTGGAGTTGCCAGTAACGAACGTAATCGGTTTAGACATGCTTATAAAATTATTTTTAACACACCTAACCTAAAAACCCGACACTTCATCTCGCGCAAAGACGATTTGGGGTTATGTTTGCTAATTTTTGTTATTCTTAATCAATTAGCTCCTCTGTAGTTTTATCGATAAAATTGTGCTTTTACTACCAAACATGGGTGATGGGAAAAACGACCAACTCGATATTAATGGATCCAACTTTAATCCGAATCTCTATTTGGATAAATTATTTAGAGAGTGCACTTTGCGCCAGGTAATGGACCACGAAAATAAGATTGTCGAAGATACCAAGGCCTTGCATTCGGACATGCAAACCCTAGTATACGAAAATTACAACAAATTCATATCAGCTACAGAAACAATCCGCAAGATGAAAGACGATTTCAAGCAGATGGAAACCGAAATGGACTTGTTAGAATCCAACATGTCTTCAATTACTTCTTTTTCAGACAAAATAAACGCAAACCTAAAAGACACTCGTGAGAAGATAAGCCAATTATCAGGCATACACACGTTACTACAGAGGCTGCAGTTTCTATTCAAGCTGCCAGCGACTTTAAAATCTAGGATGGAAGAGAAGAATTACATGCAAGCCATGCAAGATTACGTCCACGCGCAAAGAGTTTTGGAACAGTATGGTGACATGCCCGCTTTCAAGGGGATCAAAAGCGATTGTGCAATCATTTTGGCAGAATTAAAAGGCGAACTCCGCAAACAGTTCTGTAGACCAGATGCCAGCGCAAAAGAGCTCGCGGAATCTGTCGATTTGCTGTTGCAACTCGATGAACCGCCAAAAGAATTGTGCTTGGAGTTTTTAACTTGCGCCGAAAAGCGTCTGGGTGGGCAATTAGTCATGTTAAAAGACCAAAGTGAACAGCGGGATATTGTCGAATTCGTCGAATTGGGATGTTCCGGGTTCCTTAGCGATTTGTGTTTGGTGGTCGCGTCGTTTCACGACATGTTTATCAATCGAGTCAACGCGGACAGCTCGGAAAGTAGTGAAATATTCGAGAACTTCGCCGCGGTCGAACTCGAGACATTCGTAAAGGACAACATGAAGAAATATTTTGACCTGGTGCAGACCAAAGTCGATTCCGAACAAGACATCGCCGATACCGGCGTCTTGGTTCAGGCCCTGGACAGGTTTTACATGCGGATTGAAGATAACAAATTTTGCAAGGACAATAATTTCACCCTGATGGCAATCGACATTATCAACAACGCCTCTAGGAAACAGTGCAAGGCACATTTGCAAATATTAAAGATGCATTTCGCGGACACCTTGACGAAAGTAAGGCAGTCTTTTACGACTCCCAAGCTTGTGAACCAGGACGACTCGTCTAAGAATCTCGGGGAGGTGTTGAATTCCATGATCGTCACCATTGTGGAAAAGATCAAGGGCGTTCTGCAAGACCTTGTCATATTCATCAACTCAGAAATCACGTTCTCTCGGAAACCCCGGTTTCGAGAGAGCTTCTGCATTGATAATGTACGGGAGGGCCTGGTAGTGTGCTTCATGCACCATTTAACTGCTACTGCCAGGGGTTACTGTTCAGTTGGTATTGCGGACCCCAAAACCCCGCCCACTTTGATCTTGCTACTGTCAAAATTGTGTTTGGAGTTTTCGAATGGTAGGGTGCACTTTTTGTTGTCTCAGACGGACGAACTGTTCGAGATCAATGAGAAGCACAATTCGGCGTTGACGAACGAAAATGAACTCAACAACAATATGCAAGAGTCGGCGCAACATTTGTTGAACTACTTCGTCCGAATTCAAGGGTTTGTAACTGTACTGTTCATATAATTGAATTTTTTCATGCTTATGGCATGCGTCTCAACGCGAAATTAAGTCAATTATTTAACGACAAACCAATTAGATGATAAGAAAATTCATAAACCGCAGTTTTCAATTTCTTTAAACACAAGAATTTCAAAAAACTCGACCCTCTACAATGTTTCAACCTTAAACCCATGAAGTTAGTTTGGTTAGTTATGGTGTGCAACAATCTATAAAATATTGACATTTCTATTAATTTGTATTTATTCCTACGAAACCATATAGCTATTAGATGATGTAGAGGCCGTGTAAACTGTAAAATTGAACCACCGCAGGCGGTTACGACATTTTCTTACGGAAGGAAATAATCCGCGCATGCCTCTACATTTCACTCACTGACCTGCATTTCCAGCCATTTTTTTTCGAACTGCGATCTGCGCATAATTCGTTTTACTGTCAAAAGTTCATCGGTAGGCCGGACGAGTTTTTATTTATTCAACATTTCGTATGTGGCATGGATTTAGTTTGTTTCTTTAAAGCATTCTTTCTTTGCACAAGAAAAAACATATATTTTAAAAGTAGAACGAAAAAGTATTTAGTAAATAATTAAGAGGAAAGAAACAATGTTATTGTTTTTAGACTTCAGAAACGATTAATTTATTTATTATTTAAAAAATTCTCGAAATAAAAGCGGCAGTAAGCTATTGGACTGTTCCTTGTTGCGCGATGTTGATGATAAATTATAAAAATCTTATTTCGCAAACAGTACTAAACAACTCATTTGGTTTATTACAGACTGATTTGCTCGCAAATGCTCAGGAAAAGCGTGGAGACGCGGGACTGGCTGCACACGATTGAACCGAGAACCGTACGGGCTGTAATGAAACGCGTAGTCGAAGATATATCGGTCATCGATACTACCGTCGGACAGTTGTACGAAGACCAAGGTACCGCCACGGAACACAGTAGCGATTCTAGCAGGAAAACGCACACCATGTCCGTGTCCAGACACCAATTCCGTTCTAACTGGTCGAACTACGCGCCCAATCATTTAGATTCAGCGTTGGTGTCCAATATACACAAGCTGTTCAGCGAGCGAATCGAGGTCTTCTCGTCCGTCGAGTTTTCTAAAGTTTCCATACTGACGGGTATCATAAAAATCAGCTTGAAAACGTTCATGGAATGTGTGAGACTTAAAACGTTCAGTAAATATGGACTGCAACAGATTCAGGTGGATACCCACTACTTGCAGTTGTATCTTTGGCGATTCGTGGCCGACGAAAATCTTGTGCATTTTCTCCTGGACGAGATCCTCGGCTCAGCTGTGCACAGGTGTTTGGAGCCGGTACTCATGGAGCCTAGCGTGGTTGATATAATATGTGAAAGAGGCTGAACAATTGGAATAATTTACGTGTAATGCTGCTGGTGTAAAAATTATTTATTTTGAGTAATATTAAATAGTTTAAAATACCAATTATTTGGTTAATTGTACATTTTTGTTACCTGGAATATACGGAATGTCATCCCCTAAGGTGAAGAAAAATCGATTTATTTGTTATTACGGTTGCTAGCTGCCTCGGCAATTGGAAAAATAAAAATCCAAAAAATATACTGCATAGAAAAAAAAATATTCAAGCCAAATGGTGACGTCAACATCTGATATTTCCATAGATTTCTAAAAAGGAAATTAGTTCTGTGATGAGTCTGTCGTGAGCATTGCGCATGGCGGGTTAACCTCCGTTCGTTCCTGGCAGAATCCCTTGTAGTCGTCCCCAAAAATTTTGAAATCGGTTCCCACTGAGTGGATTTTGTGTTTTGTGAATGTTTTAAAGTTGAAATCGTTGTCGGCCCCGCTGTTTTTTCCTGTATCGGTCAAAGATTTTTGAATAGTGTTTATAATTGTTATTTCCATTCCCCTCGGAGGGCGATGGATCCGTCCAGTCCCTTTTTTATTCCAGGTTATAAATGTTGGTCTGTGACCAAAAAAAAAATCCTCGGCGGATGCCGGAAAGTGAGCGAATGACCACAGCAGTCTTGTCAGCCGAGAGCGAATCGTATTTTCTCTCTCTCTAGTCTGTGATAATCCTAACCTCAAACTTTTAGAATATTTTCCGAGGAATTATAATAATGTGATCAAAAGTAAACGTGATGATGGATTTCTGGCGTGAAACGTTGGGTGCGCCGACGAAAATTGTCGCTCCCATGGTCGACGCCAGCGAATTACCGTGGAGAATTCTGAGCAGGCGGTACGGCGCCCAATTGTGTTACACCCCCATGCTGCACAGTTCGATATTTAGCAAAGACCCGAAATATAGAAACGAGGCCCTGTCTTCGTGTGACGAAGACAAACCTTTAATAGTTCAGGTATTTACAGTACGTTGTTCTCGCTTGCTCAGCTCTATCTCTATCTTTCATAGTTTTGTGGAAACGATCCGCAAGTAATGCTTGAAGCAGCTACCTTGGCACAAGATCATTGCGTGGCTATTGATATTAACTTAGGCTGCCCACAAGCGATAGCCAAGCGTGGTCATTATGGGGCATTTTTGCAAGATGAATGGCCTATTCTGCATCAAATGGGTATTCAATAGTAGTAGTGTCAAATAACAGATATTCATTATAAAAATAATGTTGCAGTGTCATTACTGAGCAGCAACCTTAAGGTGCCGGTCACATGCAAAGTTAGGAGATTTGAAAACAAACAGAAAACTGTAGAGTACGCAAAAATGCTGGAAGCTGCTGGCTGTAAAATGCTTACTGTACATGGCCGTACCCGAGAACAAAGAGGTCCTCTTACTGGACTAGCAGACTGGAGTTATGTTAAAGCTGTTAAGTATGTATATAATGTGGCCCCCTTTCAATTATTGTTTCATTTTCAACTCAGGGATGCAGTTAAAATACCCGTCATTTCAAATGGTAACATTCAAAACATGCAGGACTTGATACGGTGTATGGAGGAGACTGGAGCTCAGGGTGTAATGATTGCCGAAGGAAATTTGTACAACCCCGCATTGTTCACAGGTCAGAATCCCCCCGCTTGGGTGCCAGCGCTCGAGTATCTTGATTTGGTCGACAGGTATCCCTGTCCCTTAAGCTATACCCGGGGGCACCTTTTCAAACTATTTCATCACATGTAAGTGAATATGACACAGTTTTAATAAACACCTCTCATTTTATCTCCTCAACTAGACCTTTCTAGTAAAAATGATTCTTTTAAAATCTAGCTTACCGTTTTAGTTTATCCATACCATGTAATAATTATTTGAGAATTGAATTGGGCGCTGCTAATACCATGAAACAATTTCGGGAAATTGTAAAAAAAATTCAAGGGCTATATGAGCAATACCATAATGGTGTTAAATTGTGGGAAAAAACCACACACTCGGGGACCTCTAACCTAGCATTACCACCGTGGCTTTGCCAGCCCTATGTGCGAGAAGATCCAGAGGACCACTTAAAAAAAATAAGCGAGAAAGAAACCGGTGCACAGCTCAGATTGGTAGGTCAGCGAGCCCATCCTCAAATTTTAACTAAATCTACACAAGTTGGTTTTTTTATATAAGGCTGTGGGCGATAAAAGACTATACGAAGACGCCGAAGGTAACTTAATCAGCAGGAAAAAGATGAAGAGATTGCGGCGGATCAGTAGAAGACCCCAAAAACCTGATAATTTACCAGAACGACCCTTGGAGAAGTGTTTGCTGTGTGAGAATCCTTTGGTAAGTACAGAAGGAAGGAGCAGAATCACCAATATAACTAATCTGGTATTTTGTTGCAGGGTTCCAAGTGTTCCTATAAACTGTGCAAGAAGTGTTGCAAGGATAAATGCTTCCTGGGGAACTTGGATTGCGAGGGGCACAGGATTTTGGTGAGGACAAGGCGGGAAATGGCGCGAGCGTTTGCGGAGAAACGGGGAGGTAACAAGAAGACAAAATAGCATTTTGTAAAGATTGAAAAAAATATTTTTTCCACTAATAAACGCCTTTTATTTTCCCCAGCCATGTTACCTCTTTTAAAAGGAATCAATTTTTATAAACCCTGATGAAAAGTATGAGTCTGATCATTTATTAAGTTTTCTAGTCAAAAATGTACAGGTTAGTTTGTGAAATTTAGGGGCATGCGCGGAAATTCCTGTCGTAAATATTAAAGCCGCGTGGGGTATTATCTTAAATGCAAGATTAGTTGGAAATTTTTGTAAAAATTATTATTTTTGAAAATAAAATGCAGTCAGCATTAACCCCATTCTAAAGCTCAATTCGCCTAGCTATATATATATATATATATATATATATATATATACCTGTTATCGGTGCCGAGTGGTTTGCAGTAGTCCTTCGCTTCACTAAACTGCCTATAATTTCAAGCCACACCAAAAGTCACACAAACACTACTCAAATCACTAATCGCAAACATCCACGTGCTCCACTTAACTTTAGAATTGGCAGCGCATAAACAGCAAGCGGTTGGTGCCACGGATTACACTTTGTCTTTGACATTATACGGATATGTCAAATTAAACAATCCGGGCCCACTTGTGGATAAGTTTTGATGTATAGATTACATTATGAAAACACCGTGTATTATCTTTGTTTTCGCATGGAGCCGTTTTGATTGAAATAAGCTCAACGACGTTACGCAAGTTTTGACTAACCATTTATTTGACATTTCTTTGTTGTGGTGCGAAGCGTACTTTATTGGTCCGTGCGTCAGTTGTGTGGCATTTATTTTTAATCCCATATCGATATACAAGGTGTCATGCAAAGAACGAATGAAATTAGCTGTAATTGTTGTAATTTATAAGTGATATTAAAAAAATTACATTTGTTTTAATGGATCCAGATAAGATGTTTATAAAATGCAATAATGAACAAAGAACTATGGTACCAGTTTTATAAATAGACGTGTCGAGTAGGATGTTTTAGGAAGTTTGTAGCAATAATTATACAGGTTTTCGTTAATATATTTAAAATAGTATAAACATATTCTTCACCCACAAGACTAGGTTCTGATACACCATCACAACACAACGTTTGATAAATCAGGCAAAGAGGTATAAAATAAAAAATCGATTGCCGGAGACAATAAGATCCTCAAAAGTTGTATTTTTCCTTTCTGTGCTTATTGCGTGTAGGAATTTTTATATTTTTTTATTTATTTATATAACCATTGACCTTCCATCCAACAACTAACATGGCAGCCGACAGATCGTCAGTAAGTTTCGATTCGGCATTTTTGCTGCTGTATGGATCTCGTTAGATGTGTGTGGAAATCACGGTTTAGCAGGAAAATGACACATCAATCATCTATATTATCTAATTATCTAATAGCTATGTGATTAATAACTTAAACACAAATGATATGAAGAAAAATATACAGCATTCCCTGTATATGCGCATTGGTTTGTATATTAGTTATTTTTCAGTAATTTTTAAGTTTAAAACAGTGGTTATAATTATTGAAAACGCTGATACGGCCCATAGAATGAAAATGAGAATCTAATTACGCCGGTCGTCGCTCAACGATTAATAAATATTTTAATTAAGGTTAGTTTTTGCGATATTGGCCTGTTTTTAGATATTAATCACGAAACGAGGCGCCAGCAATTAATGGCATCTTTGTCTGTTTCGCACGCGGTAAAATTATTAACCGGCAGATTAATCATCTGCCACAACATTGCGATTAGCGTTTTTTTTTATTTAAACGCATTTCGGCCGATTGATCTGACTAGTTCGCACGCGCCTACTGAGATCTTCAATGGTCGTAAAGTGGCCCATACAGGGTGGTCCCCGTTGAAAACTTATTAAATTTAATTAGAAAGTCTCTAAGTCGTATTTGTTATTTAACGTACTAGTACTAAACTTGGTTTTGATCGATAATTAACGGAATTATTTTGTGTGTTCATTTGTGGCAAATCAGAATACATTTTGGTACAACATTCTATCTCTGATTGTTGGGAACTACAGCCAGGCTTAAAAAAATTTACTGAATACTTCGAAAAAAACAAAGTAATGATTAATACCAATAAGCTGGGCTCAAACATAACATCGAGTTTACTTACAGTTTAGATAATCTATACTTGAAAAAACGTCGTGTGTCAAGGATGTGAGTGATAATGAATAAAATAAGTACATAATTATTCATTTACCGTCAAATGTTCAAAATCACTAATCGAACTATGGCAAATATGCAAAGTAACCCAATTTTTATAAAAAGTTGCTTTCATTTCGGAGCCCTGAATATATAGATATAGAAACATAATATATTATTTGAAGGGGGTTTTAATTGTTGTCTAGAATGGTTGATAAAATGTAAGGTGTCTCATCAAAAAAAATGAATATGCTTCCATCCGTATAATCGCATGTTTTGAGCACCCTGTGAAGCAGTGCTAAAATTTCAGTTGTCTACTAATTTAAATAGGACTGTAATAAAGATTTAATTTGAACTATGCACAAAATACAGTAACATATATCACACGTTGAAGTGGCAACACCGCATCGCTGAAAATATATTGGATCGGCAACAAAACCTACCTACGCTGCATAGTTTTATAATTATTTTGTTTTTCCTAAATTAAGTATCTACATTGAAAGGGACTTCCGTAATTAATGATCAATCAATTATTATTGAAGTTTAATGGTTAAAATCAACAATTGAAAACATAAAACAAAACTTTACCAATAGTTTGATATATTCGACGATTAAAACATGGGACACTCTGTACAGAAGGAACGTATAATCACGAGGGACAACAAATTAGTTGATTGGTTTCAATTATCGAAAAAAAAAACGCAATCTTCTTCTTCGTGGCGGATTCTTTGAACGTAACAAATTATCTTTGTCTTTTGAACTGTCTATCTATCTACGATTAATTAAGTTAATGAAATAAATTAAAAATGGATTGCGTTCGGTTTGGGTCTTATTGCGATTGCGTTTAGCTCGATCGGGAGTCACAAGGACGTTCACGTTTTCAAATCAAAGTTTTTCTCAGTCGCCTCTCAAATTTTAATAATTAGTGCTACAGTAATTATATTTGTAAAGGAAAACAAAAATGAACAATATCAGTTAGTACTGGCGAGTAGGTTATTTTTGAATACGGCCGCTCACATTTTCTTTTTTTTTTCAATATTCTCGTTATTTTAGCGACATATGAACGAACTTTCAACATGGGGAAATGATGGAAACAGTGTGAAAAAAAAAAGTTTTGAAAATATTGTTTAAAATGTATTCTTTATTTGGAAAACTTTATTTCGGCCGCGAAAAATAACGGACGATATTTTTAACAGAGTTTTTTTTATTTCTTTTGAAATTTCACTCTTTCCTATCACTTTTTCCGTTGCTCTTTTTCTTAATTAAGAAAAGAAATGCTATAGTTTTAAGACATAGACACACACAAGACACAGATAACCTCATAAGAAATCTTATTTTACGTGTTTCTAAATTATATTTGATATATTGAGTTTTGAATTTTATATTTTTGAAAAACAGCATGAATACATTGACTGTGATGTGATCAGCTAGCAAAACAAATAATTTAATTTGAACATTCATAATCCAAAATATTTACTTTCTTGGAAACTTAACCTTTGAGTACTGAATGAAGTACTACATGGCCAATCTAAACGGTGCAGAAAGTCCCTAATGATAATCAAAGAGCTTCTCGAGTTCATTAAAATAAGGCGAATTCCGTGCTCAACTCTTGAACATGACATAATTCATCGCGAAATAAATAATACGCCGGGCTGCCCCAGGTATCGACAAAAGCCGGTTCTGCACTCGCGAAACCCGTTACAATAACATATGGTAAAGTTCCCCCAATGCAACCTTTATGGCTATTATAACTAAGTGCGCGGTGTTGTTTTTACTAATACGTTATTAATCATAATCCGCATTTACGATAGGTGTACGCGCCTTCTTCCTTAGGTCGCAGGTCGACGCACCTGCGTCTATACCGGGTGTTATTGAAACGACATCATGCGATTTAATGAGTGATTCTGGGCCCGATTTTGGTGCATTTTCCTCGATCTAATTCGGCTAAATTTTATAACATTATTCGAAACAACGCTCTTCGGGAATTTTTTTCCTTTTTACAATAGGGGAAACATTTTTTTTTTACTTTTACTACATAATCGCACTGACAACCAGTTTAAATATAACCCACAGACAGAGAGAACGCGAAATCCACCAAGGAACAAAGGTGATATGTTTAATATTATCGACATTGACACTATATTCATGGCCTACTTATACATAGAAAAAATGCCTAATATCTCTATTTTTTTACAACAAATACCAACAACTATAAATGGTTTAAAATCTGAGTCACTTTAACTGGTTGTATAGAGAATTTTTGAGTATAGCTCAAAAAGGTTGAAAACCCGCAACAATCGCATACACTACTTTAGTGTGACGTCAGCTGTCGAAGTGTGGTCTTCAAACGAACCGATATATACAGTTGTATAGGTTTTTGTGTAACTTTTAATTATTGAAGATATTTAGCGGAGTGGGTGATCAACAGTTTAATTATTGTTTTGTAAAATGTAAACATTGAAAACGAAATAAGTTAAGAGAATTTTAATAACAATTAAAATATGATAATGGTACAATTTAGTACTTAGTATACCACTGATAAATAATCAATAATTCCGTTAATTAGACTTACTGGCTTAACTGACCAAAACTAACCAAAACTTCGGCTTGTTTGGGTCCCAAACGATGCTATGTCACCATTAATATCGCGTATTTTCCTGAAAACTTGCGGTCAAAGATAAATCGAAGGTCATGCTCGGTTTTCCATGCGTCATGGAGGTTTAATTGTTTCTTTTGTGTTATCGATTCTTCATCATGTAGCATTTTATTTTGTTTTCCGACATAAATTTGATTAAAGACGAATGTGTAGTGCGACGTATTGTGATTTCCACCAATTCCCGCTGTTTTCATTAGGTTGAAACTTGTTTAGTTCTTTGCAAAAGTAAACAATTAAAGCACAGGTTTTAAGAATATCAAAAATGGGTTCCTCGGAGTTCCGTCGAAGTTTAATTAGTAATTAATTTTAATTAGTTTTGTATTTTTTCCTAACTAAGCAGTAATAATAGTAATAATAATAATAGTTTCTCTAAAATTAATCGAATGTGTTCAAAATCGATATGTTAGCGCTAATATCCCATAACCGTTAGTATGCATAATTACTAAGTATTTTACGAATTATTCGTAATTGCCGAAACTGTAAGTGATTTTGTGTAATAACTCAGAATATTGGGAATTATACATAATATAACTGTGCGACGGCCTTTATGTAGGTATTCGCTATATAATGAAGTCTTGAGGTTCATTATTATAAATTACAAGTGACCACAGTTTAAGGATTAAGTTTCCCAGTCAGTCCACCGTCTCGCACGGCTGACAGACAATCCGTTTGGTGCAGATCGCGGAAAGCGAGGAGATAAACACACACACATACCATCAGTTGTGCCGCACTGTCCCAAAGCGGTACGAGACCAGCGCTGTATCCGTGCAGACTGGTCGCAGTCAGCCTCGGCACTCTCAAAGTGGTGCAATCGCACGAAGTGTTTTTTGTTTTCGTTGCCAGTCGTTCGCCAGCGAGTGCATTTCAGAGTGCCATTTTTTTTTTGACGTCGTCGTCGTCGATGATGCTATAGGCGTCGCGATGTCCCCGTTTGAGGTTTTAGCTTTGGCGTTGGCGCTAAGTTTCTGCGTCGGGATACGCTGCGAACAGGTAAGAACGCGCGCGATTGTTGACGGCTTCTTTTTCCTGTTTTGTTTTTTTTTCGTCGAACGGGGGGGGGGGGGGAGACGCGTCGTTTGTTGTAGTCCGGTTCTTGCGCGAGATGATAAGGAGTCCGCCCGTCGCGTATTATTAGGTAACCGGGCGCCGGCGATAGGATCGTCTCTATAGGATAACCTTGGACGCCGTAGGATTAAAAATTTGTGTATACAAGCGCGAACTTATAAAAAAAATTACTTGCAAAAGCGGTCGATTGACTGGCAGGGGGCCGCAGGCGGACGTAGGTTCTGTGAAAACGCTAACTATCTTTCAACACACGCCGCAAACATATTATATAGCGACTTTGGACGTTTAAAGGAGATAAATCGCGATGTTGACAAAACGGACCAGAGATTTGTCTCGTAATTAACTTTTCGAAAATTATCTACTAAGTTAAGTGCCACACTATTGCTAAATTTGTTATTAGTAGAGTGAAATTCGCCAATTAGTAGTGTTTTCCATTCTGATTAGGATGGCTATTGGAGAACAACAATTGGAATCTCTCATTTGCGAATAAATCCGAAAATTGCTGTATAGACCTAACGTTTGCCAGTATTTGACTAAAGTTAAGCATAGAATTAAAAGCAACTTTGACTTTTGGCTAATCCTCTACCAAAGACCCTGTATTATTTTATTAAATTACGCTTTCTTGTGAACGTAAATCGAAACGACTCTCAGGAACAATTCCATTTCCCTGAACTAATACATTAATTGTTGTAGCCCATTCTTAATCTTAAGACTTAATCTAAATTTAAATTTCCCGCTCCGGATTCAGTTGGTACCACTATCTAATAAAAAAAGTAGCCAAATCGATTTGTGGACATCCTCGATTGCGTTTAAAAATTATATACTTACCCAAAGTGATCATGTGAAAATATTGTAAATGGTGGCAAAAACGTCTCAAAGTGACACTTTCCGATGATCGGTGCATAATCAGGTATTTTAGAGTAAGGGAGTAGAAACGGTGCTTTAAAACGGAAAGACCTGTTGTGTTCTACTGCGTGAAAATATCGTTACATCGTCATCCCCGCCGGGGAAGGAAAATATGTTTTATATCTCTTCTGGGATGGTCGTTCCCGCATCGGCTAACACTTCGACTTAATTGACCATTGGATATTATCATATACAGCCTCGGGTTTGGAAAAGTAATTAAGAAGTGCCGATCGTAAAGCAGATCCGTACTATACACTTTTCGAACACTGTTAACGTTACAAGACTCCTTCGTTTGATTACGAGTCGGAGTCGATATGTGGGCGGCGGTTCATTTTCACGTCGAAATGTGCAAGGAGAACGTTTTGCTCAAACTCTGGGAGGCTTCAGTAATTCATTTGTAAACGCGACTTCTGTCGTGGGCCGCCCCGTAAATATTAGACGCGTTCTCACTCGAAGGAAGAATCGTTTAAATTTAAACGAATCCATTAAAGCCTCAGCCGCTTAGTTTTTCTACGGACTACGGCTACGGACACTTGGAAAGCCATTTTATTGCTCCCAAGTGTATTCGGTTAGTACATATAATTCGAATATTTATGCAAATCGACCTGTAGTGCTTTCGCAGATAAATGGTTTTAGCTTGACAACAATAAAAAGGAGTTCTAGTGGTATTAATTCCTCACAGAACGTGAACACTATTAGTGCGTTGTTGTTATTTCGAATATTTGATATTAGAAGCCTCGTTCAATTAAGTTTCATCAGAAGGATTAAGACATTCCTACTGACAGACATATAGCGTTTCATTAAAGAAAAGGCATTTATCTCGCGACGTTAAGTAGATTGTGAACACTGTTGTGTAATTACTTACTTAATATTGGGGACTTAACAGACCTTTGCTCTTGTCATCCACAATTTGCATACGTCTGGTGTGTTGGTTGTTATGTTCTACAGTGCAGTTCGCAAATAATCATTCGGGCCTAAAGAAACGGAAAATTCTTTTCCAACGGTGCTGCTGTAAATTAATTATTATTATTATTAGTCCCAATTTCCCAGTTTTCCTGGTGCTTCAAGCTGTCCCATCGATCTGTTGACAAGGATTCTATTCACAATCGATTCTATATTTCACCTCTTTAAGCTTTCATGCAGAGTTTTTGTATAAGTCCAAAACGAAAAGAAATATTTAATTTATGTAAAAAGTAGTCAAAGTGGGGGGTCAAGTAGATATTTCCTGAAGTTTAAAAAATTCGACGCTTGCAAAGAGCTGGGCGTCGCGACGCGTCGAAAAATTATTCGATTGCAGAGACTTTGGAAATACGCGCATACAAAAGTACATATTATTTAAAAACTTTTTTGTTATTTACTCAAACTTATTTACTTTACCCGTTTCTAAGTTATACCGATTTAAAGTAAACATTTCTTGATTAATAAAAAATGTGATTGATTAACGCTTATTTTTACAAGTATGCCATGAATGTTAGTTACTATGACAACCATTGTTATCGCAGTTGTTTTAAGTGCAATTACAAACAATAGATTTCAACTATTTTAGTATGATTTTATTTATTATTTTTTATCGATTTAGTTCTGATAACATGATAAATAAATGAAAAAACAGTAAAATACCTACAAGTTAATAACCAAAATTATTATTGCAATTAACTACATAATAAGACATTTCAAAAATTTTGTTCAAAATTGTGTCCATCTGGTCGAACACAACTATCAAAAACTTTTAACAGATGAGCTTGGGTCACTTGTAGGAGAGTCCTTCTTGTGATAGCGGCACACTCTGCACTAGTTTTGTTAATGAGATCAGCCATATCTTCGATAGGTTCTTCATAGATAACGTTTTTTAGGTAGCCCCAAAGAAAATAATCTGGTGGTGTAATGTCCGGGGACCTCGCCGGCCACCTTACCGGTCCATTAGTACCAAACCATCTATTGGGATATTCTCGGTTCAAATACCTCGTTACTATTTGGGCATTATGTGCAGGCGCTCCATCCTGCTGTAGCCACATATTCATTCTAGTGTCAGAAGGCACTTCTTCTAATAGTTCCGGAAGTGTAGTTTGAAGAAATCTTAAATAGCGATCTGCATTTAAAGTTCCTTCGTAAAAGTAAGGTCCAATAAGGAATCCATTTAATATGCCGCACCAAACATTGATACTAAAAATTCGTTGGTTACCTATTTCTGTAATCCAACGAGGATGGTTTTCGGACCAAAAACGACAGTTGTGTCTATTAACGATTCCATTATTTTGAAATCGACTTTCGTCGCTCCATAAAATTTTCGAGAGAAAATTTGCATCTTGGCTATACAAATCGGACAATGTCGCTAAGAAATACATTCTTCTAGCATAATCGCCTGGTTCTAGTTTATGAACTAGTTTACTTTTGTACGGGTGAAAAGAGTTTCTATGTAGAATTCTCCACGAAGAACTTATGGTAACACCGGTATTTTCTTTTATCTCTGATAGGGATATCTTGGGGTTATTATCAACCTGCTGAATTACAGCAGCAGTATTTTCATCATTTGTAGCCGTCCTGTTCCTATCTCTTTTAGGTTTTATGAAGCTGCCATATTCTCTTAAGTTTTTACATAAACTTGAAAAGGTTGTTGCATCGGGGACTCTTCTATGCGGATAACGCCGTGCGTAAACTCTTTTTGCTTCTCCACAATTGCATCTGCATTCTCCAAACACCAGTAACATGTCTACTTTTTCCTCATTGCTAAATTGCACCATTTTCACATAATAATTCTTAGTTTTTTTTAACTGAACAAATTTGGATATTTCTTGTGACAAAATGTGACAATTTTTTGATATAGCAATAACAACTTACGTTTGTAATTGCACTTAAAACAACTGCGATAACAATGATTGCCATAGTAACTAACATTCACGGCATACTTGTAAAAATAAGCGTTAATCACATTTTTTATTAATCAAGAAATGTTTACTTTAAATCGGTATAACTTAGAAACGGGTGAAGTAAATAAGTTTGAGTAAATAACAAAAAAGTTTTTAAATAATATGTACTTTTGTATGCGCGTATTTCCAAAGTCTCTGCAATCGAATAATTTTTCGACGCGTCGCGATGCCCAGATCTTTGCAGGCGTCGAAATTTTTAAACTTTAGGAAATATCTACTTGACCCCACACTTTGACTACTTTTTACATAAATTAAATATTTCTTTTCGTTTTGGACTTATTGGCGTGCGGAGTTTTAAGTGAAAAACCCTGTATATGATGGATTGCTCCAGCACTCACCATAACCCAACTCACGAAATAGCTCTCTAATCCGACATGCCCGGTTGGATTTGGTGTGATCAAAACACAGTCTCGGGAGACGATTCTCGTCCGTTCTTAACAGTTTCTGAAGTGTGTGGAACCTGTTTCAAGGCGAAGCAAAAAAGCACTTGAAAGTGATTCAGGGAGTAACAATAATCTTTTTAAAAAGTTGGTCTGCACAAATGAATTACGCGATCTCGCTGAGATATCCTTCTGGGAAAAAACATGGCCAAATCCAATTAAAACCAAAAGGAAGTGTAAAGATTTAGATTCCAGCGAGGGCTTTGTAGGAAAGTTTACTATATTTGAACAGAAGAAATGTACCTACACTACGAGGTGTGAAGGAACGGTTTGTTGATGGTCAAACTCAAATAATGTTACCGGGGTTATTACTGACATTACGTTCTGGAGATCCCGTGTTTGCATTCTTTCCTCGTTCTCATATTTAGGAACATTAATTAAGGTTTTATTATCAATTTTCGGTATATATAGTAGGAGGTAGTTTGTAAATATTTCTTTTGATAAAGACACGGTGTTGTCGAAACAATTGTCATGTGAATATATATAATTTCGTGAAAATCTGTACTTTTAGTTCTTATTGTGTTTTGTCAGTTCTCGGTTTGCTACTTCTTTTTCACATATTCTATGGATGTGTTACTTTCCGCTATCAGATCTTCTGGCGCCATTGAATCGGCTGAGATAGCGGCTTACCAATTTTGATTTGTGGATTTGC